TATAATTTGAAAAAAAAATGAATGAATTCCTATGTACACTGTACATCTCTTATTTGTAATGCAAAAACACTTTAAAACAATACAGTAATTAAAACGAAGAACAATTTTAACAAATATAAACTTATTAGTATTAATATTTTAATCGGAAGTGTGGGCCTGCTTTTGACTGATGAGATAGGGTTGTTGTTGTTGTGTGCTTTCAAGTCATTTCAGACTTAGGTTGACCATTAGCGAAGGCCGGGTAAATGACGTTGGAGGGCCATATTTGGCCCCCGGGCCTTAGTTTGAGGACCCCTGGTCTAGAGGAAGACCTGGTGAACACTGGGACTTGTGCTTCCCAGTAAAGCGTTGTAGGTTGCAGTCCTTGAATATTTGCCACTTCACCTTGTCTCATGTGCTATTCTAATATAAAATAATTTAATATATTGTATATACAGATAATATTTATAATATTATAATGCAATGCAATATAATACTACTACTACTAATAATAATAATATGATATTATAATAATATATTTATATTACATGTAATATTACTATAATAGTATTACAATATAATTGTATAGTACAATATAATAATATTTAATACTGATATTATACTATGCTATCAGTAAGTCACTCTTGAGTCCCCTTCGGGGCGAGAAGGGCGGCATATAAATGTCGTAAAGAAATAAAGAAATACTCTTTTCCAACCAAAATTTCAATGGTTGCTCTTTGCCTTCAAGTCATCTGGCTTAAGGCAGTCCTAACGTGAATGTATCACAGGGTTTTCTGGGGTTGAGAGTGTGTCACTCACCCAAGGTCACCCACACAATTTCCATGGCAAATGGAAGAATCAAATGTGGTCAAAAAGTAAAACCATTGCATCATGCTGGCCCTGATTCAGTTATTCATTATGAAATATTCACTGTGGCTACAACATGACTCGCAAATAGCTTTGGAGAATATTTGTGCCATTTTTTTCAGTGTTGGCAATCAGCCTGCTTTTCCTTCTTTGGATTTCACTGCAATGGTTCTTTTACCTGTATCATCTCTACTTTTGCTCCATCACAGAAAACTACATATTCTGAGAGAGTATAAAAAGAAATGCACCAAGTGAATACATTCCTACATAGGAAGTAAATCCACATGGTTGTTACATAACTATTGAAGCAACAGATTTAAATATCTGGGTAACCAATTCAATGCATAACTGTTGTCAGTTTGCAGGAGAGAAGGGATGAGGAATAGTAACTTGGGGATTCTGGGCAAGTGCTGCAATTTTCCAAAGAGCTACCTTATATACTTGAGTATGAGCTGTTTTTTTCAGCCCTTTTTGTAGGCTGAAAAAGCCCCCCTCGCCTTATACTCAAGGTTGTTTATTATTTTACTTTGTCATTATTATTTTTATTACATTTATTATTTTATTCCATTTATCATTGTTACATTTATTGTTTTAGTATTTATTATTGTTACATTTATTATTTTACTCTATAAGTATTATTACATTTATTATTTTATTCTCTTATTATTTGAAGGATATGTAAGCACATTTACATTAACGAATGTTAGAATGATGGTTTAATCTGAGTTGGGACAGTCTTACCTTATCAGTTTTATGTGAATATTCAAAAACATTTAACCTACTGATGCCTCAATTAATGTAATTTTATTGGCATCTATTTTTATTTTGAAATTTACCAATAGCTGCTGCATTTCCCACCCTCAGCTTACACTCGAGTCAATATGTTTTCCCAGTTTTTTTGTGGTAAAATTAGGTGCCTTGGCTTATATTCGGGTCAGTTTATACTTGAGTATATACGGTAGTAGGTCCATATTTTGAATAACAATCCATAATCTCATTCTTGGGCCAGGTTTTTGCCTCCTGCTCTGCAGATGCCTCCATCCGGGTCTGGGACATACGGGCAGCACCAGGGAAAGCTTGCATGCTGACCAGCAGCCAGGCACACGACGCAGATGTCAATGTAATCAGTTGGAATCGAAATGAACCTTTCATTGTAAGCGGAGGAGACGATGGGGCCCTCAAGATCTGGGATTTAAGGCAATTTCAGGTGAGATATGACTCCTTGCTGCCAAACTTGATGATGGTAAAAGCTGTTTGGCAATGGAATATGCTGCTTCAAAGTATGGCAGAGTCTTCTTCGCTGGAGGTTTTTAAAAAGAGGTTGGATGGCCATCTGTCAGGGGTGCTTTTATTGTAAGGGTTGTACTGGATGACCCTTGGGATCTCTTCCAATTCTAGGATATTATAAACACTCCTCTCTTCTGGTTCCCCACTAATGCTGTGGAACGTTTTTGCCTTTGTTCTCTCCACAGAAAGGGTCGGCTGTGGCCACCTTCAAGCAGCACACAGCCCCCATTACATCCGTGGAGTGGCACCCTACAGATAGCGGTGTGTTTGCAGCTTCTGGTGCGGACGACCAGGTGACTCAGTGGGACTTAGCTGTGGAGCGAGACGAGGAAAGTGAGGCTGAGGACCCAGCCTTGGCCTCCATCCCTCCCCAGCTGCTGTTTGTTCACCAAGGAGAGAACGACATTAAGGAGCTGCATTGGCACCCCCAGTGCCCTGGCACCATCATCACCACGGCCTTATCTGGATTCAACATCTTTCGAACCATCAGCGTTTAAGGGAAATTGTAGGAAACTGCCTGCTCTTATTCATCCATGGCTGGTACTCTTTGGACTGCGAACTTTCCAAAATGACAATCTTTGTTGACCTAAATCTACTAATCCTCGGCATAGGCCGAACTAAGTCTTTTGATGGGGTCATCACCTCTTCCTGTTCTCCAACTAATGGGTGATAACAAATAGAGTAGCTGCGCCATTTTATCTACACTAATGTTCTTTCTCTTCTCCCTGTGAGCAACACAGATGACTCAGGCCTCATTTCAATGCTACCATTATATATTATATTAATAGAGTTCAGAACAAAGTAGGACAAGGGAGGGGGAACTGTTGTCCCACAAACCATTCCCACCAGTCGCCCTTAGCATGACTACCAGTCTAGAAGGCCACAGTTTCCCCATCCCTGGCATTTGTTGTGTGTAGAACAGCCCAGTTGGCTCAACTTCTGAAACCTCTGGAGCAGTGGTTCTCAATCTGTGGGTCCCCAGATGTTTTGGCCTTCAACTCCCAGAAATCTTATAAACTGGTAAACTGGCTGGGATTTCTGGGAGTTGTAGGCCAAAACACCTGGGGACCCACAGGTTGAGAAACACTGCTTTGAAGTCTCTATGCAAATTATAGGATCGAGCCTGGTAACTCTGATAGCCAAGATTTTAAAGTCAAAGTTGATTAAATATAAATTATTTTGGAAGAAAGATTTAATCTTGTAGTTCATGTCTCGTTCTACTTCACGCCCTTATAATACTGCTGTTTGTTTCATCGTGTTAGATGTTTGTCCCATCATTCCTTAACGCAGGCATGGGCAAACTTTTAAACTTGGGGCACGCATGTCTGCATTACCTGATAGGGGGACTGGCTGCCCAGTGATGGAAGGAGAAAGAGGTAGGGAAGAAAAGAAGGGAGGTAAGGAGGAGGGAAAGAGAGAAGGAAGGAAAGACAAAAGGGAGGGAAGGAGAAAGGGGGATGGAAGGAGGAAGGAAAGAGATGGAAGGAAAGACAAAAGGGAGGGAAGGAAGGACGAAAGGATGGAAGGGAAGGAGGAAGGATGGAAATAAGGAATGGAAGGAGGAAAGAAAGAGAGAAGGAAGAAAGGGTGGAAGGGAATTGAGAAACAGGGATGGGAGGGAGGAAAGGAAAGAAAAAGAGAGGAAAGAAAGGACAAAAGGCTGGAAGGGAATGGAGGAAGGGAGAAAAGGAAGGAAGGGCCGGGTGAAAGGGAAGGAAAGGCAAAAGGGAGGGAAGGAGAAAGAGGGAGAGAGGGAAGGAGGGAGAAAGGACAGAAGAAAGGGTGGAAGGAAAGGAAAAAGGGAAGGAGAAAGATGGTAAGGGAGGGAAGGAGGAAGGAAAGAGAGAAGGAAGAAAGGATGAAAGGTTGGAAGGAAATTGAGAAAGAGGGATGGGAGGGAGAAAAGGGAAGGAAATGAAAGAGAGGGAAGGAAGGGCAAAAGGGTGGAAGGAAATAGAGGAAGGGAGAAAAGGAAGGAAGGAAGGGATGGAGGAAAGGTAAGGAAAGACAAAAGGGAGGGAAGGAGAAAGGGAGAGAGGGAAGGAGGGAGGAAACAAGGGTGAAAGAGAAGGAAAAAGGGAAGGAGAAAGGAGGTAAGGGAGAGAAGGAGGAAGGAGAAAGGAGGTAAGGGAGAGAAGGAGGAAGGAAAGAAGGAAGGAAGGATAGGATGGTGAGAGAGAGGAGGTCCTGAGAAAGGAGCCCAAGGGCCTGGGTTTACCCACTCCTGCCTTAACAGAAACAAAAACATCTCTTGCTAAACACACACAATCATGGGAATGGCTATTAAAAGTACTTCTATAAACACAACAAGAATTCAAGCATGGAACATGTGCAGCTGATGCAGGAGCCCTTTTTCATCCCCACAGCAGGATAGACCGATCAATTTTTATATAGCTGAAAGTGATGTCATGTCATTTCAAGTTTGTATTTTAACTGTTTTTTAAAGCTTTTGGAAGTGATGTTGGGGAAGACACATCTGGGGATGTTTTGGTATTGAAAAGGTAAAGATTTCCCCCTTATCATTAAGTCTAGTCATGTCTGACTCTGGGGAATGGTGCTCTTCTCAATTTCTAAGCCGAAGAGTGTTGCCCATAGACATCTTCAAGGGCATGTGGTGAGCATGACTGCATGGAGCATTGTTACCTTCCCACCAGAGCACATCTGCATGTTTTCGAACTGCTAGGTTGGCAGAAGCTGGAGCTAACAGCAGGAGCTTACCCTGCTCCCGAGGTTCAAACCTGCGACCTTTCAGTCAGCAAGTTCAGCAGCTCAGCGGTTTAATCCGCTGTGTCGCCAGGGGGGCCTGATTTGACTTAGTTCTTGGAAGTATGCTGAGAGCTACAAAATTAGAGTTGGGATGCCACACGAAGCCCACACGTTCTTTACCTATACATGTCAAACGTGAACAAGACACAGCCATAGGAGATATAACCATAGTTCATTCATGAAGACAGCCCTGTTCTCACTGCATCCCTGTCCATTGTAAAGATGTATATACCACAGTCCCATCTTCGTCTGCTGAACAGAGCAAAACGGTCTTCTTGACGTTGGTACCCAGGCGTCCAGCGCTGATGATGTCACACAAGGAGAGAGGGGTATCTCGAGGGACACAGAGGGCAATGTAATGAGCGTGGAACCGCATGGGATCACCTGTAAGAATAGAGAGAACAACTAATAATGTTTTCCTATGCTCTTTTGTTTTGACACCTTTCAGATGTATTGATTAACATCTGCAAGCATGCTAGCTATAAAGATCTGGTATGGGCAAACTTGGGCTTGCCAGGAGTTTTGGACTTCAACTCCCACAATTCATAGCAATGTCATTAATGGAACATAAGCCTGCATGGTTGGACCCTTAAAATATCTTGTATTTACAATGTATGTGTGTGGACACTTAACTTTGTTTACTTTGGATACACTGAATATTATATAGGAGGCATGGGTAAATTTGGGCTCTCCGAATGTTTTGGACTTCAACTCCCACAATTCCTAACAGCCTCAAGCCCCTTCCTTTCCCCCCTCAGCCGCTTAAGCAGCTGAGGGGGGAAAGGAAGGGGTCTGAGGCTGTTAGGAATTGTGGGAGTTGAAGTCCAAAACACTTAAGCAGCTGAGGGACAAAAGGAAGGGGCCTGAGACTGTTAGGAATTATGGGAGTTGAAATCCAAAACACATGGAGGGCTGAAGTTTGCCCATCCCTGATATAGATGGTAAGGCTCATAGTACAACACATTTGGAAGATGCAACTTTAAGAAAGCATTTTAAAAAACCTCATTTTCCTCAAAACTACTCTTCGTACTAAAACATGCATTGCAAATAGTCCTTCAGACATTTTGGGCTTGCAACGCATTAGCCTTTTTTTTTTTTTTCTAGAAGGATCCCATTTTGAAAATTGCATCCTAGCGAAGATCCCCTCTGCAAGCAATCTAAGGCTGGGGATTATGGGAATTGTGATCAATCACTTGGAAGTCAGCAAGTACAGACAATGACAAGGATATTAAAGAGAGAGAGATTAGGGTTGGGCTGCAAAACATGTTTCGATAGAGAGCTCCATTCTCTGAAGGTTAATCCATTCATGGCGGGTTGCCAGTGGAAGCGGAATGGATGGCTCTCCTCCACCACACATCCATTTTAGCATTTTTCCCCCTCTCTACTTTGGACTCCCTCATCCCGCATGCATTAAATTAGACTGAGGCTGCAGACTTAAGTAAAACAGCCCTCCCTATTCCGCACTTCCAATCTGCCCTCAGTAGCGGGTCAACAAAGCCCAGCTTAGATGAATATTCAATTCCTTCCTAGGCCGAAAGATGAAGAGTGAGGGATGGCTCTCCAGCTGGTTTTCAATTTGCCTCCGCGGCTCATGGCGAGCTCTGACATTTCGTTCTGCAATTGAAGAGGCTCCCCAGGGGGGGTCTGCTTCTGATGACCCCAGTACCTGTTTCCCAGCTTCCCTCCCTTCCAAGAATCTTTCGCTACCTGGATAAACAAGGAAGTTGCCCCCAAACTTGCTCCCACTGGTGACATAGAAGCCCCTTTCCCAGAGGTTTCGGAAAATGCGATAATGCGCCTCATGGTCTGGTTGTCCCGCGTAGGGCCAGTCTTTGGAAGGGACGTGCCAGTCCACCACTTCTTCTTGGCCTGGGTTGATCCTTTCTGTTGGGAGCTGCACCATCATTGAGTCTCGAGGAAGCACAAAACTGGGCTCTGCAAGCTTGGAGGAAGGCTCTGGAAATGAAAGGAGAGGTGGATTGGGACCAGAGGGCCTAAAAGACCTAAGTTAGTCTATATCCGGAGCCCACAGTGGTGCAATGGGTTAGACTCTTCTGCTGGCAGGACTGCTGACCGAATCTGGGGAGCAGGGTGAGCTCCAGAAATGCTGGACCACTCTGATAACCATCATGTTATGTTACTAAGAAGCCATTGAAATTCCCAAGCACGTGAACAACTTCAACAGAAAGAAAGAAGCCATGAGAATGAGCAAAATCTGGCTGCCAGTATTAAAAAACACCAGAATCAAGTCTTCGGATGTTGCTGGATAGACTCCCATCATCCATGATAATCTCCAAAGCTGACTAGGGCTGATGGGAGTTGGAATCTAACAAGATCCAAAGGCCACAATTTCTCTGAACCTGAAAATTGTTTATAGATCATGTAAAATCATGAAGTAGGGAAGCAGGGGAAAAAATGCAGGCCAATTTTGCACCTTTGCCTCCAGTCAAGAGAACAAAGTCATCTACTTTCCCAATTGGCAAAGAGTACCGTAACTAGGAGTTGCAGACAGGGAAGTTTGAAGAACATGAGACAAATACAATAACATTTCACACACACACACACACACACTATATATATATATATATATATATATATATATATATATATATATATATATATATATATATATATATATATAAAATTAAATATTTACTAATAACGCTATGTAGCACAATTATTGTGCCTGGGTTGTAAATGTCATTTCCTAATTGGTTCTATCATAAAAATATGGGAAAAGTTCATTAAACTGCAAGAACTTTGTTTTTGCAAGACATTCTCCAGTACATTTTGCTGTCGTTTTTCAATGTATATCTGATACAGTCTCAACGAATTCAACACAGTTTGTGGCAGCCACAAAAATGAAGTTTCTGGAGTATAACAACTACTTTTCAACTTGTCTCTACTAGTCTATACTGGGTTATGCTGGGCCCATAACCCTTGTAGGGCGAGTAGGCTTATTAACAAAATACCTTCCTCATAAATGCACAGCAGAGTAACTTAGCAGCAGCGTGACCCAGCACCACTAGCCCAACGTGATAAGAAGAACATAAACACAGAGACCAATGTTATATCTTCCATAGGAGGGTTAGCTTTCTAGTAAAACAATATACAGTAGTTGCACTATTTACAATAACAAGGTTTCTATAACACAAATAAACACATAGCAGCTTTATACGCAGCAGCCTTCACACATTGGAGTTTTAAACATGTGGGTTCTCTCACACAGAGGTTTACCTCACACTCCTCAGGATGACACTTTGGTCCAATAACTCTTAACAGGCTTCGGCCTACACATTTTTTTAGTGCTTGACTCACACTTCTGTAATAAAAATAACTGGTTAATTAATATTTTATATTTCTGACACATTTTGCTATAGTTTTTCAATCAATATCTGACAAGAGTCTCAACGAATTCAACACAGTTTGTGGCAGCCACAAAAATGAAGTTTCTGGATTATAAAAACTACTTTCAAAGCAAGTACTACAAAATGAAGCAGGAAATGACACTTTAAAACCAGGAACAGACTTTTTTTTTCATATTCTGCTACATGGTGTAATAAATCAGCAAGGCTTGCTAAACAGGCTGATATGACTTTTTATGAAGTACAGCTGAAGCATTTTCTGCAGAGCCTACTGTAAATGATGCACATTGGTGATAACAGATTCAGAAACCTTTTACTGTTGCCAAAGTTTTAACGACCCCAACACTGAGCTAAGGGGACTCTGTGGCCAGGATCCACTGTTTAAAAACCCATGCTCTATATATCTGAAGACAAGTCATCATTCCATCTAACTACCAGTGCTGCTCACCTTCTCCACCTTCCCGTTGCCTCTTCTTTGCCCGGCCCTGGGCTATACGTTCCGCCAGAGTGTCCAGGAGGGCCTTCCGCTGTTCAGCCGCAAGGCGAAACTGCTCCTGATAGTTCTCTTCCAGCTCTTTTTGGTAAGCAGCCACCTCCTGCAGAGACAAATGGGGAAGATCAATACTCCCTACATTTCTGCATTTCCAATCAAATTTGGATAGAGCTTGTAACTAATGGATTACAAGTAGCACAATTACCTGCAACCAAAACACTACAAAAAGAGTGATGCCTTAACTGGCCACTCAAAATGCACAAATGCAAGCTTTCAAAGCACCATTGTCAAAATATGTTGAAAAAAAAATTATCTAGGCTCGTACAGTCATAAGTCTATATTTTATATCAGATGTTGTTTCTATTGCTATATTCTAGTTTAGTAGTTCTCAACCTTCCTAATGCTGCGGCCCCTTAATACAGTTCCTCATGTTGTGGTGACCCCCAACCATAAAATTACCTTCGTTGCTACTTCATAACTATAATTTTGCCACTGTTATGAATCGTACTGTAAATATCTGATATGCAGGATGTATTTTCATTCACTGGACCAAATTTGGCCAGTGAATGAAAATTTGGGGGGATTGATTTTGTCATTTGGGAGTTGTAGTTGCTGGAATTTATAGTTCACATAAAATCAAAGAGCATTTATTTATTTATTTGTATGCCGCTATTCTCAGCCCTAAGGCGACTCATAGCGGTTTACAACAATCAAGCAAAAACAAGGCAAACAAGGCAAAAATTCAATGCGGCATCAAGAAGGTACTTAAAAACAGTTGACACAGAAACAAATTAAACAATTTAACAGTAATAAACATTCAAGTGGCGTCTCATAACTAGAATCATGATCCAAACTCGTCAGTCGTAGTTCCATTTCCTGAAATTCATTGCACTTCTTATTCAAACGCCTGTTCAAATAACCAGGTTTTCACTTTTCTCCGGAATACCATCAATGAGGGAGCCAATCTAATGTCCGTGAGAAGGGCGTTCCACAGCCGAGGGGCCACCACTGAGAAGGCCCTGTCTCTCGTCCCCGCCAGCCGCACCTGTGTTGCAGGCGGGATCGAGAGCAGGGCCTCCCCGGAAGATCTCAAAGTCCTAGCATCCTAGCATTCTGAACACTAACAAAGGAATTGAACCAAACTTGGCACACAGAACTCCCATGACCAACAGAAAATACTGGATGGCTTTGTGGGCATTGACCTTGAGTTTTGGAGTTGTAGTTCTCTTGCATCCAGAGAGCACCATGGACTTAAACAATGATAGATCTGGACCAAACTTGGCACAAATACTCAATATGCCCAAATGTGAACACTGGTGGAATTTGGGGAGAATAGACCTTGACATTTGGTAGTTGTACTTGCTGGGATTTATAGTTCACCTACAATCAATGAGCATTCTGAACTCCATCAACGATGGTATTGAACCAAACTTCCCATACAGAACTCCATGACCAACAAAAAATACTGTGTTTTCTGATAGTCTTTGGTGACCACTCTGACACCTCCTTATGATGCTCCTCCAGAGTCCCGACCCCCCCCCCCCCCCCCCACCAGGTTTAGAAACACTGTTCTACTTTAAAGACGATAAGCATTAAGGGATAATAAGCAATAAAGGAAAGGTAATACAATTTCTTCTGCATTAGCTAAAGAAAAGCAATTTTTCTTAAGAACCCCGGATTTTGTGGAATTTTACCATTTGTTCTAATTCCAAAAGCAAACTCAATTTCATTTGCCAACTCCTGTCCTCTAGTGGTAGAAGGTGGTTCGAGAGATCAAAAGGGTTGGTTTATTTATTTATTTTTTATCAAGGGAAGATTAAGTGGAAAACCTGTAACTTTGGGAAACTTTTATGCTCTCATTGTAAATTAATTTTTCTAAACTAATTTTTCTAAAGAATTGCATAGAACAATCAAACAATATTTGCAATAGAGCAATACTGAATAATTGCACAGAGCAATAATTGCTTCTATCATAAAACATGGAAAAGGTTTGTTAAACTGCAAAAACTTTGTTTTTGCGGGATATCCTGCAGCACATTTTGCTATACTTTTGTCAATGACTACATCATAGTGTCTCAACCAATTCAATATAGTTTGTGACAATCACAAAAACAAAGTTTCTGGAGTATAACTACTTTCAAATTAAGTACCAAACAATGAAACAGGGAATATCACTTTCAAACCAGGAACAGAAATGTGTTGTTGAAGGCTTTCATGGCCAGAATCACTAGGGTGCTGTAAGTTTTCTGGGCTCTATGGCCATTTTTCAGAAGCATTCTCTCCTGACGTTTCACCCACATCTATGGCAGGCATCCTCAGAGGTTGAGAGGTCTTTTGGTAACTAGGCAAGTGAGGTTTATTTACCTGTGGAATGTCCAGGGTGGGATAAAGAACTGTCTGATTGAGGCAAGTGTGGATGCTGCAATTGATTAGCACTGAATGGTCTTGCAGCTTCAAAGCCTGGCTGGTTCCTGCCTGGAGGAATCCTTTGTTAGGAGGTGTTAGCTGGCCTTGATTGCTTCAAATTTGGAATTCCCCAGTTTTCTGAGTGTTGTTCTTTATTTACTGTCGTGATCTTAGAGTTTTTTTAATACTGGTAGCCAGATTTTGTTCATTTTTGTGTTCATTTTCAACAGCCCAAACAATCTCCGAGGATGGCTGCCACAGATGTGGGTGAAATGTCAGGAGAAAGTGCTTCTGGAACATGACCATACAGCACAGAAAACTCACAGCAACCCAGGAACAGATTTTTTTTAAAAAAAATTGTTATAGTGTAAAGGAAGGAGACTCAAATATAGTTTGGGACTCTGTGTTCTATAAATATTCAAATATTAAGCCGTCTAAAGGTGCATCTACACCGTAGAATTAATCCTTCTTAATTAAGCCTTCGACAATACATATAATTAGCACTTACTTACTGGACAGGGCAGAGAACAGGTATATTAAAATATATTGAACCACCACTTCTATATTTCCTCCTTTGTGGTTTGTTGTTTATTCATTCAGTCGCTTCCGACTCTGCATGACCTCATGGACCGGCCCACGCCAGAGTTCCCTGTCGGCATATTTCCTCCATCATTGTTTAAAATGCATGAGGATGATGTGAGTTACAGTCCGACAACAACCAAAAGTCCACTTGTATCCCAGCCATGCTACGAAGACTGTGGCAACAAAAGGAATTGTTTCTACTTTCACCACAAGGTTTAAGGAGCTGCAGTGGCGCAATGAGTTAAACCCTTGTGCCAGCTGAACTGCTGACCTGGAGATAATAATAATAATAATAATATAATAATAATAAACTTTATTTATACCCCACTACCATCTCCCCAAGGGACACGGTGCGGCTTACATGAGGCCGAGCCCACAATACATCAGTAATAAAACAATAGCAAACAAACAATACAAAGCAGTCAAAATACATCTCATAAACAAAAGTAAAATAAAATATAAGCAGTACAGTGACACAACAAGCATTAAAAACCTATGGCTAGGCCAAATGTAAAATTAAAATTTAAAAAATAATGCTGGGCATGAGCATGGTAGGATATAACTGGGATGGAAATTTTCGGAGGGGATAGGGCGTGCAAATCAATCAATCCTGAATCAACAATAAAGTGCATTTTGAGGGCACATTACTGAGAAATTCATTATTCTAGAAAGGCACACTGGAACAACCACATTTTCAGGCTCCTCCTAAAAATTGCCAGAATTGGGGCATCCCGGATGTCCTTGGGAAGCGAGTTCCAGAGTTGAGGGGCCACCACTGAGAAGATGGGGTGAGCTCCCATCTGTCAGCTCCAGCTTCTCATGCAGGGACATGAGAGAAGCCTCCTACAGGATCGTAACACATCTGGGCTTCCTCTGGGCAATGTCCTTGCAGACGGCTGATTCTCTCACACCAGAAGCGACTTGCAGTATATTTTCAAGTCAATTATGACATGATAAAAAACAAATCACAAAGTTTGGGATGTTTTCCTCTCTAAAGAGCAATACTGTGATGGGTTATCACCTGGCTTGTATCCTCCCCAAGGGCTGGGGATGCTGGGTTTTTACACAGGATTGCCAGGCCGTTTTCCAGCAGCAGCCGGGCTTCTTCCGGGAGCAACTGCAGAGGAAGCCCCAGCCTCACGTTCTGGCGTGGCTTACGAGCCAATGCCCCAAACAGCGTGCCAACTATGCGATGCTCCTCTCGGATGCGCCGTGCATCAGCGTAATTCCACACCAAAGCCTTTCCCTCCAGGATGTGAATTCGGATCATGTCTGGGCCTGGATGCATATCTTCCTGAGAAGAAGGGAGAGGATCAAAATATACAAAGCATCATACCACTAATTGTCTTTGAGGTGAGGGTGACAGTTGTCCCTCCACGTTTGTAGATTTGATTGTTTGCATAAAAATTACTTTGAGGATCTAGATCAGGCATGGGCAAACTTGGGCCCTCCAGGTGTTTTGGATTTCAACACCCACAATTCCTAACAGCCGGTAGGAATTGTGGGAGTTGAATTCCAAAACACCTGGAGGGCCAAGTTTGCCCATGCCTGATCTACACAGCAGAATGAACGTGGTTTGACACCACTTAAACTACCATAGCCCAATGTTATGGGATTATGGGATGTGTAGTTTGGGAAGGTGCCAACACTATTGTGCAGAGAAGGCTAAAGATGTTGTAAAATTAATACTAGAGCTTCCAGAATTCTCTAACATTGATCCATGGCCATTAAAGTGGTTCTAAGCTGCCTTAATTCTACAGTACCTGAAGTCCAAAAAAGTCAAGAGATGTTGTGACTACAACTCCCATCATCCCCAGCTGGATGTCGTGGACCAACACAATGAAACTTAATAGTTAAAAAGAAATACCTGGAATGAAATGAAACAACCCAAAAAGGCCAGATTTGTTGCGACTACAACTCCCATCATCCCCAGCCAGGTGCCGTGGTCCAACACAATGAAACCGAATGGTTAAAAACAAATACTTAGAATGAAATGAAACAACCCAAAAAGGCCAGCTGTTTTGTGACTACAACTCCCATCGTCCCCAGCCAGTAGCTGATGGGTGCTTAGTCCAGTGCAATTAAACATACTACTTCATCACACTAGAGAATGAATCCACTTAAAATTCAGTTTTTACTTCCTGCAGAATTCTGGGGTTTGTAGTATAGTGAGGCTGTTAAAGGCTCCTCCCTAAACTACAAACCCCAGAATTCTGCAGTAGGCAGCAACTGGATTTAAAGCGGATTCATTCTCTAGTGATGAGGTCTTATAGAATAGTTAAAAGCACGGAAAACCAAAAAAGCTAGATGTGTTGTGACTACAACTCCCATCATCCCCAGCCAGCAGCTGATGGGTCCTGTAGTGCAATGCAATTAAACACAGAATAGTTAAAAACACAGCACATAGAACCAAAAAAGCTAGATGTGTTGTGACTACAACTCCCATTGTCCCCAGCCGGCAGCTGATGGGTGCTGTAGTGCAATGCAATTAAACACAGAATAGTTAAAAACACAGCACATAGAACCAAAAAAGATAGATGTGTTGTGACTACAACTCCCATTGTCCCCAGCCGGCAGCTGATGGGTGCTGTAGTGCAATGCAATTAAACACATAGCACATAGAACCAAAAAAGCTAGATGTGTTGTGACTACAACTCCCATTGTCCCCAGCCGGCAGCTGATGGGTCCTGTAGTGCAATGCAATTAAACACAGAACAGTTAAAACACAGCACATAGAACCAAAAAAGCTAGATGTGTTGTGACTACAACTCCCATAATCCCCAGCTGGCAGCTGATGGGTGCTGTGGTGCAACACAATTAAACATAGAACTACAACTACAACTCCCATTGTCCCCAGCTGGCAGCAGATGGGTGCTGTAGTGCAATGCAATTAAACACATAGCACATAGAACCAAAAAAGCTAGATGTGTTGTGACTACAACTCCCATTGTCCCCAGCCGGCAGCTGATGGGTGCTGTAGTGCAATGCAATTAAACACATAGCACATAGAACCAAAAAAGCTAGATGTGTTGTGACTACAACTCCCATCATCCCCAGCTGGCAGCTGATGGGTGCTGTAGTGCAATGCAATTAAACACAGAACAGTTAAAAACACAGCACATAGAACCAAAAAAGAAATATGTGTTGTGACTACAACTCCCATCATCCCCAGCTGGCAGCTGATGGGTGCTGTAGTGCAATGCAATTAAACACAGAATAGTTAAAAACACAGCACATAGAACCAAAAAATCTAGATGTGTTGTGACTACAACTGCCATCGTCCCCAGCCGGCAACTGATGGGTGCTGTAGTGCAATGCAATTAAACACAGAACAGTTGTAACACAGCACATAGAACCTAAAAAGATAGATGTGTTGTGACTACAACTCCTATCATCCCCAGCCGGCAGCTGATGGGTACTGTGGTGCAATGCAATTAAACATAGAATAGTTAAAAACACAGCACATAGAACCGAAAAAGATAGATGTGTTGTGACTACAACTCCCATCGTCCCCAGCCGGCAGCTGATGGGTACTGTGGTGCAATACAATTAAACATAGAATAGTTTAAAAAACGAAAACTTTAAAAAACACAGTGAACCTAAAAGAGTCAGGTGTGTTGTGACTACAACTCCCATCATCCCAGACAGCAACGAATGGGTGTTATAGTCAAACACAATGGAGCATAGAATTGTCCCAAACGAGCACATGGAATAATAATAATAATAATAATAATAATAATAATAATAATAATAATAAGCCAGAGAGATGTTGTGACTACAAATCCCATCTTCCCCAGACATCAGCTAATGGGTACTGTAGGCCAACACAATGAAAAAGAAATATTCAAAAACAAGTGCTTTAAAAGCACATGGAACAGCAACAATAAAGACAAGAGATGTTGTGGCTACAAATCCCATCACCCCCAGATAGCAGATGATGGGTGCTGTAGTCCCAACACATCAGGAGGTTCTTATATAGGGGTTCCCAGCGAAACCCCGATTCTTGGGCTCTCCACACCGGCCCTTAAACCGGTTTCAATCCAGGTCGCCTTACCCTTTGAACTCCTCTTGCGTCCTTCCCGGGACTGGAGCGATGCGAGGCTGGACCAATGGGAGCCTTCAAGGCGGGCGATAGGGAAATTGCGGAGTGGATTCAGAAGAAAGGAGCGGAGGAGGAGAAAAAGGAGGAAAGGAAGGCAGAGAAGGGGAGCATTTGCACCAAGCAGCAGAGACTGCAAAGGAGAGGAAACGGTGCGAGGCAGACAGGAAGAGGCAGGCGGTCTTTGCAAGGCTTGGGTCCATCCCAGGCATGGCTTTTGCAAGAGGCTAAAACCCTTCTGCACGCATTCCTGGGCTCCTGGCCGCTTTCTTCCACCCATTCCCACGATCGGGAAAGCTACACGTGTTTGGGAAGGCTTCTCCTGAAAAGGTGAGAGTATAGGATCTCTTTGGGAAAAGGGGAAAGGACAAAGAAAAGAGAGAGAGGAGGGATTTACAAGCAAAGGCCTAGACTGGGAGATGGGAGCATCTACACTGTCAGGTTAACGCAGTTTGACACCGCTTTAAACTAACATGACTCAGTGCTATGGAAACTAAGGACTTATAGTTTGCTCTCTATGGAAACTAAGGACTTATAGTTTGCTCTCTATGGAAACTAAGGACTTATAGTTTGCTCTCTATGGAAACTAAGGACTTATAGTTTGCAAAGCATTGCAGAACTACAAGTCCAGTGATTCCATAGCAATTAAACTGCATTCATTCTACAGTGTAGATGCCCCCAATGTTATGGAATCCTGTCAGTTGTAGTTTTACAAGGGCTTTTGCATTTTTTCCCCAAAATGTGCTTCTGCCTCTCCAAACTACAAATCCCATGATTACATAGTATTGAACCAAGCCAGTTTAAATGCTATCAAACTGTCCCAAACTAAAATCCCATAATTTCATAGTATTGACCCATGGCAGTTTAAATGCTATCAAAGTGCCTTAATTTCACAGTGTGGATGCATCTCAACTGGGTTCAACTGGGATTTTTTCCAGATTTGATCATATAATGTATAGTTACAATGTTAGGGCTTGGGGGAAAGTGATAGAAAGGCCCAGAGGCTGAGTGCAGTCCCAGTTTGAGCTGTCTGTTGGGGCACATTTCATCAGTTTGTCCCAATTGTGGCTTCTAGGAACTGCGGAACTCTCAGCTGCATGTCAGACCAACTTGAAGGCGGGGGCCTCCGCTGCCCTCGATGACAGATTGAGTATCCCTTAACTGAAATGCTTGAGACCAGAATTATTTGGGATTTCAAATATTGGAATATTTGCAATACACACACACACACACACACACACACGGTAGTGTTTCTCAACCTTCCTCATGATGTGGTGACCCCCAAACATAAAATTATTTTCGTTGCTACTTCATAACTCTAATTTTGCTACTGTTATGAATCGTAATGTAAATATCTGATATGCAGGATCAGGCCCATAGCCAGTTAATTTTGCTTAAACTGTTTTTGTATGTTTTGTATAATGTGATATAGGCATCGAATTGTGCCTTCGTTTGTAAGCCGCCCTGAGTCCCCCCTCGGGGGTGAGAAGGGCGGGGTAGAAGTAATTGAAATAAATAAATAAATAAAAATAAACCTTGACATTTGGGAGTTGTAGTTGCTGAGATTTGTAGTTCACCTACAATCAAAGAGCATTCTGAACCCCACCAACAATAGAATTGGGCCAAACTTCCCACACAGAGCCCCCATGACCAACATAAAATACTGTGTTTTCTGATGGTCTTTGGTGACCTCTCTGACACCCCCTCACGACCACCCCAGGGGTCCCGACCCCCAAGTTGAGAAACGCTGATATACGGAGTTATATTTTATATGCAATATTGTAAACGATTTTATGCACAAAACAAAGTTTGTGTACATTGAAAGCAAAGCTGACATCTCCCCAATGTTTGAGTATTTTGTGTTTCTAAATATTGGTGAAGGGACACCCAACCTGTACTTATTTGAGCTAAGATCAGGGGAGAACAATAATATGCCTCATCATTGTTAAGCCATTCTCTCAGAGCTGTATGACAACATACCTTCTAAAGGCCACACAAAGACATTTGGCACACTTTTCATCCTCTTGAGGGACGACGGGGCTATTTTCTCTCTTTTCTTCAAGCCTCTTGAGGAATTTGGTGGATATAGTTCCTTTTTTTCATCAGTCCTTTGGGAATTCCCTTTAAAAATCTTTCCCTGCTGTTAAAAATCTCAAAAATTACTAAACCAAGGATTATGTGGATTGAAAAAAACACAACAATTTACTTTTCTGGATGCCTGAATGATGAATTTTAAGTTCCGATCCTTGATTTGCTGTCACTGTTTACTGGTGTAGTTCATAGTTGGGAAATACTTGACAAAACAATGGTTAGGTGGATCTGTAATTGGTCAAGTGAACGAACCCAAAGGGTGCTCACCAATGCTTCCTCTTTATTTATTATTATTATTATTTATTTACACCATTTCTACCCCGCCCTTCTCACCCCCAAGGGGGGACTCAGGGCGGCTAACACAGGCAATAATTCAATGCCACAACATCAATAACAACAATATAAAATCAAATACATAAGAAATTAAAACAGTAATATTACTTAAAATCACATAATCACACATTAGCAAAATCACAAAGCCATTTCCAATTGTCTTTTTATCCTGGAAAGAAGAGACAAGTGGAGTGCCATAAGCAGGGTTCTGTCCTGGGTCCGGTCCTGTTCAACATCTTTATTAATGACTTAGATCAGTGGTTCTCAACCTGTGGATCCCCAGGCATTTTGGCCTACAACTCCTAGACATACCAACCAGTTTACCAGCTGTTAGGATTTCTGGGAGTTGAAGGCCAAAACATCTGGGGACCTACAGGTTGAGAACTACTGACTTAGATGAAGGGTTAGAACTACTGACTTAGAGGCACGATCATCAAGTTTGCAGATGACACCAAATTGGGATAGCGAACATCCCAGAAGTCAGGAGCAGAATTCGAAACAATCTTAACAGATTAGAGAGATGGGCCAAAACTTAACAAAATGAAGTTCAACGGGGACAAATGCAAGATACTCCACTTAGTCAGAAAAATTGAAATGCAAAGATACAGAATGGGGGATGATGCCTGGCTTGACAGCTGTACATATGAAAAAGATCTTGGAGTCCTTGTGGACAACAAGTTAAACATGAGCCAACAATGTGATGCAGCGACTAAAAAAGCCAGTGGGATTTTGGCCTGCATAAATAGGAGTCTAGTCTCCAAATCCAAGGAAGTCATGCTACTCCTCTATTCTGCCTTGGTCAGACCATACCTAGAATCACACTGTGTCCAGTTCTGGGCACTGCAATTGAAGGGAGATATTGACAAGCTGAAATGTGTCCAGAGGAGGGTGACTAAAATGAACCAGGGTCTGGAGAACAAGCCCTATGAGGAGCAGCTTAAAGAGCTGGGCATGTTTAGCCTGCAGAAGAGAAGGATGAGAGGAGACATGATGAGGGCCATGTATAAATATGTGAGAGGAAGTCATAGGGAGGAGGGAGCAAGCTTGTTTTCTGCTACCCTGGAGACTAGGATACGAAACAATGACTTCAAACTACAGGAAAGGGGATTCCACCTGAACATTAGGAAGAATTTCCTAATGGTGAGATCTGTTCAGCAGTGGAACTCTCTGCTCTGGAGTGTGATGGAGGCTCCTTCTTTGGAGGCTTTTAAGCAGAGGCTGGATGGCCATCTGTCGGGGGTGCTTTGAATACAATTTTCCTGCTTCTTGGCAGGGGTTTGGACTGGATAGCCCACAAGGTCTCTTCCAACTCCATGATTCTATGAAATACTCTCAGCATATAGTCAGAATCAAAGAGTGCATCTATATTGTGGAATTGATGCAGTTTGACGCCACTTTAACTGCCATTAATCTATGCTAAGGATTAAGGATCTGTGTGGCTCACCAAACTACAATTCCTATGAATTCATAGCATTGCAGTGGTGCCAAAATGGATCAATTCTACAGTGTAGATGAACTTCCTATTTTCTCAGGGATGTGTTGCTATGCTTAACTTTACCCTGAATTCCTTACATGCTTCACATAAAGAGGAACATATAATTTCATCACCATTTCTTTTTCAAGCATGTAACTTGTAACTTTTGGTGTTTCCTCCCACCCCTTTTAAACTTCCTTTTTTCCCTCTGCACCAGTGTGCTTTCTTCTCCTTCCACACCTTCATGAAGCTTGAATCTATATTTTCAGAACTTGAAAAAGTTACTTTTTTGCATTACAGGATCCAGGACCCCTCCAAGTCTTAGAATTTCTCAAGCAGTGGATAAGGGATTCTGGAAGCCATACTACAAATCCAAATGTTTTCTGTTTACTTTTTGGATCAGGGCTATAATTTGTTTGGGAAAGGTCGCAGAGCACCCCGATTGTCTTACTGCAATATGATAGATATATTTTTTGAGGTTTAGGAAACAAAGGCAGGGAAGGTGTGTGCCAGGATTCCTTGGCTGCCTTCTCCCTGTCTGTGTCTGGCTGGCATCTTTAGAAAGGCGCTTGCTTTTAATCTGGCCCAAGGAGTCCTACTTAAATATAGAAAGCATGCGGTGGGGAGTGTGATACGGGATTAGAAAGACAAGGACATTGGCATAAAGCAGCTGGAAGGAAGCAAGAGCCAGGAGGAGGTGGCGTGACTTGTGCAATGAGTGTGAAACTGGTTTGGGTGTGATCCACTTAAATGAGAATTATAATCAGGACTGGGAGCACAGTGTTTGATTATACCAGGCATGGGCAAACTTCGGCCCTCCAGGTGTTTTGGGCTTCAACTCCCACAATTCCTAACAGCCTACCGGAATTGTGGGAGTTGGAGTCCAAAACACCTGGAAGGCCAAAATTTGACTGTGCCTGATCTACACTAAAACTGATGCAGTTTAACATCACTTTTGCTACCATTTCTCAATACTATCGAATCATGGGAGTTGCCAAATTCACCAAACTACAAGTTCCATGATTGCATAGCACTGAGCCATGGCAGTTAAAGTGGCATCGAACTGGATTAATTCTACAATGTAGATGCACCCTTTGAAGATAAACATAATATGTTCCTGGGTCTTTCCATCCGTATCTGTGCTCTGTTCGCCTCACCAGCTCAATAGATATCTTGAGCAATGATCAGTGTATTTGCCCCTAAGGAACTGGGAAATTGATGCTTCTGTTTGATGTTTTATAATAATAATAATAATAATAATAATAATAATACTTTATTTATACCKRGCTACCATCTCCCCAAGGGACTCGGTGCGGCTTACATGTTTTGTCTTTTGTCTGATAACATTTTTTATTTAATTTTAGTTGTTAAGTCATAATTTGRTTTTATATGTTGGGTTTATTTATTTATTTATTTACGACATTTATATGCTGCCCTTCTCACCCCGAAGGGGACTCAGAGCGGCTTACAAGTAAAAAGTAAATACAATATATTATTATTATAGCACAATATTAATATTATATATTACATTGTTCTGTAACATTATACTGTAATATTATTAGTAATATTCATTTAATATAAAATATATAGTTATAATATCATTTTATTAGTAGTAGTAATATATTGTATTATATTATAATAATATTATTTTATTATTATAAGTAATATATTGTGTTACATTATAATATTATCAATATTATATGTATATACAATAGATTAGATTATAAGCACAGTGCAGGAGACAAGATGGAACTGCCTTCCTGAGCAGCAGTTGGTTGCCATATTCTGTTACTTATGGATGTATTGTTGTTGTGTTGGGGCATTGAATGTTTGCCTTTTATGTTTGTATGTTTGCCTTTTATGTTCGGAATCCGCTCTGAGTCCCTTTGAGGAGATAGGCAGAATATAAATAAAATAATAATAATAATAATAATAATAATAATAATAATAATTATCCTTGTTCAAGTGTTTCCCCTCCAAAGAAAACTCTCAACTACTTCATTTTCAGGAAACCCATGTCCTTGTTCCTAGGCTCAACTCTATCTAATTTACTTCACATCATCAGAGCAACCTTGTTACATCGGACCTCAGACCTCACAACCTCTGAGGATGCAGGAGAAACATCAGGAGAGAATGCTTCTGGAACATGGCCATACAGCCCGGAAAACACACCACAACCCAGTGATTCTGACCATGAAAACCTTCGACAATACATTGTTACGTCTTTGGACTACAAGTCACATAATCCCCAGGAAGAATAGACATGCTGCCTGGGGGTTCTGGGAGTTGCAGTCCCAAAGCTTTCCCACACTCTGTCTTGCACCACCACACATATTTAGGCAACCTTTTTCTCTCAGTAGCCAACTAGATGCTTGTTTAGTATGCTATTGCTCTGAGCAGAGAGGTTTCAATAGCATTTATAATCAAGTTTTGTTTCCATTAATATAAAACACATTACCATAAAATACATACCATATATTAAAAGACATTATTCATTAAGACATCATTAAATTTCTGATGAATATCATTCCTTATTTATAACCCCTTTACTCATCTGACGAGGTTTTTAAGATATCAAGGACAAACAAAACAGATTTCCGGACAGCTTTTGTGTGTATGATCTCAAAAGGCATATTAGAAGATGAGAAAAAGTGCAGAGGGCAAAGAAAGGAAAACTTAGGCACAAGCTCTGTATTATCATGTTCATTTAATGATCAGATTACAGCCACCGTAATGCAATAACGCAACCGGTTGTTTTATTCTTCTTATCTTAACCACCAAGAACAGAAATAGTTCATGGAGGAGGAGCGGTAATCCTGTTTACTTGTGTTTCTTATGAAATCTTGTCCCTCTTTATTCCTAAAGATGACAAAAAATAATAATAAAGTAGAGGGTGATGGTTTGCAGATATACTTCGAGACAGAAGAATATACTGGAGTGTGTATGTGAAAATAAAGTCAAATTCTCTATGCTTGGTAAAGTTACATTTTTGGACTAATTTCCAGGAATCCTTACATTTGTTGATTTTGAATACACACACACACACACATACACACACAATAGCTTGGGTACCCAACATTGCCTGAGTTTTTAAATTGTACAAAATGTATGAGGTTGTGGGTGAACTGCAATTCACATCATGCCAGGTTAACCCCCAAAACCTCCATCAGTACTTAAAATGTGTTATGTTGGGCAAGTTTGCTCTTCTAGATGCATCATCGGTGAGGTTCAGTGTGCTCCCTGGCTGTAGGGTAAACTACAACTCCCACTATGGTGAGTCAGTCCCTCATACCCCTCCAGTAGGTTGAGTTAGTTATGGGACTTCTGTGTGCTAAGTTTGAATCAGGTCCATCATCGGTGGAGGTCACAATTTCTCTGGTTGTGGTTGAACTACAACTCCCAGAAAGGAAGGCCAGTTCCCCCCAAACTCATCCAGTAATCAAATTTGGGTATATCAGATATGTGTGCCAAGTCTGATCCAGATTCATTGGTGTTTGGGTTCACAGTGCTGTCTGGATGTAGGTGAACTACAACTCTCCCAAATCAAGGTGAATTTCCCCCAAAGAACCTCAGTATTGTTGAAGGCTTTCATGGCCAGAATTGCTAGGTTGCTGTGAGTTTTCCAGGCTGTATGACCATGTTCCAGAAGAATTCTCTCCTGATGTTTCTCCCATATCTATGGCAGGCCTCCTCAGAGGTTGAGGGGTCTGACTCCTCATCCTCTGAGGATGCCTGCCATAGATGTGGGTGAAAGATCAGGAGACAATGCTTCTGGAACATGGCCAGACAGCCCAGAAAACTCACAGCCACATCCAGTATTATTTGCTGGCCATGGGGGTTCTGTGTGCCAAGTTAGTACCAGATCCATCATTGGTGGAGTTCAGAGTGCTCTTAGATTGCAGGTGAACTATACATCCCAGTACCTACAACTCCTATAAATCATGGTGAATTCTCCCCAAACCTCTCTAGTATGTTCAGTTGCTGACCAATTCCTCTGTTTGCTGTTTGCCATAGAAAAAGAATAGGAAAGGGTTAAGGGAGAGGCAGTGGACGAGGCCATGCAAATTCCATACCAATGAAGAGAGTAAGAAACACTGGGATGTCTGTGGTGGAGGAAACACATCCAATCTTGGATGAAATTGTCCCTGTATGAAAGCCTTCACTTGGGTGGTGGGCAGTATGGTGTTTGTGGAGGACATTGGCAGGGTTCTTGCACATGTTCACAGCGTTCACTATTACCTTCAGTGTCATTGGAGGGAGGGCCTTTGGTGTCTTCTGAGTAATGGGAGCTGGAGCTGTTTGTGGAGGCAGGAGCTTGTCTGTGTAAGTGGGCACCCCAGCACATACGTATTTTCACTTTTACTATGGGTATAGATATTTATTTATTTATGACCTTTATATGCCGCCCTTCTCACCCCGAAGGGGACTCAGAGTAATAATATAGTGTACTAGCCGTCCCCTGCCATGAGTTGCTGTGGGGTTCTCTGTGGGAGATTTGGCCCAATTCTATTGTTGGTGGGGTTCAGAATGCTCTGTGATTGTAGGTGAACTATAAATCCCAGCAACTACAACACCCAAATGACAAAATCAATTTTTTCAGTGAAGGACATACATTGGGTTCTAGGTGTCTAGTGTCCAAATTTGGTGTCAATTCGTCCAGTGGTTTTTGAATTTTGTTAATCCCACAAACAAACATTACATTTTTATTTATATAGATTGTATTATTACCATAGCAGAATATTTGTATTATATATTACTATATTGTACTATACCATTATACTGTAATATTATTAGTAATATTACATGTAATATAAAATACATATTTATATCATATAATATAATATATAATTATCAATATTATATGTATATAGGTAAAGGTAGGTAAAGGTAGTCTCTTGACATTAAGTCCAGTCATGTCTGACTCTGGGGTGTGGTGCTCATCTCCATTTCTAAGCCGGAGAGCCAGCGTTGTCCGTAGACACCTCCAAGGTCATGTGGCCGGCATGACTGCATGGAGCGCCGTTATATGTACCGGTATATACAATATATTATATTATATTATATTATATTATATTATATTATATTATATTATATTATTAGCACAGTACACAGATATCTACTTGACCCTATGGCAAAATTTCTGGGCAGCTTGTAAATAACATTAAAACAAACAGGTTAAAACAAAAAAAATTATTAAACTCAAAATAAATAAACGTAATTAGCAAATTAAAGCAAATTAAAGCAAATGATAGTTTAAAACTAAGGCACCAGATCTGTGAAATTCATAGGTTTGCCATAATCAATAGCCAGCTTAAAGTCGCATACTTACACAAACACATTGATATTTGAGAGAAATCAATGAGAGTTGTAATCCAAACTGTAATTATTCTAAACTATAGAGCTACCCTGGGAAAAGGACATGTCTGGAATGTTGAACAGTATGACATTTCGTTGCAGCTCCCACTCATCGTGAGCAATAGCTATTGGCTAATAATAGCTATTGGTGGATTGGCCTTTCCTCCACAAATTTCCTCATCCCTTTTTAAAACTATCTTGTGATCAATATACACTCTGTTAAAGAAGGATTTTTCTTATCTCTCCTGCATCCACTTGTTATACATTTATCTGGGTGCCCCCTGAACTATAACACCGAACCCAACTGTTGAATACATTAGCTTTATCTTCCTATTCACTTGCCATTCAACAATTGATTGAATAGCTCTATTCTAAGTGGAACAAACAGGATGGCAGCTTAAGTAATTAGAGTCCCAGCATTTCTTGGATTTGTCTCCTGGATTCCTGTCTTTTGATGCAAGAATCCAGATATTTTGGCTAAGATGTTTGTTTTAGAACTCCCAAAAAAGGGCAGTTAAAACCAATGAAGTATAGGCATGGTATTAAGCAATATGCACAATACTCCTCTGTATTGGTTAAGAAGAAAGATGAAATTTGAATAAGTTGTTTTTTTTATGTTGAGGGATTCTGGGATTTATAGTCCAAGAAAAAAAAAGTTTTTTTGAACTTCTGCTTCAAACTCCGGGATTATACTGCTGTTTAATGCTACATTGCTATCATCTTGTATGTTTTCCTCTAACTGAAGGCAATTGGCCTCAAAGAAAAAAAAAGGTCCAGGGTCACACATCTCTGCCTGGTATTTCCAGTCTTTCTGGCTTCGATCCGTGTAACTTGCGTTGATTCTTTCTCTCCTCCCAGCCGGCCACAATGTCACCTGAAGAAATCATCTACCTGTCTGTGCTTCTCGTCTCCATTCCAGTTGGTTTCCTCTTCAAAAAAGGGGGTAAGTGCTAAATTTGGAGGGCAAAATACTATGTTGTGGAAGGGAATCCATCATGGAGTTGGGGTTAAGATGAGTGATCCAGACCGACCCCTATTGCCTATGGTTAAGGGCTCCTAAATCCTTGTGAATGTAAACATTTAAAACTTTTTTTAACCATCTCTTTAGGAATCTCTAACCCAGTGTTTCTCAACCTTCCCAATGCCGCAACCCCTTAATGTTGTGGTGACCCCCAACCATAAAATTATTTTCGTTGCTACTTCATAACTGTAATTTTGCTACTGTTACGAATTATAATGTAAATATCTGATATGCAGGATGTATTTTCATTCACTGGACCAAATTCAGCACAAATACATGATACAACAAAATTTGAATACTGGTGGGGTTGGGGGGAGGGTTCATTTTGTCATTTGGGAGTTGTAGTTTCTGGGATTTATAGTTCACCTGCAATCAAAGAGCCTCTTGAACCCCACCAATGATAGAATTGGGCCAAACTTCCCACAGAGAACCCACAAGATCAACAGAAAATGCTGGCGGGATTTGGAAGGAATTGACAGTGATTTAGAGTAGATGTAGTTCACCTACATCCAGAGAGCACTGTGGACCAAAACAATGATGTATGCTGGGTTGTTGTAGGTTTTTTCGGGCTAGATGGCCATGTTCTAGAGGCATTCTCTCCTGACATTTTGTCTGCATCTATGGATGCAGCCGGTAGGCTGTTAGGAATTGTGGGAGTTGAAGTTCAAAACACCTGGAGGGCCAGAGTTCGCCCATGCCTGGCATAAGATATTCATTATCCATGAAACCAATCTACGTACGAAACAGGAACAATTATTCTGTTTGTATCACAACTCTCAAAATCGTTCAGTTAGCATTGAGTGGGTGTTGTGTTCCAAAAAAAATCCCTCCCAAGTTCTCTGGCAACTAGTGATCTACGGTTTCATCCCATGAGTTCTTAGTTGTATATCTACCCAAATCTCAAGCTCAGCATGCCATTGATTTGAAGAAATATTCTCCTTTGATTCTCCATAGGACTAAAGACCAAGCAATTTGGAGGGGCAGCTGCAGGGTTATTGCTGACTATAGCCACCTGCCACATCCACACCCTTCACTCGCTCATCACCATCCTGGGGACGTGGCTTATTATCAACATCTCGCCAAGGTAAAGGGAGTGAACCCTGGGGCTTAATCAGGGAAACATTTTGATTTATGGGATCATGCAAAAAGCTAGGAAGTATTGTGAAACGAAGGGTGGCATCTCAGTGTGCATCTGCAATGTAGAATTAATGCAGATTGACACCACTTTAAATGCAATTGCTCAGTGGTATGGAATCTTGGGAGCAGTATTTTGGTATTTATTTATTTATCGTGTCAGACGCTAATTGAGGATATAGTTATAGTGTATTTAAAAACACAAACAAAGTTAAAAACTTGGCATTATACTACATTTCCTTTGACCAGAAGCTGGCCACCTGGAGTGCCTCTGGTATCACTGTGAGAAGGTCCTCCTTTGTACATGTGACAGGGCTCAGACTGCATTTTAGTAGGTGATCTTCTCCACACTTGCATGTTGTGGACTTCACTTTGTAGCCCCATTTCCTAAAATTGGTTGTGCACCTTGTGGTGCCAGAGCGCAGTCTGTTCAGCGCTTTCCTAGTCGCCCAGTCTTTTGTGTGCCCAGGATAGAGTTCCAGTCTCAGCCACTGATTGAAGTGCTGGGTTTTAGCCTGCCACTTTTGGAATCTTGCTTGCTGAGGTGTTCCTGTGAGTATCTCTGTGGATCTTTGGAAGCTATTTCTTGATATAAGGCATTGGCATACTAACTGATATCTGAGCAGAGGTTGGGCCAGAGATATCACTGCCTTTGTCCTTTCATTACAGGCTGCTACTTACTGACGGATATCAGGTCACTGACGGATATAATTTCTGACGGATATAATTTCTCCAGTAGTGTGGGGTGTAAACATCCTGTGATAATGCGGCATGTCTCATTAAGGGCAACATCCACTGTTTTTATGTGGTTTTTATTCCACACTGGGCATGCGTATTCAGCAGCAGAGTAACAAAGCGCAGGTGTCTTCACTGTATCTGGTTGTGATCTCCAGGTTGTGCCAGTCAGCTTTCATATGATATTATTTCTAGCACCCACTTTTTGGTTGATATTCTAGCAGTGTTAGTTGTGATGTTACTAAGCTTTACTGTTGTTACCTCTATATTGTTTTCTTCAGTGTTGTGGGCACTGCTGACTTGGGGGCCTGGTTTTACAAAGACAGCACTTCCATACTGCGCATGTGCCTTTCTGCCACTAAGATCATTCCTGGGACTTTTTGTCCTTTCTGTTGTTTATTCCTGTGTGCTTCTTGGACACACAGCACGTCACATTTCTTATCACAAAGCAACTGTTCTTTTACAGCTGATATGCCTCTGATGTCGAGATTATTATCATGGTTGTTTCTGAAAAGGTCTGTTTGGTTGCATACTGCAAGTTGCTTCTGGGGTGAGATAATCAGCCATCTACAAACACGTTGCCCAGGGGATGCAGAGATGTGTTACAATCCTGCATGGCGGCTTCTCTCATGTCTCCAGCACTCTTTGGCCAACAAGGCTTTGTTAAACTCCAATGATTCCACAGCATCAAGGAATAGCAGTTGAAGTGGTGTCAAACTGCATTAGTTCTACAGTGTAGATGCACTAAGATCTATCTGGAAGGGGAGGCCATGTTCTGCAAAGAATTATGAGTAGTTGGTGCTATTGTGGATCAAGTCTCCAAGGCACCTAACTGTGAGGTCTAAAGCAGAGATGAATAATAACACCATGTGACACAATTTTTGTTCTTGGGTTACAAATGTTATTTCTTAATTGGTTCTGTCATTAAAAAAAATGGCAAAACTTTATTAAACTGCAAAAAAAATATTTTTGCAGGAGAGACATCCTGCAGCACATTTTTCTATAGTTTTTCAGTGGATATTTCCTAGAGTCTCAACGAATTCAACCAAGTTTCTGGGGTATAACAACTACTTTCAAAATAAGTACCACACAATTAAGCAGGAAGTATTACTTTCAAACCAGGAAGAGAAAATGTTTCAAATTTTGTTACATAGTGTAATAGACCAGAATCTACTGGTAGATCTTTGAGTGATTTGTGGCAGTTTCTGGAAAATAGTATTTGGGCCTGTATGTCATGAATGGTTGCTCACTGCGTGGATCTTTCTCCTTATCAGAGTGTGTCAACTTTGCTGTTGAAATTAATGTTGGTTGCTTACTTATTTAGAGTACATAGTATGCCCTTCTCTTCAGCCAAAAGGATGCCCAGAGGAGCTTATAAATTGTTAATCTGACAGTTTCCTGCCCTCAGGCTTACAATCTAAAAAGATAGGACTCACAAGGAAAAAAAGGATGGCAGTGAAGGAAAGGATTAAGACCAGTAGATTTTCTCTGCCTCAGATGCTAAGGAATGATTGCACCCTATTGAAAGTAGGCAGCGAACATGAGAAAAATATTGGAAGCTATCTAGAGCAAAACTACTGTGAGCTCCTTTCAGTTCTCATACAGAAAGTCTGTACTCAAAATAGTATACGCGGAGATGTTTCTGTTCCTTCCTTTGATCTGGATTTCGTTTGCCTCTGACTTCAGCTTGGGATTTTATTAACAATAGTGACAGCAGCAAAACAAAATCAAACAGACCTGTTCACTTCACTTAGGCGATCCCTCGCTTTCCGAGGATGATTGTCTTCCAATATTCTTGTGGGTCCGTATGTGGCTGTGGAGCCCTATTCTTGCTCTGCATCTTCTTCCGCAGTGAGGGCATTGGTTTCCAGGTGGAAGGCGGTCTCGGTCGGGGTTGGCTTGACGCGCCTTCCTCTTGGCACGCTTCTCCCTTTCGCCCTCCATTCGTGCCTCCTCAAATTCTGCAGCACTGCTGGTCACAGCTGACCTCCAGCTGGAGCTCAAGGGCCAGGGCTTCCCAGTTCTCAGTGTCTATGCCAGAGTTTTTAAGGTTGGCTTTGAGCCCATATTTCAATCTCTTTTCCTGCCCACTAACATTCTGTTTTCCGTTCTTGAGTTCGGAATAGTGGTCGGGCATCCGGACAACGTGGCCGGTCCAGTGGAGTTGATGGCGGAGGACCATCGCTTCAATGCTGGTGGTCTTTGCTTCTTCCAGCACGCTGACATTTGTCCGCTTGTCTTCCCAAGATATTTGCAGGATTTTCCGGAGGCAGCGCTGATGGAATCGTTCCAGGAGTTGCATGTGACGTCTGTAGACAGTCCACGTTTCGCAGGCATATAGCAGGGTTGGGAGGACAATAGCTGTAGTTGATCAGTCGCTGGTGAAACTTACTAAAACAAGAGAGGACCTCCAAGATCGTGGAGAAGGGCCTTTCACAGAAGGCAATATGAGCACACGGACGTAGAGCTAGGTCTTTTTGTGGATGGTGTTGTTGTTGTTGTTGTGTATCTTAAAGTTATTTCTGAAGTATGATGACCCAAAGGCTAACCGATCATGGCGTTTTCTTGGCAAGCTTTGTCCAGAGGGGTTTTTGCCTGAGGCTGAGAGGAAGTGACACCCAGTGAGTTTTCAATAGCTGGGAATTTGAACACTCAAATCGCACCAGGATTTCTTAGCCACTTGAAAATGGGAGTCTTTCCACATTAGAATGGGAGTTTTGCAGGAATTTCTTGAGGCCCAAAACCACCATCACCCCCACAGCATACTCAGTGGCTGTGTTGCTTGGGGAATTAATGGGAGTTGCAGACCACAACTGTAAATGGGGCATTTAGTGCCAAGATGTATTCCTAGTGGGATTGAAACCAAGAAAGAAATCTGTATACAATATATATAAATCAAAGTATGTATATATGTATGTCTGTTTGTACCATAAAGGCTGTTGCTAGATGAAGTGGCCCTCTGTGATGTCACTGGGAAAGAAAGGTGACATCTGTATGGGAGGGAAGAGAAGAGAAGAGAGAGCGAGGAAGGAAGGAAGGAAGGGAGGAAGGAAGGAAGGAAGGAAGGAAGGAAGGAAGGAAGGAAGGAAGGAAGGAAAGAGAGAGAGAAAGAAGGAAAGAAGGCAGGAAGGAAAGGAGGGAAAGAAAGGAAGTAGGAGAAAAAAGGGGGGAAAGGAGGGGAAAGATGGGTAAGGAAGGGAAGAAAGAAAAAGGAGGGAAGAGGAAGGAAAGGAAAGCAAAGGAAAGAAAGTAGGAAAGAAAAGGGGGAAGGTGAAAGCAAGGGAGGGGAAGAAAGAAAAAAGAAGAAAGGAAGAAAAAGGAAAGGGGGGAAAGTATGAGGGGAGGGGAGGAGAGAAAGAAGGCTTGAAAACAGGATGGCAGTGGCCCATCTGACACTCATGTTTATACGCTAGTAATTCATTAAAACTATCAGCCTTTTAATTTTATTTTCTCTACTCTCCATCAGGGCCTGCCACTACCTGACCCTCGGATGGACCTTTTCCTACCTGCTCTTTTTCCGCACGGTGACCTTCTTCGACTTCCCAGAGCCGACACCTTTCACCAATGCTGTGCAACTTTTGCTCACTCTCAAGGTAAATGGCACAGTGTGGTGGATGGATTAAAGCAGCAGTGGGAACAGTGTGGTGTGGGGGCCACAGTTGTTTTTGTGGCACCCAACCACATCAGATTCCCTGGATTACCTTATTTCTAGCCCATCTGAAAGGGGAGAGTTGATTTTGCTGAAAACCCCAAGAGTTTATAATATTTTACTCTATTTTTTATTATTTTACTCTATCTATTTATTATAGTTATTATTACATTTATTATTAAGTTTAAGTAGGTTGTAGCCCCTGCTAGGTTTGCCACATCAGGACTATCTCAAGGCCAAAACCTGAGAATAAGAGATATGTACCATTGCAAGGGGTAGGTCCTGGTGATGTTACAAATTGGTATTAGAAAAAAGAGCTCTCTGCTAAGCATAATAATAATAATAGAAGAAGAAGAGGAGGAGGAAGTAGTAGTAGTAGTAGTCTGCAAAGACTCTGGCACAAGCCAGTAAAGGTAGTCCCAGTGATGATCGGTACCCTGGGTGCAGTGCCTAAAGACCTTGGCCTGCACTTAGAAACAATCAGCATAGACAAAATTACCATTTGTCTGCTACAAAAGGCCACGCTACTCGGATCTGCACGCATTATTCGCCAATACATCACATAGTCCTAGGTATTTGGGAAGTGTCCAGTGTGTGATCAAATACAAAAGCTAGCGTAGTGATCTTGTTTGCTGTTTATTAATCTTGTTATTATTTTATTTTTTACCCGTCTCTCTTCGCGGCTCGAGGTGGCTCACAGCACAGACAAAACACACAAACATTGCAAAAATTCTGTTAACACGCATATTAAAATGTCATTCTGTAAAAGATACAAAAGCATCAACCAAAGTAGCTGAGAATATGTCATTCATAGCACTATGTATTAAAAAATGAAAATACACCCACCCACACTTTTCAAGGTAGTTCTCTTGCCCTGAGATGCCTTCCCTTTACTTGCAGAAAAGAGACCGGCCCTGAAATATGATAATATGGTGATAGTAATGGTTAATTTTATTTGTTACCCACCTTTCCTCATGGTTCGAGGTGGGTCACAACACAGTTAAAAAACATTACCATAAAATACATATATAAGAACATGTATAATGTATTTAATATATATGTATATTAAAATACATTATACAGAGTTTAAAATATAATATAAATAGAATGTAACTTTAGAATTCATAGTTTGACTGGAGCGGCCCACTGGTGTTCAGGGTTGCTGAATGAAAAACTGCTGGAGAGCGTTTCTGTGCTTTTAATGGCTGTGTAGGAGGAGGATTTCGAAAAGTGTTATTTACTATGTAGTTATCTGAAAAGCGTTACACAACACCTGCTGAAGTTCTTTTTTCTACATAACCTCCCCAGTTTTCACTCTGTCAAACCTACACCACAACAATGTTCTAACACTTAAAAAACCCTATGGTTTATCAAAACCAGAAAACTTACTACTTTTGATTTGGTTTCTTCCTCTTTCTCAGTTTTATTGTTTTGAGGGGTCCTGTGTGAGAATCCTCATGAGTCGTCCCCGTCCCGTCCCCCCGTCCCCCCGCCACCACAACACACACAGATTCTTTCCCAGGAAATCTACTTCCCCTGATGCCTTTAATATTTGGTCTCTGCAGATGGTGAGCTTGGCCAATGAGGTGCAAGAATTCACCCAGGCAAAGAAGCAAGAAGTGACGTCATTTTCCAAGTCTTCTGTGATTGGCGTGATTCCCAAAATGCCCGGATTGGTAGAGATCCTGTGCTACAGTTATTGCTACGTGGGGCTCATGACAGGTACCTGCGTTACCTCTCAGACACTTGCAAGCAATAGGGCAAGGTGTGAAATAAGCATACACCTCTAAATGTCCATAGTGGACTTTGCCTTCAGTAGCCATATGGGCTTTTTCTTTAGACCTCTGACTACATACAGATTGATTATCCCTTATTTGAAATACTTGGGAAGTGAAGTACCCTATATACTCGAGTATAAGCTGGGTTATAGTTATTATTACATTTATTATTTTACTTTATTATTACTGTTATTATTACATTTCAATTATTTTACTCTATTATTATTACYGTATATTCYGGGGTACTAGATGACTTTTTAGGCATGTAAAACCTTATAAAATTTTGGGGGTCATCTAGTTCACTGGGTATAAAATTAAAATAATAATAAAATTACTTAATATGGCTGCCTTGGCCTCRGGCTCCCCTCCTCCTCCTCGTCCGCCTTGGCTCACGGCGGCCTCCTGGGCAGGCTCCCCGTCCTTCCTGGCTGCCTTCCTTGCAGAGGCCCAGGCCGGGCCCCTGGGCTGCTTCCCGCGCTGCTCAGGCCGCTCTCTTTCTTCCTGTCCATGCCTCGCGAGAAGTGCCTCTTCTCCCACGAGACAACATCTTGCGGGAGAAGACACACTTGGCGCGAGGCCTGGACAGGAAGAAGGAGAGTGGCCTGAGAAGCGCCTGGTTTGGGGAGTCGTCTTAAAGAGCGAGTATATCCCCAACTCTCAATTTGATTGCTAAAATTGGGGGGTCGTCTTATAGCCCCAGTCGCTTTATACCCCAGAATATACGGTACATGTATTATTTTACTCCCCTTATCATTATTGGAAGGATACATAAGCACATTTACATTGAAGAAGGTTAGAAGAAGGTTAGCTGCTGCATTTCCCACCCTTGGCTTATACTCAAATCAATACATTTTCCCAGGTTTTTGTGGTAAAATTAGGTTCCTCGGCTTATATTTGGGTTGGCTTATGCTTGATTATATATGGTATTTGGAATTATTTGCATATACATAATATACACATATGCACAATACACAACATGAGTAATTTAATGCATAATATATTTGCAAGGTTGGAGAGAAACATGAGGCTGAGCACAGGCTGCAGATCTGTGAAGTGGCAGGAATCCAAGCCTAGTGCTCAGTGCAGATCAATGCCTGCGATCATATCAGAGATCCTTGTGTGTCTCTGCATCCTCATACCTCTCTCCACCCTTGTGTCTTGTTTGTATACTGTTCATGTTGGGTATGAGACATGAGGTTGGAGAGAAACTGAGGATCTCAAAAACAAATATGAGGGACCTGATATTCAGGGGGGAAATAGTACTGTAGAGGAGATCTTTGGGGATTCTGCCAGGCTTGCAAACGAACAAGAAGACTTACTGCAGCAAATACAGAAATGAGCAGCTGGCAGCAAAAAGTTTACTATTTTGAAGTCTTTCAGATTATGGATATTCTAAACAAAATAGGGGCAGAGGATACTAATTTTGTTGCAGTTTCCTTTAAAAGGAAAATAAATCATATTTCATATTTTCTTTCATTTTGTGTTTTTTGCTGTCTTATATAGATATGGGAGGAACACCCCTAAAAAGAAAATAAATGAGAAAAATTGATTTTTCCCCCATTTCCCCTTTCTCCACTCTAGACAACAGAGATTAGAATTGTTTTTTCTGTTGTCTTCAACATTTCCAAACATTATCTATCTCTAATCCTGTTGTTTTCCCCTACTGACAAAAGCATGTTACTGACCTCTGGTGCTTATTCCGAGTATTACCTCCATATTAGTGATCTCTGTGCGTGTTTCCAATTTACATGCTGTAACTTCTGTCATTCTCTTTTCCCATGAGAATAGCACAAGGCATCCATATACCTATTCTTAAAGATTCATTAATGAATTTTATCAACTATTTAGATGCAAGAATTTCTCGGTAGTGTATAATAATAACATTAATATCAGGCATACCATATATACACTATACACAAAAGATTCGATTTATGTTGCCCATTATACAGGTGATAAGTTGGACTATATGGAGGGGAAATGGGTAAGCGTTCCATTGGCATTTAATTGTTGGAGCATGGATTCAACCCCACACTGCCCAAGTCTCAAGTCCTCAACGAGGAGCAGTTAGTTAGTTTAAAATAGTCTAAGGCAGGGGTCCCCAAACTAAGGTCCGGGGGCCAGATACGGCCCTCCAAGGTAATTTACTCGACCCTTGCTCAGTGAAACGATTTGAAAGCACACAACAACAGCAATCCTATCTCATCAGCCAAAAGCAGGCCCACACTTTCCATTAAAATACTAATAAGTGTATATGTGTTAAAATTGTTCTTAATTTTAATTATTGCATTCTTTTTCAGGGTTTTTCTGCACTATAGATAAGATATGTGCAGTGTGCATAGGAATTCATTCATGTTTTTTTCAAATTATAATCCGGCCCTCCAACAGTTTGAGGGACTGTGACCTGGCCCTCTGTTTAAAAAGTTTGAGGACCCCTGGTATAAGGGGTTCCCTTCCCCCATGTCTCCAGAATGAGAGTTGGGAATGTGTCTTTTTCTTCTCTCTTCTGTCTTTCTGCTCTCATTCTGATTGTTTTAAATGGATGCTTTTCTACTGCAAGCCTTTTTGAATCTGACTTCTGCCTTCTTACACTTTGGTATGGAGAGTATGTGCCGTGTGCTTTGAGATTTCTCTCTGCTTGTGTGTCAGGAGAGATGTAGTGATTTGTGTTTGTCCCTTCCTTTGAAACCTTAGAAGAAACCAATTATTAAGTTTATTCTTGATAATTAAGAAATGTAGTTGGTTATTTTTACTGTAAATAAATCTTTTGTGATTTTTTAAGATTGGACTCTGCATATTTGCCTTCTAAGCTCTAAATTTTTTCCAGTCACATCACACGACGCCTCACACTTTGCTCACTAATGAGCTGATGCTCAACTTTTGTATCCTGTTTGATTTTTGAATGCTCTGCTATATTTTAGGGTAGTTTTCCCTAACACTACATACCAAGGGATCTCTCCACATAATATTGAAGATTGAATGTGTCTGAAAGAGAAAAGGTTGTCTTTCATGTAATCATAGTTCAAGATTTACTTCCCCTATAGAACTGAGAGGCAGAAACATTCAGTGAAAGCTGTCTTACCATTGCATAAAAGCTACATATATTCTTGAATTATGTGTGCTGGCATTATATTCTCCCCCTTGTTTTGTCTTGGCCTTTTGTGGCAAAATTCTCTCTATGGGTGGATTGATATGAATGTTGTTTTCTCGTATCCAGGTCCGTTTTTCCGCTACCGGACTCATTACGATTGGCTCAACCAGCCTGATTCCTCTGCCATCCCAAGCTGGCAACCACTGCTTTCCAGGGCAAAATTTATCCCAGTTTTTGGGGCCTTTTTCCTGGCGGTCTCCCACTTCTTCCCTCTTAGTTATGTCCGGAGCGATGACTTCTACAAACGAGCGCTTCCTTTCCGCCTCTTCTACATGGTGCCCATCTTCTTCGTCTTCCGCATGCGCTTCTACGTGGCCTGGCTGTGCGCCGAATGCGCCTGCATTGCTGCTGCCTTCGGGGCTTACCCAACTGCTGCCAAAGCGCGTTCAGGCGGGGGCCCCACTCTGGAATATGAACCACTTAGCAAGTGAGTGAAGAAAACGCCTCCTTTTAAGCTTATGATTCCTTCTCCAGTTCACATTTACAGAACTGCATTATGGAATCCTGCTTTACAGATGTTGAGCCTTTGTCATATTAATGTGATTAATGGAACACAAGCTGGATTGGTTGAGCCCTTAAAATATTTTTGCATATACAATGTATGTGTGTGGACATTTCATTTTGTTTACTTTGGATACACTGAATTTTGTATAACCGGCATGGGCAAACTTGACCTCTCCAGGTATTTTGGACTTCAACTCCCACAATTCCTAACAGCCTCAGCCCCCCCCCCCTCCGCCCTCCCTGGCGGCTTAAGCAGCTTAGAAGGAAATGGAAGGGGCCTGAGGCTATTGGGAATTTTGGGAGTTTAAGTTCAAAACACCTGAAAAGCCCAAGTTTGCCCATGCCTGGTATAGAGCCTCAGAACTTTGTTTTTGTGGCTGCCACATACTCTGTTGAATTGGTTGAGACTCTATGAGATATTCATTGAAAAACTATAGCAAAATGTGCTGCAGGATGTGTGTCCCCCCCCCCCAAAAAACCCCAAAGTTTTAGCAGTTTAATAAACCCTTTCCATGTTTTTATGATAGAACCAATTAGGAAATGACATTTATAACTCAGGAACAAAAATCATGTTACATAGTGTAATCATAAGTGGGGCTGAAATACTGAAAAGGTATATTCACTCAATAAGCTTCATGGCTGAAGGACGCTTTTTAAAATTAAGAGAAAATTAAGTTTATTAGATCATCCTCTTGCCCTTTCAGACTGTGTTTACAACTGAATAAATAAGCAACCTACAATCCCTTACTTACTCTTCTAAAGGCCATGAAGCCAGTTGTTTTCTCTACGTATACTGAAGGTAGGGAAGGCTTTTTCCTCCACAAACGTCATACGACTTCAGGATGGAATATTTAACTAGGACCTTCCCTGCAGGAACAGACCATTTAAACCAGTGGTTCCCAATCTTTTTTTTGACCAGGAGAGTGATTCCTGGTCAAGTGGTCCCTGGTCAAAAAAAATATTTTGTTCTTTGCACTTCATCCAATACCCTGGCCCTATGGTACACATTTTCACTATCCAATGCCTGGCCCTTTTTATAGCTTGGCCATGTCCATTGTATTACTGGCTATTGGTTTTTGTTGAGCATTGTTTTCTTTGGTTTTCAATGTTGCTGTTTTATATTACATTTTATTTAATTGTGGTTTTTATCTGGATTGTTATATTTTACTATGTTCTTATTTTAATTGTGTTTTTGCCTTAGTGGATATTTTGTATTTATGTCTTGTGGGCATTTTGTCCCATGTGTAAGCCACCCCGAGTCCCTTGTTTTTATTATTATTTATATAAATAAACATTTTTATTTGTGGGATTAACAGAACTCAAAAACCACTAGGGGAATTGACACCAAATTTGTACACAAGACACCTAACAACCCAATGTATGTCCTTCACTCAAAAAAATGATTTTGTCATTTGGGAGTTGTAGTTGCTGGGATTTGTAGTTCACCTACAATCAAAGAGCATTCTGAACCCCACCAACAATGGAACTGAACCAAACTTGGCACACAGTTCTCCCATGACAAACAGAAAATACTGGAACGGTTTGGTGGGCAGTGTCCTTTGGTTTTGGAGTTATAGTTCATCTACATCCAGAGAGCACTGTAGACTCAAACAATGATGGATCTGGACCAAACTCTACATGAATACTCTATATGCCCAAATGTGAACACTGGTGGAGTTTGGGGAAAACAGAATCTTGACATTTGGGAGTTGTAGTTGCTGAATTTGTAGTTCACCTACAATCACAGACCATTCTGAACCCCACCAACGATAGACTTGGGCCAAACTTCCCACAAAGAACCCCCATGACCACCAGAGTGGGCCACAGCAACGCATGGCAGGGGATGGCTACTTATTTATCATTCTTAAAAATCTAGGACTGGCTTTAAGAATCATAATGTTTACTATTACACAGATGTTACAGTGCAACTACGATGGAATCCTTCTATTAAAAATTCCAGTGTACTGTATTATAGGAAGCATTCAGACTATCATCCATAGGTAGCTTATATATAGATTGCATTAGTGTTCTGAAGGTTACAAATCCATTACTGCTTTGTTTTTTACTTTTCTGATAAGCAGATCAGCTGACGGGGAAGCATCAGAAGTCACCTATGATTATGAAACAATCAAGAACATTGATCCACATGGCACAGACTTCTGCGTCAAGGTGAAGGACGGCATGCGCTATTGGAACATGAGTGTCCAATGGTGGCTGGCACAGTACATCTACAAAAGTGCCCCTGTCCGATCTTATGTCATGAGGTGAGTAGAGTGGCACAAAGTGAGGAAGGAGTACTAGTAAGACCCCTAAATCCATTGGGGATATGTCCCGGGTTGGGCTGTGATTACTTGAAACCATATATATGACCAAATGCTTCCAATCCCAGCCTATCATAGCATTGTGTTGGAGGACATCGCAATTCCTAGAGAGATGTTCTCTTTAGGGGTTTGCTGAGTCCTCCAGTGCAATTCTGTGTTAACTTCAAGGAGAAGCATATTTAAGCAGCTGAGGGGGGGAAAGGAAAAGACCTCAGGCTGTTAGGAATTGTGGGAGTTGAAGTCCAAAACACCTGGAGGGCCCAGCTTTGTCCATGCCTGCACTAAACAGTACTTGCATGAAGACAGCAGGAGCTGAACATCCTGGAAGCCACTGAAAACAGGCGTTAATGTTCAGATGAGCGTTTTGAGAGGAAAACGTCCATTACTAAACTAATTACAATCTGAAAATATTATGGCCAATTTGAGCAGTATGATAAAGCACTCTATGATGTGTGCAACAAATGTGATAATTAGCAGTAAGTACTATAAAAGGGAGGGATTAATGCGAAATGAAGGTATCATATGCAGGTACTTCTCTTCCATTTATGCAGAAGAGTAACTGTGAATAGCATACAGGCCAAAAAAGAAAGAACCAAATTATGTAAGTGTGGAAGATCACAACAGATGGTGGATTCATTGAGATAGAGGAGTTCCAAAATGTAGATTTGGTTGGAAAGAAATAGTGAAGGTTTATGGAAATTAAAATAATAGTTAAACCTGATAACAGCAATGGAAGCATCGTATTTCCCATATAATGCAGTGTGAAACAACATTATATGGTCATTGTAGACTCGCATAATGCAGTTTAACTGCATTGAATTACATTATATGAGTACTCTGAGCATATAATGCAATTTTAAATAGTATTATATGGCAGTGTAGATGAGGCCAGAAATTGATAATGAGCAGGAAAGAAATTGTGAAGGATCCAAAGATGAGGGGGGAGAGAGGCTCAAATTAACAGTAATGATGATGATGGATTTGTGGATCCACCAATGTGTTTTCCTTTGCCTTAGAAATCCACTTTACACCAGCATTGGTTCTTTTCCAATGCCATCTCAAAGCTTCTTATGAAATAATAACAACAACAATAATAACTCTGGCACATGCCAGTAAAGGTGGCCTCGTTGATAATCGGCACACTGGGTGCAGTGCCTAAGACTTTGGTCTACACCTAAAAACAATTGGCGCTGACAAAATAAACATCTATCAGCTGCAAAAGGCTACCCTACTTGGATCTGCATGCATTATTCAACAATATATCACACAGTCCTAGACACTTGGGAAGTGTCTGACGTGTAATCAAATACAAAGGCCACCACAGTGATCTTGTTTGCTGGGTGTCTTGTTATGTACCAAATAACCATCTTGAGTTGCCTTTGGCTGAGAAAGGCGGTATAAAAATGCAGTAAATAAAAATAAATAATAATAAGGTGCAAACAAGCAAAATACAAAAAATGCAAAGACACCAGGACTGTGGTGCAGCTGGCTGGGAGTCAGCTGCATTAAGATCATGGAAAGATCATGAGTTCGAAGCCAGCCCGTGTCGGAGTGAGCTTCTGACCAATTGTGTAGCTTGCAGTTGACCTTTGCAGCCCAAAAGGCAGTTGCATCTGTCAAGTAGGAAATTTAGGTATCGCTTGTGTGGGAGGCTAATTTAACTAATTTACGACACCATAAAATCTCCAGCAAGTGTGCAAAGAATGAGGAAGTATTCCATCAGTGCCACAAATGGATGGTGAAGCGACAGTTCCCCTGTTAATGAATACCCTCATGAAGCTGGAATGTTAAATAGCCTCTGTGTGTCTGTCTATATAAGTTGTGTGTCTATGGCATTGAATGTTTGCCATGTATATGTACATTGTAATCCGCCCTGAGTCCCCTGCAGGGTGAGAAGGGGGGAATATAAATACTGTAAATAATAATAACAAAATAATACCACAAAAACAATAACAACCAATATAAACATCACAACATAAACAGCTTTTGTAAAATTCAACAATAACTGCAGTTATAAAACAACTGCAATCAATATCAGTTCTCATAAAGTGCACGGTGAAATAGTATCTAGTTTCTCAAATATGTTCATTAAGGGATTCTAAACATGGTCAAAGGCTTGTCGAAATAGCCATGTCTTCAATTGTATACGGAATTCTTGGAGAGTGGGGGTTAGCCTAATCTATCACAGGAGGGCATTCTAAAGTCAGAGGAACACCACGAAAAAGGCCCTTCATTTCATCCCCACCAACCGCACTTGAGACAGGTGGGACTGGGAGGAGGGCCTCCCTGGTAGATCTTAGTTCCTGTACCGGTTCATAGAAGGAGATGTGGTCTCGAAGATAGGTTGGACCCAAAGCGTATAGGGCTCTATAGGTAATAACCTGCACTTTGAATTGAAAGCCTTTGGGTTTTCAAATCTCATGCCCATTCTTTGAATTATTTTATCAATTCAAGCTGTTTCATAATCTGTTTCATAAACTGTTGGGCGAGTGGGCTTAATAACAAAAGACCGTCCTCATAAATGTACAGCAGAACAACTCAGGAGCAGCAGCGTAACCCAGCACCAGTAGCCCAAAGTGATAAAAGAATACAAACACTCAGACCAGTGTTACGTCTTCCATAGGAGGCTTTTCTTTGTAGTCTATATACATAAAAATATAATGTTTCATAGAATCATAGAATCAAAGAGTTGGAAGAGACCTCATGGGCCATCCAGTCCAACCCCTCTGCCAAGAAGCAGGAATATTGCATTGAAATCACCCCTGACAAATGGCCATCCAGCCTCTGCTTAAAAGCTTCCAAAGAAGGAGCTTCCACCACACTCCGGGGCAGTGAGTTCCACTGCTGAACAGCTCTCACAGTCAGGAAGTTCTTCCTCGTGTTCAGATGGAATCTCCTCTCTTGTAGTTTGAAGCCATTGTTCCACGTCCTAGTCTCCAAGGAAGCAGAAAACAAGCTTGCTCCCTCCTTCCTGTGGCTTCCTCTCACATATTTATACATGGCTATCATATCTCCTCTCAGCCTTCTCTTCTTCAGGCTAAACATGCCCAGCTCCTTAAGCCGCTCCTCATAGGGCTTGTTCTCCAGACCCTTTGTTTGTGGGATTAACATAACTTAAAAACCACTGGACGAATTGACACCAAATTTGGACACAATACAACTATCAGGCTAACGAGTGACCATCACTCATAAAAATGCTGAAAAACATAGCAGAAGGGACTTAAAAAGCCAAAAAATAAAATAATACATTACAACGCATGCACAAAAACTCACATATATACGCAAACACGCATATATATATACCTATACACAAATATATACACACATATACACATATATACACACACAAAACACATATACACAGACTGGGCCACAGCAACACATGGTAGGGGACAGCTAGTAGTCAATATTTCATATTTCTGACATATTTTATCCATTCAAGCTGTTTTGTAATCTTGCTCAAAACATTTTATTGCTTTTAATATGGAATTGTTTTCAGTTGTTTGCATGGTTTTACTGGTGTGCCACCTGAGATTCAAAGATAAAGAGATCAATAGTAATAATAACAAAAATAATAAATATTTGAGGAAATAAAAGAGAAATGCTTCCTTTTCAGGAGCGCGTGGACCATGCTTATCTCGGCCTACTGGCATGGGATCCACCCCGGCTATTACCTCAGCTTCCTTACCATCCCGCTGTGCCTCGCAGCAGAGGGGGCCATGGAGAGTGGGCTTCTAAAACACCTCTCCACTTCTCAGCGCCTCTTTGGAGACTGGGTGCAGTGGTTCCTGAAGATGAGGGCCTACGACTACATGTGCATGGGTTTTGTGCTGCTCACCTTTGAGGACACCGTCCGGTACTGGAGCTCCATCTACTTTTGCATCCATGGAGCGGCCCTGGCATTCTTCCTGCTGGGGAAAGTGTTGGGCTCCAGGAGGCAGCAGGCTTCCCAGAAAGACAAAGACGGAGCCGTGGAGAGACCACAACACATTGAGTGACCAATCTGATACAAAGATGATGCAAACACTCCCAAAGGCCCTGGGGATCAGGGGAGCATTCAGTATAAGACTGCCATTGCTAAGTTTCACCAATAGCTGGAAAATCCAAGAAAGGCAAACTGGAACTGAGTCTCCACACTCCAACTTTGCTCCCATAAAACGCTCCTGACATAAGTTGCCGTCTGTGAGAACTCACTAGAAACTAGTGAATCCTAAGGAGGATAAATCCATCTATTTCTTCACACTTTGAGGGGATTCTCGGCTTTCTTTCTAGCCTTTGCTCTCCTCCCAGGAAATGTAGGAGCCCCGTTTCCTAGCATCCCTCTCCCTTTAGACATATTTCCATTTTTATTTTTAAGCTTACTCCAGATCTCAAAAGCTTTACTGGGACAAACTGGGTCTCTACAAAAGCAAGCTGTCTCTTGTCTCATTTCCAACACTCCTTTGTTTATATAGGATTCTTTATTTAAATTGCTCAGCTGAATCCTTGAAATAATGTTCTGGGTTTGGAAGTGGGATTTGGAGGCTTGCTTCTGTGTGGTAGATCAGCTGAGGACGCTATGGAGTAGAAATATATGGAAAGGCACAACCAAATCAGTTGTACTGTCGAAGGCTTTCATGGCTGGAATCACTGGGTTGTTGTAGGTTTTTCGGGCTAAATGGCCATGTTCTAGAAGCATTCTCTCCTGACGTTTTGCCTGCATCTATGGCAAGCATCCTCAGAGGTTGTGAGGTCCTCGCAACCTCTGAGGATGGATGCCATAAATGCAGGCAAAACGTCAGGAGAAAATGCTTCTAGAACATGGCCATTTAGCCTCATAACCTCAGAGGATGCTTGCCATAGATGCAGGTGAAACGTCAGGAGAGAATGCTTCTAGAACATGGCCATTTAGCCCGAAAAACCTACAACAACCCAAATCAGTTGTGTTTTCAGAGTTTTGCTTTGAACTACAAAACTATTGTGTTTCTCTTACCTAGCTCAGAATCGGTGATACCTTTGTTGGGGTGAGGTTCTAGGAGGTAAAAAGGCACTTTTATACCTGGATCATGGGACTGTGAAAAGAGGAGACAACAAGAATAATGTTCCACTGATTTGCTGGACAGATACAAACAGGAACATTACATTTTGCAAAGGAAAAACTACTGTATCTTAAGGCATCGGTGTTCACTTATGGGGAAGCTGTGTCAAGCTGTGACGTTTGAATTTCGGACTGCAAAATACTGTTCTAGCTCTACAAATACATATTTGGGGGGATGCGAGTCTTGAAAAATTGGCTTTGCATTACAGAACACCCAAATTATTGTTAATGTAACTTGGCCTGCTTCAAGAATGGCATCTTTATATTCAAAAATAATATACTGTGTGTAAAAAATATTTTGCGTCCTAGGCTGATGCCTAACTGAAAAATAAAAAGTTTGTTATGAAACTGGGTTGTTGTGAGTTTTCCAGGCTGTATGGCCATGTTCCCGAAGCATTCTCTCCTGACGTTTCACCCACATCTATGGCAGGCATCTTCAGAGGTTGTGAGCTCTGTTGGAAACTAGGCAAGTGGGATTTATATATCTCTGGAATATCCAGGGTGGGAGAAAGAACTCTTGTCTATTTGAGGCAAGTGTAAATGCTGCAATCCATCACCTTGATTAGCATTGAATAGCTTTGTAGCTTCAAGGCTTGGCTGCTTCCTGACGGGAACCCTTTATTGGGAGGTGATTAGCTGGCCCTGATTGTTTTTTGCCTGAATTCCTCTGGTTTTTTTTAGTGTTCTTTCTTAACTCTCCTGATTTTAGAGTTGCATTTTCTGGGTCCCATTGCAGTAATCTGGCCCCAAAATGAGACCAGGACAACTACCAGGCTTGCGATATGAAGGAAGACATTCCTGGCAACACACAAAAAAGCAAACACAACGACTGTTAATTATTGAGGAAAGAAAGTGGGGGTCATCACAACATGATGAATTGTATTAAGGGGTTGTGGCATGAGGAAGGTTGAGAAACACTGACTTAGAGGAAGCATAGCTGCAATTCAATGGAAAGTTATGCTGTCAATTGAAAAGTTTCCCCATCTATGACATTTTTTCCCAGGCAATTGGAAGGTAGGCAGACCTACAGGCCACATAAAAACTCCTTTGGATCTCAGGAGTGCTGTGTTCTGCATTGCTCCCATCCCTTTTCAAAAGCGAGTTACACGGAAGCAAACTCTGCCCATTACTGTCATTACTCCAGGGCTCTGATCTATTAGTTGCCAAGTGACTGCCTTTGTTCAAGGGGCAAATTGTCCCAAGGAATAATTAATCCAAGCCCAGGCTTGCTCGATTACTTCCTTGTTCCTTGTTCCCTAAACTGAAAGGAAGAAAGTGCAGAGAGGAAGAAATGTACCTGTAACCTGCAGCCATGGATGACAACTGGACGGACCGTTTGGGGAGGCGTGACGATGAAAGAGGTACCATGAAATAATTGCCTTGGGGTTGGCTAGATTTACCTGGGACTGATTGATAAACACCTCCCAAAATAACCTCCAACTCTTTTTTTACATTCATAACTCCCACAATTCCTAACAGCCAGAAACTAGGGCCCTCCAGGTGTTTTGGACTTCCAACTCCCACAATTCCTAACAGCCAGTAGGCTGTTAGGAATTGTGGGAGTTGAAGTCCAAAACACCTGGAGGGCCCAAGTTTGCCCATGCCTGGTATAAGCCCCCAATGCAACGCCTTCCATATGAAATGGATTGTAATCTTTACATTAGTCTGTATTCAACTCATATGGAGAACATAAAGTTGGGGGAAGCTAGGGGAAATCTTTCCGATCCCTTCAGTCGGGCAGCAACAACATGGCATAACGAAACAGTAATTTGTTAAAGTACTCCAAATCATTTTAAGGGAAGGGGAAAGTACACCAAATGAGTATTTTTAAAAAGACAGGTACTGACAATGACAGCTAAATTATGACTTGTCTAGAATCCAAAGTCTTTAAAAAACGTGCATGTGGTTGTCCGAGATAATAAAAACTGCTTTCTGATGGTTTAATTTACGTTTTTTGTTTTATGTATACAAATATTTAAAATATTGTGTATAAAACTATCACCAGGCTATGTGGGCAAGGTGCATATGAAACAAATGAAATTCATGTTTAGAATTGGATCCCTTCTCTAAGATATCTCATGTTCCTATGCAAATATTCCAAATTCCATATTATGCAACACTTCTGGCCCCAGGTATTTTGGATTATTTATTTATTTATTTATTTATTTATTTACTATGCTTCTATACCGCCATTCTCAGCCCGAGGGCGACTCATGGCGGTTTACAAAACAGCACAATTCAATGCCCACAACAGTACAAAAATAATTTAAACATTAAAAACATTTAACACAGGTAAAAATTCATTACAATTAACATCAGTAACACAATAAAAACCATAAGTCCTCTGCATGGATACTCAAACTTTTATTTAGTTATGGTTGTAATAGCCAGCATGCCAGCACCTTAAATCAAGAAACAGCTTCCAAGATCTACATTGATACTCGCAGGAACAGCAAACAAGAGTCCAAAAGTGGCAGGCTAAAACCAAGCACCTAAATCAGTGGCTGATACCAAATGAAAAACTGCCTCCCGGGCACACAGAAGAGTGAGTGACTTGGAAGGTGCTGAACTGCACTCTGGCACCACGAGATGCAGAGCCAACTTTGAGAAATGGGGCTACAAAGTGGAGCCCACAACATACAAGTGTGGAGAAGAGCAAACCACAGACCATCTGCTACAATACAACCTGAATCCTGCTACATGCACAATGGAGGACCTTCTCACAGCAACATCAGAGGCACTCCAAGTGGCCAGCTTTTGGTCAAAGGAAATACCATAATGCCAAGTTTTTAACTTTGTCTGTGTATTTTTAAATACATTATAACTGCACTGCTTCTGACACAATAAATAAATAAATAAATAAATAAATAAATAAATAAATAAATAGCAAGACAAACGGGGATGTTTTTAATGAAAAATAATAACCAACATGCAATGCAGTGGGCATGCCAGGCTTGAAGGCATAAAAGAGGATGCAGAATTCCCTCCAAAGAAAGAAGGAGATACGTATCTATGCCATAGTTAACTTTCCTCCCAGGTCAAGTGGATTTATGTTGTAAACATCACTGATGGAGGCCAGAGCTTGGAAAAGTTACTTTTTAGACTGCGCTTCCCAGCGTGGCACTGGCCAGGAGATCTTACAATCTGTTGACCAAAAAAAGGGGGGAAATTGGAGTCTTGTGCAGCTATACAAATTTTAAATATCAAAATGATGGTACAGTAGAGTCTTGCTTATCCAACATAATTGGGCCAGCAGAACGTTGGATAAGCTAAAATGTTGGATAATAAGGAGGGATTAAGGTAAACCCTATTAAGTGTCAAATTACATTATGATTTTACAAATTAAGTACCAAAACATCATGTTTTACAAGAAGTCATAGAATCATAGAGTTGGAAGAGACCTCATGGGCCATCCAGTCCAACCCCCTGCCAAGAAGCAGAAAAATTGCATTCAAAGCACCTTGACAGATGGCCATCCAGCCTCTGTTTAAAAGTTTCCAATGAATCAACAGAAAAAACAATTCAATACAAAATAACGATATGTAGTAATTTCTGCATTTACTACACACACACACACACAAAATATCACCCCAAACCTATATTTTGCCATTTTAAATGAGAGATATCTTTTTACTGCCATTAGAATTAAGCACCCTTAGATCTTAGTATCAATGGTGGGTCCAGGAACCAAACCCCAATAGATCCCCAGGACCCTCTGTACTTTCAACAAAGATAACATTTCTCTATGTTTACATCTTTAAGTACCAAAACATCGCAATGTATTGAAACAGCTGTAGATCCAGGCAGGAGGCAGGACGTTGGATGAGCAAAGGTTCGATAAGCGAGACTCTACTGTATTGCAGGATCCCAATAGATCATGCATCTGCGCAGCCCCAAGGATCATAGACTACTCGGTTTTGGAAAGCGTGACCTGTTTTATAGATTTGCACTTGATACGACTCCCACCAATTTCATTGACTTTCTGCTCTGTCTAATGCTTGAATACAATGCAAGAACATTTTAATCAACTCCACGAATAATAAAATCCGCACATGTGGCGGGATGACCATACTTAAAAAGTGGGCATCTTCTCCTCGACACACGCATGTTTATTCTATTCTGGATCTTCTCTCCAGAGCCAGCTTGGAGTGGCCGAGGACCCCCATCTCTATTTCTCCAGCTGCCAAGCAACCAGACACTACGTTTACGGGGCAACAAGGCAGTGGATTGGGGAGCAGCTTGGGAAGAGGCCTCGGAGCCTACCATTGATCCCCAAGAACTGATCCCAGAATTTGTGTCAGGAGAGGAAGAGGAAGACAGCAAGCCCCTGAAAGAGCTGCTCCTCCCGCTTGCGGAGAAACGAAAACTCAGGTAATAAAGCAAATGGTTTGTTGAAGGGGGAAGAAGATGGAGATTCAGGAGGTTTTCCCAAAGGAGGCTTCCTTACTTGGGCACCTTCCAGGTATGTTGGGCTGCAATGCTCATCATCCTCAGCCAGCATGGTCCTGCAAATGCATGGAATTGAAAAGGTGTTACCCAACTGAAAAATAAGAAGCTAACCAGCAATTTTCCAATTAAATCATATCATTTAGATCAGGCATGGGCAAACTTTGGCCTTCTGGGTGTTTTGGACTTCAACTCCCACAATTCCTAATAACCGGTAGGCTGTTAGGAATTGTGGGAGTTGTAGTCCAGATCACCTGGAGGGCCCAAGTTTGCCCATGTTTTATTTAGACCCAGATCCATTCCTATAAGCTCTAAATGCCTATTATCCTTTGCTTTATCCCATAAGGAACCAAAGTGGCTTCCTGAGCCAGGCTCCCTCCCCATTTTGCATGCAACCTATTTACCCACATTGCTGCTTAAGATAAATATGATAATTAACAAAGAATGCAGACTCTGGAACTTTTTGTACTTAATGAACAGTCCTGTCTATTCACTTTATCTGATGTTCTAAACAGGTAATGTGTTTTTAACCGCTTGTATATGTTGTATTTTAATATGTTATTGATCCCTGCTTGATCCACAGGAAGAGGTGGATAGGATATTATTATCAAAATTAGTATACAGCAAACAAGATCACTATGCTGGCTTTTGTATAAGATCACTATGCTGGCTTCCCAAGTGTCTAGGACTGTGTAATGTATCAGGTAATAATGCGTGCAGATCCAAGTAGGGTGGACTTTTGCAGCAGAAAGAGGTAATTTGGTCAGTGCCGATTGTTTTTAAGTACAGGCCAAGGTCTTTATTTACTTTATTTATTTATTTATTTACTTTATTTATATACCGCTTTTCTCAGCCCTCAGGCGACTCAAAGCAGTGAACAACATCGATACAAAACTTCACGAGACAAGTATAAAAACAATTGTAACATAAATCATTAAACATCAGTATAACAATCATTAGTGCCTTAACCACTGCACCCAGTGTGCCGATCACCACTGGGACCACCTTTACTGGGTTGTGCTGGAGTCTTTATTATTATTAGAAACACAACAAGGTGAATCCACAGCAGACACTCTGCTGGTTATTGTATTGGATCACACGTCGGACACTTCCCAAGTTGTGGTTGTTGTTGTTATTATAATTTTTTGAAATACAACCAAATTAGTACACAGCAAACAAGATCACTATGCTGGCTTTTGTATTGGATCACACGTCGGACCCTTCCCTATTATTATTATTATTATTATTATTATTATTATTATTATTATATGCAATGAGATAATTAAACATTTTTAAAGCAAAATTCAATCTTACTGCAACATTATCAATTGGAGAACTTCTTTCAATATTTATTAGAATCATAGAGTTGAAAAAGACCATAAGGGCCTTCTAGTCTAACCCAATGCCATGCAGGAAAATACAATAAAAGTATTGTTGTTGGGTGCCTTCAACTAATTTTTGATATATCGCAACTCATGTGTGAACCAGTTGGATGTTAGGAATTGTGAGAGTTGAAGTCCAAAACACCTGAGGGGCCAAAGTTTGCCCATGCCTTGTCTACACTGTCATATAATCCAGCTCAATGCAGTTACACAATATTCTGAAACTGCATTATATGGCAGTGTAGATGGGGCCCTCGCCTAGTGCCATCATGGGTGACAGATATTCTCATATTCTTCTGGCCCTCCGTTTGTGTATTTGTGATGCTCTAGAATTTGCCACATTATTTGCTCTTCTGTTTGCGTATTATATTCAGAACCAAGATTCAAATTCCTGGCATCCATTCTGTTTAATCTACACTCTAATAATGTGTCAGAAAAGATATTCCATCTTCTATGTGATACCAATTCAGTGGTAACTTGCAAGTTTTCTCTTTTCGCCCTTACAGCCATGAAAATTAGGTCTATATTTATTGCCGATATTGCAGTTGATTGCCTTGAGGAGGCTCTTAGCTAATTGAATTTTATCTAATATGTGACATGGTATTTTAACGGTATTCAATTCTAACAGGCAGGAACTGTATGCCAATTATTTTTATAGCCCTTTTATATAGTTTTATATGATTGCACTTTTATATTGTATTTATTTGTTTGTATTTTTTTTCGTGTCAGGAGCGACTTGAGAAACTGCAAGTAGCTTCTGGTGTGAGAAAATTGGCCATCTGCAGTGACGTTGCCCAGGGGACACCTGGATGTTTTACCATCTCTCATGTCCCCACATGAGAAGCTGGAGCTGACAGACGGGAGCTCACCCCACTCCCTGGAGATGAACCGCCAACCTTTCGATCAGCAGTACTGCTGACACAAGGGTTTAGGAATTGTGGAAGTTGTAGGCCAAAACACCTGTAGGGCCAAGGTTGCACATGCCTGCATTAGTGGATTAAAAAAACAACATTTTAATCAAACCCTCAAATAATCAAATTTGCAAAAAAAAAAAAAATTCAAATGTGGAAGGTCACCTGTACAGAATCTAAGAGACACATTTCTATAACTTGAGAATTGCCTTGTATTTCAATATTTGAAAGGATGTCACATTGAGGAGAGAGCAAGCATGTTTTCTGCTGCTCTGGAGACTAGTAGGACACAATGGAACAATGGATTCAAATGGCAGGAAAAAAAGATTCCACTTAAAACATTAGGAAGCACTTCTTCATGTGTAAGAGCTGTTTGGCAGTGGAGTATGTTGCGTCGGAGCATGATGGAGTCATCTTATTTAAGCAGAGGCTGGATGGTCATCAGTCGGGAGGGCTTTGATTGTGTGTTCCTGCATTGCAGAAAAGGGTTGGACTGGATTGCCTTTGGGTCTCATCCAATTTCAGCATTCTAGGATTCTATGAGTTCCAAGAGGTTAGGGTTAAACTGCTGAGCTGCTGACCGGAAGGTAGACGGTTCGAATCGGCAGGACGGGGTGAGCTCCCGTTGATAGCCCCAGCTTCACCAACCTAGCAGTTCAAAAGCATACATAAGTGAGTAGATACATAAGAGCCACTCTGGCGTGAAGGTAACGGTGCTCCGTACAGTCATGCTGGCCACACAACCTAGGAGGTGTCTATGGACAACGCCGGCTCTTTGGCTTAGATATGGAGATGAGCACCAACCCCTAAAGTCAGATTCGACTTAATGTCAAGAGGAAACTTTTACCTTTACTATGAGCTACAAGCCCAGGTTTTGATAGATGCACCCACTCATTAAACCACATGGGCTCTTTCTCTCCTGACTCTTTATGTCCTTTTTTCAAGAGCTCTGCAAGAACAGGCAGCCAAAAGGCTCACTGGTTGGGATCTATGGCGTGTGGGGAAACGGCGGACACTACGTCGTCTGAAGAACCAAGCAGGGAATGCCTTCTCATATGTAAAGATGTGGCGGAGCTCCCTGCACCACATTGGAGGTATGGCAAAGATCCCTGAAGTAGCTCGGGATCATATTGTGGACGGAGCGTTTGCAGGCAGGGTTGCTGTTCTGATCCTGTCCCTTGACTTTCATGTCCTCTCCTCAAAGGCCATTTTGGAACAGGGATCCAGTCCTACTTTAACTTCCTGCGCTTCTTGGTTCTGATGAATTTCGTGGCTTCTCTGCTGGTGGTGGGATTCGTGGTCGCTCCCAACGCAGCGTTCGAGAGTTTGCACCTCAATTGGACAAGTCAACACAACAGCAGTTTGGGTGGGTCTTTGATCCAGGTATAGTAAATAAGGATTGATCTTAATCATCAGTGTGAAAGTGCTAAAACTTTTGGATATAGTGAAAAGAGCTTTTATCTCCCCCTTTTGACCCCCCCCCCCCCCATGTACTGAATGCCGGGCTTTAGCATAGCAGATTAACTGCCAGCTGCCGATCGAAAGGTTGACAGTTCAAAGCCCAGGTCAGGGTGAGCTCCTGGCATTTATTCCAGTTCCTGCCTACCTAGCAGTTTGAAAGCAAATGTGAGTAGATAAATAGATACTGCTTTAAAGGGGGGGGGGAGGTATTTAAGGCACCCATAAGGAAATGCCACAAAAGGCCAGCAATTCAATCAAGGAGGAAGTTTACAAACAAAGCTCCTTGGCAGGAAGGATGTAGCAACAGCACCCCCCTGTGGCCGGAACTGAGCACAAACCTCCAAGATGCCGAAGATGGGAAAGCCTACATACACACACATACACACACACACATACCTACCTCTATCTATGTTCAGCTGTCCGTCTTGTCAGTCTGTAATGGCATTGAATGTTTGCCATATATGTTCTGCCCTGAGTGCCCTTCGGAGTGAGAAGGGTGGAATATAAGTACTGTAAATACATAAATAAATAAATACTGAGTAGTTCTGCATAAGGAAGAAATTAGAGTCGGGTAGCTTTTCCTTCATTATGTTTTCACAGAGGATGAAGGGAATACCAGCCTCTGCAGCAGCAGCAGCAGCAGCAACAACAACCCAAGCATAAAGTGGAATTATACATTTGGCCATCTCTATCCATAGACCAAAAGGTTGGTGGTTCGAATTCAGGGAGCTGGGTGAGCTCCCGCTGTTAGACCCAGCTTCTGCCAACCTAGCACTTCAAAAACATGCAAATGTGAGTAGATCAGTAGGTACTGCTTCTGCAGGAAGGTAATGACGCTCCTGGCAGTCATGCTGGCCACATGATCTTGGAGGTGTCTATGGACAACGCCAGCTCTTCGGCTTAGAAATGGCACCACCACCCAGAGTTGGACACGACTAGACTTAATGTCAGGGAAAAACATTTACTTTTACCTTTATGCATAGATTCCATACCCATGGATTCATGACGAGGAATGCTGGGACTTGCAATCTGACAACTTCTGGAAGCTGCATGATTTCCACACTTCATTATAAAATTTGTGTCCAAGCCAGAAGCAGGAAACAAGAAAGTATGGAAACAGGAAGAATGTATCTGTAACAGAAAGATCTGTAGCAATGAGGTCTAGAAACATTTTTTTAAAATCAAAAGCTGAACTTATATGTAGAATTGCTGTGTTCTTCATCATACAGCAAGTTTGGCACTTGTGGACAAAGTCTGTGGACTATAGATCCCTGTCATGAAGTGTGGGTTAGACCATCATCCTGTCCCCAAACACCTGGATTTAGAGGATCTTACCCAGGCATAGACAAACTTCAGTCCTCCAGGTGTTTTGGACTTCAACTCTCACAATTCCTAACGGCCTACCAGCAGCTAGCATAGTTGATAAATCACCAGCCCATGAGCTGGGCTTTAGCACAACTGGTAAGTCACCAGTAATGATAAGATCTACCAACCAAAAGGTTGCCAGTTCAAAGCCCCGGGTCAGCGTGAGCTCCTGACTGTAAGCCCAGATTACTATTAACCTAAGCAGTTCAAAAACAGCTTTAGCTGTAAGTAGAGAAATTAGGTACCACTAAAACAAGCCGGGGGGGGGGGGGGTATTTTACGACACCATAAAGAAAAAGATGAAGTACTTTGGCCACATAATGAGAAGACAGGAAAGCTTGGATAAGACAATGATACTGGGGAAAATGGAAGGAAAAAGGAAGAGGGGGCAACCAAAGGCAAGATGGATGGATGGTTTCCTTGAAGTGACTGCCTTGACTTTGAAAGAACTGGGGATGGCCACAACCAACAGGAAGCTCTGGCATGGGCTGGTCCATGAGGTCACGAAGAGTCGGAAGCAACTGAACGAATAAACAACAAAAGAAAAAGATCAGAAAATAACCAAAGACCAAAAAGCAGGAGGAAGTCCTCATGGCTCTTAGAGAATGGAGAATGGAGCGACAGCACCCTCTTATGGCTGGATTCGAGCACAACCTCCAAGGTGCCAAAAAGATGGATGTTGACACAATATTTCTGTTCTGTCTGTCTCTGTCCTATCTATCCAAAAAAGACATTGAATGTTTGCCGTGTATGGATACTGTGATCCGCCCTGAGTCCCCTTGGGGAGATAGGGCAGAATATAAATAAAGTGTTCTTGTTGTTGTTATATTATTATTATTATTCTTATTCTTATTCTTATTCTTATTCTTATTCTTATTATTATTATTATTATTATTATGCCTGATCTAACCAAACTAGAGCCGTCGAATGAAAGATTAGTGGGTTCTATACAAATTGAGGTGAGAAGGATGAAAGTTAGCTTTTTCCAATATTATTTATTTCAGTGAATGCATCTTGTCTGCACTACAATCCTGCCCCACAAGGCTTGGTCAGCTACTTTTCCTACATCATGAATCTTCTGTCAGGTCAGGTGAGACACTACGTTCCACAGGTGAGCACTAGAAGTGACATGGTAATTTGTTCCCCAGTCATTACGACTATATGTCTCTTTGCAGGGGTTCATGGAGCTCACCTACCTGTTCTACGGCTACTACCAAAATTCAGCAGTTGATTTTGTGGGCTTCTCATACAACGTCCCTCTTGCATATCTGCTCACAGTTTTCTTCTACCTCCTCTTCTGCCTGGCGTGGATTGTCCGGAGGTGAGAACAGATTTATGTACATCATATAAATCATCCTCTGTTCCAAAAGAAGAAGAAGCTCCAGGAATCCTTTGTTTTAATAAAGCCAATGGGATTTTGGCCTGCATAAATAGGAGTCTAGTGTCTAGATCCAGGGAAGTCATGCTACCCCTCTATTCTGCCTTGGTCAGACCACACCTGGAATCACACTGTGTCCAATTCTGGGCACTGCAATTTAAGGGAGATGTTGGCAAGCTGGAATGTGTCCAGAGGAGGGTGACTCAAACGATCAAGGGTCTGGAGAACATGCCCTATGAGGAGTGGCTTAAAGAGCTGGGCATGTTTAGCCTGCAGAAGAAAAGGCTGAGATGAGACATTATGGCCATATACAAATATGTGTATATCCTCCAGCAAAGGATCACCGCCTTGTCGGGGCGCTGGAGCTTGAGCACCTCAATGATGTCATGAGCGAAACCGTGAAGGGCCACCCAAGACGGGACGGTTGTGGCAGAGAGGTCAGACCAAGCGTGATCCCTGGGGAAGGCAATGGCAAACCACTCCAGTATCCTTGCCAAGAAAACTAAATGGACCAGTACAACCAGAGATATGTCGGTATGCCATTGGAAGATGGGACTCCCAGGTCGGAAGATGGCCAAAATGCTACTGGGGAGGAGCAGAGGATAAGTTCAACTAGGCCCAGATGTGATGACGCAGCTAGCTCAAAGCCGAAAGGAAGGCTAGCGGCCGACGGTACTGGAGGTGAACGACGAATCCGATGCTCTAAAGATCAACACACCATAGGAACCTGGAATGTAAGATCTATGAGCCAGGGCAAATGGATGTTGTGATTGGTGAGATGTCAAGACTAAAGATAGACATTCTGGGGGTCAGCGAACTGAAATGGACTGGAATGGGCCACTTCACATCAGATGACCACCAGATCTACTACTGCGGACAAGAGGAACATCGAAGAAATGGAGTAGCCTTCATAATTAATAAGAAATTCGCTAAAGCGGTGCTTGGATACAACCCAAAAAATGACAGAATGATCTCAATTCGAGTGCAAGGAAAGCCTTTCACCATTACAGTGATCCAAATATACGCCCCAACCACAGCTGCTGAAGAAGCAGAAGTAGATCAGTTCTATGAGGATCTGCAGGACCTACTGGATAATACACCAAAAAGAGACATTATTTTCATTACAGGAGACTGGAATGCCAAGGTGGGAAGTCAAATGACAACAGGGATCACAGGCAAGCATGGTCTGGGAGAACAAAATGAAGCGGGACGCAGGATGATAGAATTTTGCCAGGAAAACTCGCTGTGTATAACGAATACTCTCTTCCAACAACCTAAAAGACGGCTTTATACATGGACCTCACCAGATGGTCAACACCGAAATCAGATTGATTACATCCTTTGCAGCCAAAGGTGGCGGACATCCATCCAGTCGGTGAAAACAAGACCTGGGGCTGACTGTAGCTCAGATCACGAACTTCTTATTGCTCAATTTAGAATAAAACTAAAGAGATCAGGGAAAATACACAGACCAGTTAGATATGATCTCACTAACATTCCTAGCGAATATACAGTGGAAGTGAAGAACAGATTTGAAGGACTAGATTTAGTAAACAGAGTCCCCGAAGAACTATGGACAGAAGTCCGCGACATTGTTCAGGAGGCGGCAACAAAGTACGGCCCAAAGAAAAAGAAAACCAAGAAGGCAAAATGGTTGTCTGCTGAGACACTGGAAGTAGCCCAAGAAAGGAGGAAAGCAAAAGGAAACAGGGATAAGGGGAGATATGCCCAGTTAAATGCGCAATTCCAGAGGTTAGCCAGAAGAGATAAGGAACTATTTTTAAATAAGCAATGCATGGAAGTGAAAGAAGACAACAGAATAGGAAGGACAAGAGACCTCTTCCAGAAAATTAGAAACATTGGAGGTAAATTTCAGGCAAAAATTGGTATGATAAGAAACAAAGATGGCAGGGACCTAACAGAAGCTGAAGAGATCATGAGAAGGTGGCGAGACTATACAGAAGATCTGTATAGGAAGGATAATAATATTGAGGATAGTTTTGACGGTGTGGTGAATGAATTAGAACCAGACATCCTGAAGAGTGAGGTTGAATGGGCCTTAAGAAGCATTGCTAACAACAAGGCAGCAGGAGACGACGGGATCCCAGCTGAACTGTTTAAAATCTTAAAAGATGATGCTGTCAAAGTGATGCATGCCATTTGCCAGCAAATATGGAAAACACAAGAATGGCCATCAGACTGGAAAAAATCAACTTATATCCCCATACCAAAAAAGGGAAATGCGAAAGACTGCTCAAACTTCCGTACAGTGGCCCTTATTTCTCATGCCAGTAAGGTAATGCTCAAGATCCTGCACGGAAGACTCCAGCAATACATGGAGCGAGAGTTGCCAGATGTTCAAGCTGGGTTTAGAAAAGGCAGAGGAACGAGAGACCAGATTGCCAATATCTGCTGGATAATGGAGAAAGGCAGGGAGTTTCAGAAAAACATCTATTTCTGCTTCATTGACTATTCTAAAGCCTTTGACTGTGTGGATCATAATAAATTGTGGCAAGTTCTTGGTGGGATGGGCATCCCAAGCCACCTTGTCTCTCTCTTGAGGAATCTGTACAAGGACCAAGTAGCAACAGTCAGAACTGACCACGGAACAACAGACTGGTTCAAGATTGGGAAAGGCTTACGGCAAGGCTGCATCCTCTCACCCAACCTTTTTAACTTGTATGCAGAACACATCATGCGATGTGCGGGGCTGGATGGATGCAAAGCTGGGGTAAAAGTTGCTGGAAGAAACATTAACAACCTCAGGTATGCAGATGACACCACTCTGATGGCCAAAAGCGAGGAGGAGCTGAGGAGCCTTCTAATCAAGGTGAAAGAAGAAAGTGCAAAAGCTGGGTTGCAGCTAAACGTCAAAAAAACCAAGATTATGGCAACAAGAATGATTGACAACTGGAAAATAGAGGGAGAAACCGTGGAGGCCGCGACAGACTTTGTATTTCTAGGGGCAAAGATTACTGCAGATGCAGACTGTAGCCAGGAAATCAGAAGACGCTTACTTCTTGGGAGGAGAGCAATGTCCAGTCTCGATAAAATAGTGAAGAGTAGAGACATCAGACTGGCAACAAAGATCCGCCTAGTCAAAGCCATGGTATTCCCTGTAGTCACCTACGGATGTGAGAGCTGGACCTTAGGGAAGGCTGAGCGAAGGAAGATCGATGCTTTTGAACTGTGGTGTTGGAGGAAAGTGCTTGAGAGTGCCTTGGACTGCGAGAAGATCCAACCAGTCCATCCTCCAGGAAATAAAGCACGACTGCTCACTGGAGGGAAAGATACTAGAGACAAAGTTGAAGTACTTTGGCCACATCATGAGGAGACAGGAAAGCATAGAGAAGACAATTATGCTGGGGAAAGTGGAAGGCAAAAGGAAGAGGGGCCGACCAAGGGCAAGATGGATGGATGGCATCCTTGAAGTGACTGGACTGACCTTGAAGGAGCTGGGGGTGGTGACGGCCGACAGGGAGCTCTGGCATGGGCTGGTCCATGAGGTCACGAAGAGTCGGAGACGACTGAACGAATGAACAACAACAACAAAGGGTCCCTTTCAAAACTATGATACTATGTCTGTGTGTGGGAGCAAGCTTGTTTTCTGCTGCCTTGGAGACAAGGATGTGGAACAATGGCTTTAAACTACAGGAAAGGAGATTCCACCTGAACATTAGGAGGAACTTTCTGACTGTGAGAGCTGTTCAACAGTGGAACTCTCTGCCCCAAGTGTGGTGGAGGCTCCTTCTTTAGAGGCTTTTAAACAGAGGCTGGATGGCTATCTGTCAGGAGTGCTTTGAATACGATTTTCCTGCTTCTTGGCAGGGGTTTGGATTGGATGGCCCATGAGGTCTCTTCCAAATACCTGCTTTATTGCTTGCTTCCATCCTCTTCCAGGTCAGTCTACTGTCTCAAACGCAGCCTGGTCAGCGAAGATGCTTCCTTTGGATCGTATAGTGATAAAGTCTTTGCTGGCTGGGATTTTGGCCTGATGCAAGAGAAGATGGTGAAGTTAAGGCACAAGAGTATTCGCTATGAACTGAAGGTAAGGCAAAGCAGGAAAAGTAGGAACAATTTCTCGTGCTTGATGGGGTTTAGGATTTCTTTGCAGTGGGAACAGAAGAGAGATCCCCAATCCCTTCAAGCACAGAATACAAGCAAACCTCCTGAAGTTAAGAAAGGCTGGATTGGATCAGTCCCAAGCCCATATATTAATTGGCATCAGTTCCACAGAAGGGAGTCACAATGTAAGCACAATAAATAGTAAAGTAAACAGATAAGATTCAGAGTGGAATGAATAAATAGACTGATCCTGTCTGCCTGCTTGCTTTCCTTTTCTCAAAATGCCCACTAACTATAAAGTTCTCTAATCAGACTGCTCTACAAATATATGCAGTACAAGAATAATAAAATAAGACAATGACTAAAGCATTGGACCCTGGAACAGGTGAATCAGAGAGTCTCCTTGTGGAGAGAAAAAGCAGGGTACAAATAAACATAATAATAATAATTATGATCATAATTCTGACTCCCCTAAATCCAGAGTAGAAGGCACTGAGTCATTCCCCATTCTTAAATTGAATCACCAAGGTCCCATCTGCACTGCCATCTAAAATCAAGATTATCTACTTTGAATTGGATTATATGGCAGTGTAGACTCACATAATCCAGTTCAAAGCGGATAACCTGGATTATCTTATTTGATAATGTGGATTATATGGCAATGTATATCCAGCCCAATACTCCTCTGAAGGTGAGATTCCTTGGGTATTATTAATCAGACCTCCCAACTAACACCTCCCAACAAAGGATACCCCCAGGCAGGAAGCAGCCAGGCTTTGAAGCTGCAAGCCATTCAATGCTAATCAAGGTGGCCAATTGCAACATTCACACTTGCCTCAAACAGACAAGAGTTCTTTCTCCCACCCTGGACATTATTCCACAGATATATAAACCTCACTTGTCTTAGTTTCCAACAGACCTCACAACCTCTGAGGATGCCTGCCATAGATATGGGTGAAACGTCAGGAGAGAATGCTTCTGGAGCATGGCCATACAGTGGGTTGTTGTGAGTTTTTCAGGCTAATTGGCCATGTTCCAGAAGCATTCTCTCCTGACGTTTTGCCTGCATCTATGGCAGGCATCCTCAGAGGTTGTGAGGTCACATACAGCCCGAAAAACTTACAGCAACCCAGTGATTCCGGCCATGAAAGCCTTCAACAATACAACTATTCTCATCTTTACCATACCTTGATGTTATTTGGCCGCATGTATCTGGCTTTTTGTCTATGACATTTTGAAAAAGGATGTAGTTCCCACTGAGAATATGTAGGTCTTTTAGCAGCTGCAAAAATACATTCAACAATTCTATCTTTGCCTTACTCCTTCCGCCTGCTGGAGAAAGCCATCTCTATTGATCTTCTGCCTGCTGTGCCATTGTTAAAAACTACTGGAACTCTTATAAAAAGGGAAGCAAGCATAAGTCGAGTTTCCATATTTCTTCCCTTTTATTATACCCCCTACCCGGACCCTGCATTTAGCAGCTGCATGGCAAGCAGAAATGTAAGAGGGATATCTTTATCTCCAATATATTGGATCCCACTGCCAGGTTTTTTTCCTTCTCTGCCAAGCAGAAGGGGGGGGAAAAGCTGGAGAGTTGCTAATTCTTAATAGCTCTTGACAGGATTTACTCTTCCTGGATAATCACACATAATGGAGGCGTTTTTCCCCTTTCCCCCTTGCTTTTTATAACATCCACCATTTGAAAAGCGTAAATGAAGATTTGGGAAAGGGGTTAATCACTTTCTCCCTGCTTTTAATAGCATCCACTGTTTGAAAATAATAAATGAAGATTTGGAAAGGAGGTAGTGGCTCAGGGACTTGGTTTTCTTCTTTGTTTCGGGTTGCTAAAGAACCTCTTGTTTTCTTTCCTTCCTTGGCTACAGATGGATTTAGAGGAGGCAGCGCTTCGCAAGCGCCAGGCAGAACAAACCACATCACAGCGAGTCTGTCTTTACGCTCTCAGAGGCCTGGTCAACATCATTGTGTTGGGACTATTGGGAGCATCGTTTTACTGTATCTACCGGGCAACAGACTATTCTCAGTGGTTGCTGGGACAGGTAAGGGAACGGACTCTCTATTTATTCATTCCACCTTCCTCTTACCAACTTTGAGTGGATTCCACCCCATAGAAGCGCTGAAGGGGCCAAAAGGGACATCTAGTCCAACCCCGTGCCATGTATGAATATACAGCTGAAGCACTCATCAAAGATAGTCATCCAACGTTTTCCAAAGAAGGAAAGCCTATCACTCTCCTTGGCAGTTTAGTACTGTTGAATAATAATAATAATAATAATAATAATTATATTATTATTATTATTATTATTATTATTATTGTGCTGGTACATCTGTACCAGGAGCTCCAACTTTATTTTCTTTCTATTAAGTGTTTGCATGCATTCCAAAGTTTCAGGGATTCTGCAAAAAGGTGGCATCCTTTGGTTTGCAGTCATAGGGCAAGCCACCTGTCTATCATTGTTAAGTTTGGATCCGCCCCTTCTCCCAGGGAGATGGGAAGGGAAGAGGGGGCCATTTTTAGTTAGTCTTAGTGAGGAAAGCTAAGTTAGAGGACGTGGACAAGCTTCACCTGCAGAAAAGCTTCATTTCTCAAGACATTCCGGGGGGAAATTCCCAAAGCTCTGGCTGGGAGCTTGCAGCCTCTCAGCCTTACAGCATCTGAGGGAAACAGCCCTAAAGTCTTAAAGAAATTCCAGAGGGAAAACAGCTTTACAGACCCAAAGAACTCCAGCTGGAGAATCTACAAGCTTTGTCTGATAGGTTTACTCGGTACCAAGACGCAGTTTGGAATCAGTAGTAGATCCCACACCAACAAAACTTAGATAACAGACAGCCTGGGAGAGGTTAAAAAAGGGGTTTCCTCTCAAAGTATAAGAACAATTAACGAAGACAGTTGCCTGTCCCTTGTGGACAAGATTAAGGAAGCCACCAGTTGATTTAAAGCCTTGAAGCATTTGTTTGACTCATTGAAGATTTGAGAAATATCTGTTTAATTTGTTCAGTAATAAAGGGCTTTGTTTAACCTTTCAAGCCATCTAAAGGCCATTTCTTCAGGAAAATCCTTGAGGGCCTCTTTTGTGGTGCCCTGGCTTCCCGCTGGGCACAAGGTGCATGTCCTATTTCAAAAGACAATTATTACAGACCCAGTGCGTGACAGAACAATAATAATTATAATAATAATAATTATTCCTGTGGGAAAGATAAAGTGGGGTATTAATAATAGTAATCACAATCTGTCAACTGCAAAAGGCCACTTTACTTGGATCTGCACACATCATTCGAAAATACATCACACAGTCCTAGACGCTTGGGAAGTGTTCAACTTGTGATTTTGTGATACAAAATCCAGCATATAGATCTCATTTGCTGTGACATACTGTGCTTTTGTGTCAAGAATAATAATAATTTTTATTTATATACCGCTCTATCTCCCCGGGGGGACTCAGAGCGGTTTCCAAGTAACATCATCAATACCTACAGAGTTAACAATATAACCATAAGATTAATAAAACAATAAAAGCATAAAAATTGTTGCCATAACACACATATATATTAAAAGTAATCCTGCCTGTTCAAGGTAATTTAAAAGGCCTTAGACCGAGATTAGTGCAAGCTCAAAAATTCGAGGGGGCCCAGGAATTAAGTGCAGTGCTATAGCAGGCAACAACAATAATGGGTACAGGGTCTATGGCTGTTCATTTCCGGGGTCTATTAGAGGAAGTGACCTGGGTAATTGGTAGGAAGAATAAGGCCATATTCAACAATGTCTAGGGCTGAGCTAGAACTAGTCATTCTCAAAGGCTTGTTGAAACCACCAGGTCTTCAAGCTCTTACGAAAGGAGGGGAGGGATGGGGCCTAATGTCTAATTTCCCTGGGGAGGATGTTCCAGAAGTGGGGGGTCACCACTGAGAAGGCCCTCTCTCTCGTCCCCACCAACCGTACTTGTGACGGTGGTGGGAGCGAAAGGAGGGCCTCCCCGGAAGATCTTAAGAGTTCACACCAGTTCATAGAAGGAGCAAGTAATTCTTCTAAATCAATGGTTCCCAGCCTGTGGTATGTGGAGCACCAGTGGTACGCAAGGACTAAAATATGGTCTGCGACCTCACCGTTACTACACTCTTGCAACAAAAGCAACTGGTCTCGCAAAATCCTCATATAGTGCTAAGGCTTATTAAATATAATTTTCTGTGGGCAAGCAGATGGCAACTACTGGGTGGCATATATTTTGTATCAGAAACTAGAGCTGATGTAGTCTATCCAATGCAATTTTCTGTGGGAATGTAATGGCGCTCCATGCAATCATGCTGGCCACATGTTCTTGGAGGTGTCTACGGACGCCAGCTCTTCAGCCTAGAAATTGAGATAAGCACCAGCCTCCAGAGTCAGACACAACTAGATATAATGTCAGGGGAAACCTTTACCTTTACCTTTACTTATGCTATTGTATTGCCTCTCAAACTTCTCTCTCCAAGCTAAACATGAGTGGCACTATTACTTACCTGTCAGGAGCCCCTGGTGGCGCAATGGGTTAAATCCTTGTGCCGGCAGGACTGAAGACTGACAGGTTGCAGGTTTGAATCTGGGGAGAGTGTGGATGAGCTCCCTCTGTCAGCTCCAGCTCTCCATGTGGGGGTATAAGGATGGTAAAACAGCAGAACATCCGGGTGTCCCCTGGGCAACGTCCTTGCAGACGTCCAATTCTCTCACACCAGAAGCAACTTACAGTTTCTCAAGTCACTCCTGACATGAAAAAAACATGTACCTGTCACCTTTTGACTTTTCAGACCTTTTCCAGATCACAGTAACAGTTCAGCTTCTACTCAGTGCAGTAGGTAAAAGTAAAGGTTTTCCCCTGACATTAAGTTCAGTCATGTCCGACTCTGAGGGTTGGTGCTCATCTCCATTTCTAAGCCAAAGAGCCAGTGTTGTCCATAGACACCTCCTAGGTCATGTGGGAGGCTTGACTGCATGGAGCGCTGTTACCTTCCCATAAGAGCTGTAACTATTGATCTACTCACATTCGCATGTTTTAGAACTGCTAGGTGGCAGAAGCTGGGGCTAACAGTGGGAGCTCACCCCGCTCCCCGGATTTGAAACACTGACTTTTTCGTCAGCAAGTTCAGCAACTCAGTAGTTTAACCCACCGTGCCAACGGGGGCTCCACTTAGTGCAGTAGAGGCACCTAAACTAAGACCAAAGCAGTCCTTACACCAGAGCTTTCCAAGCATTTCATGTTGGTGAGACACTTTTGAGACATGCACCATTTTGCAACACGATAATTCATTGTTACTAGCAAACCAGTGGTTAAACCAACCCTTCATAAGAGATACAGACACATACATCAATTGTAATAATGAATTGTATGGAGATACAATATATCTCATGAAAACCTTTCATTTATATTTTCAAAAATATATGAGTTACTGCTTATTTCACATAGACTCAGAGGCCTCTTGCAATATTCATGCCACACACCTACACACTGCAGCCATCACACTAATGTGTTGTAACACACAGTTTGGAAAGCTCTGCTTTATATTATCTTTGGACTAGCAATTGCTGTGTTGGAAAATTGGTTCAAGAGCCTAGTGACGATGGCCTTTGGTCTTGAAGCGGGCAGGAATTCCCCCAGCACAGCTCCATCCATCACTCCATAATCAACCTATTGAAGTTCTGTCTGTAACAGCAGAGATGTAAGGCTCTCTCTCCGCCACGCTCCCCGTCCACCTTTGCCACTGGAGAAAAGAAAATGGTCAATGTTATTGCACTACTTTATTGTAAAGTATTTGTCCAAATTGATCTTTTCTTCTTGTTTTCCAGGCAGACTCCCCAGTCAAAGGCCAGTTCTTCCTGGAACTTCTGGTGGCTTATCTCCCTTCGGTTGTCATTACTCTCGCAAACCTCATTGTCCCGATCATCTCCGAGAGCATTGTTCGACTCGAGAAATACCCTCTCAGCTTTGAAATCAAAATAACACTCCTCAGGTATAAGACATCCTTCTTGTAGGTGCTCAGAGGCAGCTAATATAATGTCTCTTCCTTGCAGAGGCGACCATCACCTCTGACTGGTAGCAAAGGGTGGATTAACTATTCTGCTGTGCAAGTTAGAGTCCGGAGCATTTTCTATACGGCACGCTAATGGTATCTCCATCCTTATTGTACTCAGCAGGGAGCCTGTCTTTATTTCCGCAGCTCCTAAATTACACTCAGCTGTTCTAAATGATAAGATCCTTCAAGCTTAATTAATTGTCATGCTGAGTAAATAGTAGACTAGGAACCTTTTCACACTATACAATTAGACACATTATATTTCATTTTAACTACCGTAGTTCTATCTTGTCGTATCCTGGGATTTGTAGTTTGAGGAAGGGAGTTTGAATTCTCAGCCAGAGCACTCCAAGTTACCAACAGACTACAAACCCCAGGAGTTCATAGGATGCAGCAATTAAAGTGGTATGTAGCACTATAACAATACAGCGTTGTGAAGTTTTGGCTCTGCCTTTTCCTCTTTTCTGCTCTAGTTTCCTCTGTTCATAGATTTTCCCAATAGTGTAGGGTTTTGGTTTTGTTTTTTGTGTGTGTCAGAAGCGACTTGAGGAACTGCAAGTCGCTTTTACTGAGAGAGAATTGGACGTTTGCAAGGATGTTGCCCAGGAGACGCCAGGATGTTTTGATGTTTTACCATCCTTTTGGGAAGCTTCTCTCATGTCCCTGCATGGGGAGCTAGAGCTGACGGGGGAGCTCATCTGTGCTCTCCCTAAATTCGAACCTACAACCTGTTGGTCTTCAGTCCTGCCAGCACAAGGATTTAATCCACTGTGCCACCGGGGGGCTCCAATAGTGTAGATACTTTCCTTTGTGTTAGTTTTTGGATGGAGCATAACACCCTACAGAGGCCAGCCTTAGTTGGCCTATTCCATTCCCTGTATAAAGCTCTTTGCTGGACTCCTCCTTTTTTCTACAGCAGACCTACTGTGACCAGACTTGGGATTGTCTGGTAATCCAAGGCCAAGCAATTAAAACAGGCATCCTTAGCACTTGCATTCAGCAGTATTTTATACCAGCAGTCCAAAGGACAACAGAAGCTTATGACCAGCTTATGCTTCACAAGAAAGAAGATTAAGACAGTTTATAACCATCGCTTTGCACCAGAGACAGAAGACTCTAGAGCAGTGGTTCTCAACTTGTGAGTCCCCAGATGTTTTGACCTTCAACACCCAGCAATCCTAACAGCTAGTAAACTGGCTGGGATTTCTGGGAATTGTAGGCCAAAACATCTGGGGATCCACAGGTTGAGAACCACTGCTCTAGAGAGATGACTGCAGCTAGCAAAGGCTTCTTTTGTAATGTATTGTTTTAAGGTATACAGATAGCCCCCGAGTAAAGCCAGACACTATAGTTTCCCCAAAGGCTCGGGCATGCCATCACAAGTGTAAAAAAGGCCCTAGGAGCTATTTTATATCAATGTTTTCAATGAGATCTACTTAGGGAGCAGTAAAAAGTATTTATTGCTTTCTGAAGTCCTTGATATATTGTTGAAGGGATTTTTAGCAGCTTATACAGCATGCCTGGTTAGTGATGTTGGACAATATCGATGGTCTGGGGTAGATTGGGGGATTGAGAGATGGGATGGGCAGTCAAATAGTGCTAGGACAGGGCTGTGCTGAATACAGCTACAGTTTTTTTGCAGCCCAGAGTTTGCTGAATTTCTGTGACTGTCCTCAAAATTAAACAGACAGACGGACAGACAAGATTGACAAGATAGATCGATATATAGATCGTCAGATAGATCTGGGGCCAGGCTTTAGCACAGCTGATTAATCACCAGCAGCAATAGATCACACCAATCGAATGGTTGGCAGTTCGAAGCCCAGGTCAGAGTGAGCACCCAACCTTAAGTCCAGCTCTCTGTCCACCTTAGCAGTTCAAAAATAGCTGTGAGCTGTGAGTAGAGAAATTAGGCAAGGCTTCAACGGGGAGGTATTTTATGGCACCATAAAAAAGGAAGTACCAGAAAATGCCAGCAAAGAAAGGAGGAAGTCTGTGATCAAGAGCTCTTTGTCATAGAGGATGGACTAACAACACCACCCGGCCGGAATCAAGCACAACCTCCAGGACGCCGAAGTTGGGGGAAAATGCCGACATTTACCTCTATCTGTTGTCTGTCCTGACTGTTTAATGGCATTGAATGTTTGCCATGTATGTGTTCTGTGATCCGCCCTGAGTCCCCTTTGGAATATAAATGCTGTAAATAAATAATCAACAGATAAACAGATAGACAGACAGTGTTTGTGAATTGCCTTCCTCTCCGTGTTCCTAGTAGGAGTAAATGCACAATCTCCATATCGGGTTATTGTAGGTTTCTCGGGCTATATGGCCATGTTCTAGAAGCATTCTCTCCTGACGTTTTGCATGCCTGAGGATGCTTGCCATAGATGCAGGTGAAACATCAGGAGAAAACGCTTCTAGAACATGGCCATATGCTTGCCATAGATGCAGGCGAAACACCAGGAGATAATACTTCTAGAACATGGCCATATAGCCCGAAAAACCTACAACAACCCAGTGATTCCAGCCATGGAAACTTTTAACAATACAATCTCCATATCCATGATTTCATTTATCCACAACTGACAAATAATGTTATTTCCAGACATTTTCTATATCTCCCACTGCAATTATGTGGTATTCTTGTGCCAGAAGTCCTTTATTTCAATTGGGTTTGCTCTTATCTGTTATTATCGTGGATACAGGGGCCATACTATAGTTTGCATCTCCCCCAATTCCTATATAATCAACTAATCTTACATTCTTCTGCTCTAGTTTGGCTAGATCAGGCATGGTTGTTTAGACCTATTACGCTGTGTGAGGTCAGGCTTTCACTTTGGTTCAGGTCCCTTTCAGTAGCAAAGACTTCAAAAGAGCTTAATGTAACAGATGTAGATCTGGGACATCTGCTATTCCTAAACATTTTTTAAAAAAATTCCAAACACATTTTGAGATAAAAACATCTCTCAAGGGAGCACTTGAAAACAATTTGGGTGTCTCTAGTGCCTTCAAAAGGCAGTTTAAGCCCATAGATCACTAAGAGCAGCACAATATATAAAATGAGTTAGTGATTTATGGAGGTAGTCAGAACATGGGGTATTATTTTCTTTCCTCGTCAATTAACAGTCGTTGTGTTTGCTTTTTTTGTGTGTTGCCAGGAATGTCTTCCTTCGTATCGCAAGCCTGGTGGTTGTCCTGGTCTCACTTTGGGGCCAGATTACCTGTAATGGGGACCCAGAAAATGCAGATTGTCAGAACTGTGGCTACAATAACAAGTTGTACCCAGTAAGTTCCAAGCACATCAAGACATTTGGATTCGAGGGACTTGGATTCTCAACCTTGTTAATGCCTCGACCTCTTAACACAGTTCTTCATGTCGTGGTGACCTCCAACCATGAAATTATTTCCGTTGCTACTTCAGAACTATAACTTTGCTACTATTATGAATTATAATGTATATATCTGATATGCGGATGTATTTTCATTCCCTGGACCAAATTTGGCACAAATACCCAATACGCCCAAATTTGAACAAAGGCAGGGTTGGGAGGAATTGATTTTGTCATTTGAGAGTTGTAGTTGCTGGGATTTATATTTCACCTACAATCAAAGAACATTCTGAACTCCTCCAATGATGGAATCGAAGCAAACTTGGCACACAGAACACCCATGACCAACAGAAAATACTGGAAGGGTTTGGTGGGCGTTGACCTTGAGTTTTGAAGTTGTAGTTCACCTACATCCAGAAAGTACTCTGGGCTCTAATAGTGATGGATCTGGACCAAACTTGGCACGGATACTCAATATGTCCAAATGTGAACACTAGTGGAGTTTGGGAAAATAGACCTTTACATTTGGGAGTTGCTGGGATTTATAGTTCATCTACAATCAAAGAGAATTCTGAACCCCATTAACGATAGAACTTCCCACACAGAACCCCCATGACCAACAGCAAATGCTGTGTGTTCTGATGATCTTTGGTGACTCCTCTGACCTCCCCCTTGTGACCCCCTCCCAGGAGTCTTGACCCCCAAGTTGAGAAATGCTGTTCTAAAATTACCAACATATACTGTACACATAATAGTTTTAAAAGTGAGTTTCCAGCTTCTATTTTGTCAATTTCTCTATAAATTTAACATTTTTTCTTCCACTTTATATCCAGCAAATTGTTTACTTCTGTTTGTTTTAACATGTATAAGTAAATATCCCAACATTTCATGTCTCCAGAACTGTACCTAAAGTATTTCCCTTTCCCTCTGATATATATTGATAAAATGGTTTCCATTCTTCTGAGGATGTATCCAATCTGGGTTGCTGTGAATTTTCCGGGGGTGTATGACCATGTCCCAGAAGCAATCTCTCCTGAGCACTATGGCAGGCATCCTCAGAAGTTGTGGAGACTATTGGAAACTACGCAAGTGGGGTTCATATATCTGTGGAATGTTCGGGATGGGAGAAATAACTCGTCTGTTTGAGGTAGGTGTGAATGTTGCAATTGGCAACCTTAATTATCATTGAATAGCCTTGCAGATTCAAAGTGTGGCTACTTCCTGTCTGGGGGAATCCTTTATTGGAGGTGTTAGCTAGCCCTGATTGATTCTTGTCTGGAATTCCCCATTTTTTGGTATTGCTCTTTATTTACTATCCTGATTTTACAATTTTTAAATGATGGTACCCAGATTTTGTTCATTTTCATGGTTTCCTCCTTCCTGTTGATGTTGTCCACGTGCTTGTGGATTTCAATGGCTTCTCTGTGTAGTGTGACATGGTGGTTGTTAGAACCCACTGCCAGGACACTGAACTTTGAGGACCATCATCCTCGGACTACGAGGGATCGCCTAAGTAAGTAAGTAAGTAAATAAGTAAGAAAGAGTGGTCCAGCATGTCTGTGGCTACCAGTATTTTTTTTAAAAACCCTCTAGAATCAGGACAGTAAATAAATAGCAACACTAAAAACAAACAAACCAGGAGAATTCCAGACAAAAGTAAATCAGGGCTAGCTAATGCCTCCCAATAAAGGATCCCCTGGGCAGCAACCAGCCAGACTTTGGAGCTGCAAGGCTATTCAGTGCTAATCAAGGTGGCCAATTGCAACATTCACACCTGCCTCAAACAGACCAGAGTTCTTTCTTCCACCCTGGACATTCCACAGATATATAACCTCTCTTACCTATTTTTGAGCAGACCTCACAACTCCTGAGGATGCCTGCCATAGATGTGGGCCAAACGTCAGGAGAGAATGGGCCTGGAACATGGCCATAAAAGAATACGACAGGAGAGGTTTGCCATAGGGCATTTGGCAGATGTGGACTCTTGGTTTACTTGAAACTTGTGAAGCCTTGGAGGTGGTACAGAGGTGAAACTTTTAATATGAAGCTTATTTCACAAAGATTATATTTGCCTTTCCAGTGCTGGGAGACCGCTGTGGGGCAGGAAATGTACAAGCTGATGATCTTCGACTTGCTCATCATGCTGCTTGTTGTGATGTTTGTAGAATTCCCAAGAAAGTAAGTAATTTTTTTCTTCTTCTTCTGTGTTATAGTCTGGGCATGACTGCTTGGTTTGGCTTCAATACTTTCAATTTGCTCTAAAGTAGGCTTGGGCAAACTTGGGCCCTCCGGGTGTTTTGGACTTCAACTCCCACCATTCCTAATAGCCTCAGGCCCCTTCCTTTTCCCCCTCAGCCGCTTAGGGGAAAAAGGAAAGGGCCTGAGGCTATTAGGAATGGTGGGAGTTGAAGTCCAAAACACCCGGAGGGCCCAAGTTTGCCCAAGCCTGCTCTATATAAATAAATAATATAGAAATCAAAAGCTGAAAGGAATTTCAAGGTCATACCATCTGCCTCGTCTTCAAGCCATGATCCAGAACATCCACTCCTAGCATTTTATTACATTCCAAATGTTTCTGATCTGTTAATAAAGGTTTGCTTTGTATTTTAGGATGCTGGTGACTTTCCTGCCCTCCTGCCCGTTGCTGAAACTTTGGGGGCAGCAGGAGTTCATGGTGCCCTCCAATGTGCTGGACCTGGTCTATGGGCAAACCTTGTGCTGGACAGGGGCTCTTTTCTGCCCCCTTCTGCCTGTGCTCAACACTATCAAATATATTGCTGTCTTCTACCTGAAAAAGGTGATTCTGGTTTGCCAGCTTGTCTTCTGTGTCCCTGGGTTGCAATATTAAGACTCAACGCAAAGCTTTTGTGCATAAGAAAGTGCCTCCTATGAATCAAAAACACACGTATTTAATTCAACTAGCAATGAAAGGTGTCAGTAGCAAGTACAAACGGAAGTGGTATTCCCATTGCCTGTTTTTAATAATAATACCTTAATAATGATAATGATAATAATAATAATTGCAATTCCAGGTGATAGCAGAATTTATAATCAACTGGAAAAGGTTACATAATACAAGGATTTAAAGATTGAACTGTAAAGACTCTGGCACAAGCCAGGCGGCACCAGTGGTCAGCACACTGGGTGCAGTGCCTAAAGACCTTGGCCTGCACTTAAAAGCAATTGGCACTGACAAAATTACCATCTGTCAGCTACAAAAGGCCACCCTGGCATTATTCGCCAATACATCACACAGTCCTAGACACTTAAGAAGTGTCCAACGCGCCCTGCTCGTGATCCCACCGGCGTCGCAAGCGCGCTTGGTGGGGACGCGGGACAGGGCCTTTTCCGTAGTGGCCCCCCAACTCTGGAACACCCTCCCCAAAGACCTTAGACAGGCCCCTTCATTGGCTATCTTCAGAAAGAACTTAAAAACCTGGCTTTTCCGATGCGCCTTCCCAGATTAGGAAATCTCCACTACCGAGTCCCACAAGCACTTTACCAGAACCAATGATTGCGGCATACCGCACATCGCACTTGCCCTAGAAACCCTTTATACACCTCCTGTCAAATCAGCACTTTTAATCCTTGTATCCACCTTTTGGCCCGGCCCCGGCCCAGTTTTATTGTGTTTAATGTACTGTGCCTGTTGTTTACTTTGCTTTATTTTGTTTTAATTGTTTGATTTGCTTGATTGTATTGTTATGTTGTGTTGTTGAGGCCTCGGCCTGTGTAAGCCGCATCGAATCCTTTGGGAGATGCTAGCGGGGTACAAATAAAGTTTAATAATAATAATAATAATAATAATAATAATAATAATAACGCGTGACCAAATACAAAAGCCAGCATAGTGATCTTGTTTGCTGTGTACCAATCTAATAATAATAATAATAATAATAATAATAATAATAATAATAATATAATAATAATAATATACCCACCTTTCATGGGAAGGAATGCCTCTTCTAAGATAATGCTTAATGATTCACAAGTAATTCATACATATTGCTTTGGCAATATGATTTTCCACCCCATTTAGAAATTCAGTTGGCAAATACAAATCTTAATAGAGTAAAACAGGATTAATATATCCAACATGGTAATTAAAAGATAAGTATTTTCTGGTGTTGATCTATGTGCTAGACCCGTGATGGTGAATCTATGACATGCGTGTCAGCACTGACATGCATGGCTATTTTTGATGACACGTGGCCACATGCGGCTGCATACAGAGAAGTATAAGAGCCAATCTAATTCCATCCTTAAATTTGTAAAAGGCTCTACAAATGTAACATCTGCACGTCTGAGCATTGTTCATTCCATAACTCAGCATGGAATATACATTTTTTCTTATTTAAACTATAAATATTGCAAAATTATGTGGGGGGTTTTCTCAAAGTTGACACCCCACCCAAGTTATGCTCGGGTTTTTGGCAAATGTTGATACACCAAGCTCAAAAGGTTGCCCATCACTGTGCTAGACAAAAGGAAGAGCAACTGGCATTTTTAATAACTGGAGACATTGCCTGCTTTGGGTAGCATTCTGTAGCCGAGAGTTTGGGAAAAACTGTTTGTTGGACTAAAATACCCAGAATATTTATACTTATATGTCCAGGGTGGGAAAAAGAACTCTTGTCTGCTTAAGACCAGTGTAAATATTGCAATTGGCCACTTTGATTAGCATTTAATGGCATTGTAGCTTCAAGGCCTGGCTGGTTGCTGCCTGGAGGGATCCTTTGTTGGGAGGTGTTGCTGACCTTGATTGATTCTTGTCTGATTGATTGATTCTTGGTCCTCCCAGCAAAGGATCCCCCAGGCAGCAATCAGCCAGGCTTTGAAGTTACAAGGTCATTAAATGCTAATCAAGGTGGCCAACTGCAACATTCACACTGGCCTCAAGCAGACAAGAGGTCTTTCTCCCACCATGGACATTCCACAGATATATAAACCTCACTGGTTTACAACAGACCCCTCAACCACTGAGGATGTCTGCCACAGATGTGGGTGAAACATCGGGAGAGAATGCTTCTGGAACATGGCCATACAGCCTGGAAAATCTCACAGCAACCCAGTTTTCTGTGAATTTTTCAATCAGCCCTTGACTCAATGGCATAGGCCAACATCTTGTCTTTAGTAGACTGTGGCCAGCCCAGTCTCAACTGGCTTGCCAATGCTTGGTTTATCTACTGCTATTTTAAGGGATTTTCTTAGGAAGGGCATTCATGGAAGGCTTGCAGCAGGAAAGTCAAGAGTGTTGGTTATTGTCTTCCCTCTTGCTTCCAGCTCACCCTCTTTTCCAACTGCCGTCCCGCTGACCGGACCTTCCGTGCCTCCAGCTCCAACTTCTTCTTTCTCTTGGTTTTACTCTTGGGCCTGATAATCTCCTGCGTTCCTGCCTTATACAGCATGTTTGTGTAAGTACAATGATAAAGAAACCCACTGACACTCCTACTGTTTGTTTCCTGGAAGAGTTCAGAAATATTTTTCAATCTGGCAGACATTTGGCCTTGTTAAGAGTCAAAATGTTTTTAAATACTGTGTTGTAACTCGCCATAGGAAAATTCTAGGACCTAAAGTTGGGATATAAATGTTTTTTAATCTCTCTCTATAAATGTCAGGAGGCTTTTCTTTGTAATAAAATAATATGGTTGCACTATTTACAAGAACAAGTTTCCATAACACAAATAAAGGTCTTTATACTTCCTGCTTTGCTTCCACATTGGACTACTTTCTCATGCAGATAAACAGCTTCACTCTCACAGAGCCTCTTCTCACATTGAAGTTACACAGAAGTTTCACACAATAGCTTTTTACACACAGCACCCTTCACACATGATGGCCTTCAACCTGGGGCTTCTCGTACGAAAACTTCTCACACAGAAGACTTTCTTAGACAGATGTCTCTCTCACACTGAGACAAACTAACACTGACTCCTTCTCACACTGAAGCCTTTCTCCTACAGAGATCTCTCACAGACAGAGGTTACTAAGCTACAGGCATACCTGCTTATATTGAACTGCAGCTTTTCCTGAGTCCGTGCATCCGTTTCATAGAATCATAGAGTTGGAAGAGACCTCATGGGCCATCCAGTCCAACCCCCTGCCAAGAAGCAGGAATATTGCATTCAAATCACCCCTGACAGATGGCCATCCAGCCTCTGTTTAAAAGCTTCCAAAGAAGGAGCCTCCACCACACTCCAGGGCAGAGAGTTTAACCCTTCCAGTACTTGATTCCGATTTTTGTACGAGGGTTGAATAAAAAGTATCGCCTCCACTTTCGTAACTCCTCAACAGATGGCAGTACTGCTATGCAGCAGGTACTGGCTTGTTCAGTAGACTCTCCTCTACAGTTCCATTTTGGCGGGAAGCCTTAGCAYTGAACGGTTGTGTGGTTAAAATGCAAAGTATGGAACCCTGCGCAGTTGGTCGGTCAATGCGAGTTAAGCAATGTGTAGTCATTGAATTCTTRACAGCAGAAGGTGTCACCTCAACATCTTTAAACTTACTCRCCCAACAACGCACAGTACTCACATCATCATAAACAGCTTGCATTCTCTGATGAATCTCCTTTGGGGTGACACCTTCTGCTATCAAGAATTCAATGACTGCACGTTGCTTAAGTCGCATTGACTGATYGTCTGTGCAGGGTTCCATACTTTGCACTTTAACACAATCATTCAATGCTAAGGTTTCATGCCAAAATGGAACTGTAAAGAAGAGTCTACTGGACAAGCCAGTACCTGTCGCATACCAGTACCGCCATTTGTTGAGGAATTACGAAGATGGAGGCATTACTTTTCATTCAACCCTTGTAATTAAGAATACCTAGCTATTTTTTTAAAAAATATTTCTGATAAATTCCTCCCCTAAATACCCATCCTACTAATGCTACAGCTTGACCTTGCCTTTCTCTTCCAGAATACATCCTTCAGAAGCATGTGGTCCATTCCGGGGTGAGCCCGCCATGTGGAACACCGTCAGCAGCGCCATATCAGAACTGCCCAAAATGGCCAGGAACTTCTTCGGATTTGTGGGCTCTCTGGCTTTCGCTGTCCCTTTGTTTCTGCTACTGAGGTGAGAAAGGATTTGGTATCTTTTCCAGACCCTTCTCTGATCCCCAAATTAGGATGCCACTTTATTAGGGCAGCACCCTAATTTGGAAAACAGAGAAAAGTTTGGAAAAGTTTTGGACTACAGTAGCCATGGTTAAGCTGGGGAAGGGTTGTGGTGGAAGGTGTGGACCTCAAAGGTCATTTTCCAAGGACAATAGAAGGCTTTAAGTCTTGCACCTGATGAAACAAAGGGCCCTGATCTTACATTTGTCTCCTCTCTTTTGCATCCTTTCCTCCAAGTATCCTCATGTTCTACCTCAAGGCACTGGCTGACTCCTACAGCTCTTTGGTTAAAGGCCTTAAGGGACAACTCCGTCTGGTAAGTGCTCAAAAAGAACATTTTCATAGAGTTAGCATGGGATTGCAATGCCAGGATCAACAGATGCCTTACAAATAATGCAGATGTGCCACATGAAAATTCCCACTATCCCAGACTATTTGCCCAAAGCTGTAATGCAGCACATCTGGAGATGCTAGACTGGGAAAGGACCAAGAGGACGCTGTCATGAATAAGGATACTTTCACATTTCTCTCCTTCTCTTTCATCTAGGAAGGCCAAGACAAACTCTTCCTGGTGAAACAGATCTCTGAGATGAGCCACTGAAGCAGAAGATGATAGAACAACATGCACTTATTTCTTCTGGTGGATAGGTGTTTAATTATACAGCTCCTAACCATCAGTTCATTTCCTTGATACTCAAAGAGTGTTTTAATATTGGTAGCCAGATTTTGTTCATTTTCATGGTTTCCTCCTTTCTGTTGAAATTGTCCACATGCTTGTGGATTACAATGGCTTCTCTGTGTAGTCTGACATGGTGGTTGTACTCTTAAATAAAGAACAACACTCAGAAAACAGTGGAATTCCAGACAGGAATCAATCAGGGCCAATTAATACCTCCCAACAAAGGATTCCCCCAACATGAAGCAGCCAGTCTTTAAAGCTGCAAGGCCATTCAGTGCTAATCAAGGTGGCCAATTGCAACATTCACACTTGCTTCAAGCAGACAAGAGTTCTTTCTTCCACCCTGGACATTCCACAGATATATAAACCCCACTTGCCTTGCTTCCAACAAACCTCACAACTTCTGAGGATGCCTGCCATAGCTGTGGATGAAACGTCAGGAGAGAATGCTTCTGAAATATGGCCATAAAGCCCGAAAAACTCACAGCAACCCAGAATTGGAAGAGACCACATGGGCCATCTTGTCCAACACCCAACAATGCAGGAAAAGCACAAAGTACCCCTGACAGATTTGCACTACCATATAATGCCGTTTGAAACCATATTATATAGGTCAGTGTAGAGTTATACAATACAATTCAAACTGCATTATGTGAGTCTACACCAACCATATAATGCTGTTCAAACTACATTCAATGGTCAGTATAGATAGGGCCCATCTCTTGTCTCTTATGCAGATCTACCTAAACAGATTTCTGGCTGCATTTCTACCACCATAATTGATTTTAAAATGATATTGTTGAAGGCTTTCACGGCTGGAATTACTGGGTTGCTGTGAGTTTTCAGAGCTGTATGGCCATGTTCCAGAAGCATTCTCTCCTGATGTTTTGCCCACATCTATGGCAGGCGTCCTCAGGGGTTATGAGGTCTGTTGGAAACTAGGCAAGTGGGGTTTACCTATCTGTGGAAGGTCCAGGGTGGGAGAAAGTACTCTTGTCTGCTTATTTTGTATACAGAAGGCAATTGCATTAGGGGTTGCTGTGGGTTTTCTGGGCTGTATGGTCATGCATCTGGCAGGCATCCTCAGAGATTGTGAGGCAAACTTGGTCCCTCCAGGGGTTTTGGACCTCACAACCTCACATGATGCCTATCATAGATGTGGGCAAAATGTCAGGAGAGAATGCTTCTGGAACATGGCCATACAGCTCGGAAAACTCACAGCAACCCAACTTTTACATTTTTTGATAGACAGACTACAGGCAGTCCCCAAGTTACTAACATCTGACTCATAGTTAAGAACGAGGGTGAGACAACAGGAAGGGGGAATAATCTACCCCATAAAAGGGAATTTCACCCCTGAAAGAGTGATCATGGGGAAAAGGGGACTCCAATGAAGTTTTATCACCAATCCTTGTTTTCATAAGAAGCCAAATTTTTCAAAATGCAATTATCACAGTGACAGAAAGTGAGGTGAAATATTCTGAACAGAGGCACAGACAACAAAACAAACCCCACAAGGGCGTCAACCCTTCTCTATGATATCCAAGGCTATATATATAGAGAGGGGGGGGGGGAGCTGGAGTTACATTTTAAAAATGTATCTTCCGACTTACATCTACAGATTCTATCTTGTTCGTAACTTTGATTGACTGCATAGCTCTTATACCAAAATAGGACGAATCTGGATATACTTCCCATACAAGAATTCAAATTATAATACTCCACTTTGTACATTGCTCTTTCAAATCTTGGCCCTAAATGTATGATGCATTATTTTAATAAATATATAAATAAACTGAAAATGAAGCATTCACGTTCTAAATCAGAATGCAGACTTTGGACACTAAGATATAAGATGTGAAACTGCCAAACTTTTAAGGTAATTATGGTCACTTCCACACATGTATAAAACCCACATTGAACTGGATTATCTGGTAGTGTGGACTCAGATATTCCATTCAATGCAGATATTGTGGATTTTTTTTTTTTTTGGTGTCAGGAGCGACTTGAGAAACTGCAAGTCGCTTTTGGTGTGAGCTAATTGGCCTTCTACAAGGACATTGCCCAGGGGAAGAAACTGAAATCGTGGTTTTGGGACCAGGCTTTTGGACAGCACTTTGGTTGGAAATTGACTGGAATGGCGTGACAGCTGATGATACTGTTTATTGTTTTAATCAATGCTTTATGTGCTGTTTTTAATTAATGCTTTATATATTTTAATGGTTGTTGTATTATTGTAATTGTTTGTTTGTAGTGGCATTGAATCGCTGCCAAAATGTAAGCCATGCTGAGTCCCCCTTCAGGGATAGAAAATCATAGAATCATAGAATCAAAGAGTTGGAAGAGACCTCCTGGGCCATCCAGTCCAACCCCCTGCCAAGAAGCAGGAATATTGCATTCAAATCACCCCTGACAGATGGCCATCCAGCCTCTGTTTAAAAGCTTCCAAAGAAGGAGCCTCCACCACACTCCGGGGCAGAGAGTTCCACTGCTGAACGGCTCTCACAGTCAGGAAGTTCTTCCTCAGGTTTAGATGGAATCTCCTCTCTTGTAGTTTGAAGCCATTGTTCCATTGCGTCCTAGTCTCCAAGGAAGCAGAAAACAAGCTTGCTCCCTCCTCCTGTGGCTTCCTCTCACATATTTATACATGGCTATCATATCCCCTCTCAGCCTTCTCTTCTTCAGGCTAAACATGCCCAGCTCCTTAAGCCGCTCCTCATAGGGCTTGTTCTCCAGACCTTTTATCATTTTAGTCGCTCTCCTCTGGACACATTCCAGCTTGTCAATATCGCTCTTGAATTGTGGTGCCCAGAATTGGACACAATATTCCAGGTGTGGTCTAACCAATGCAGAATAGAGGGGTAGCATTACTTCCCTGGACCTAGACACTATGCTCCTATTGATGCAGGCCAAGAGACGGGGTAGAAATATCGGAAGCAAAATAATAAATAAATAATGTCCTTGCATTGGAAGCTGGAGCTGACAGACAGGAGCTCATCCCGCTCCCGGGATTCGAACCAACGACCTGTCTGTCAGCAGTCCTGCCGGCAAAAGGGTTTAACCCATTGTGTCACTGGGGACTCCTCATATTGTGGATTATCTGCCTTGATATTCTGGGTTATATATAGCTGTGTGAAAGAGACATACATTGTGAGATCTGGGGCCCTTCCACACAGCCCTATATCCCAGAATATCAAAGCAGAAAATCCCACAATATCTGCTTTGAACTGGGTTATCTAAATCCACACTCAATGTGGGATTGATATTCTGGGATATAGGGCTGTGTGGAAAGTTCCCTGGAAAAAAAATTAAAAAAAGAAATTTGGAAAACAATACTCAGGCCGTCCAGAAGGGGCGCCAGAGATACACACAAAGTAGGCCACGCCCCTGAGAAGGATCCCACCAATCAGAAAAGAGATACCGATCCCGGAAGTGTGAGGCAGCAGCGAGAGGGAGCCTCAGCGTTCGGAAGGACGGCGTAGGGAAAACAGCGAGGATGAATATCCTCCCGAAAAAGTCATGGCACGTACGGAACAAGGACAACGTGGCCCGCGTGAGGCGGGACGAAGCGGAGGCCGAGGAGCAGCGGAGGAAGAAAGAGGCCCGAGTCCTGCTCGCGGAACAGGAGGTAAGTTGCTTCTACGGCGCATGCGCAAAAGGGACAACGGTTGTGCTCGGGGCAGCGCCGCGCATGCGCTGTTTTCCTATAACTCATGACAGGTTTAAAAAAATAGCATTTCATTGCGCATGCGTCCCCGAGCTAGTTCGAATGGGCGGGGTTTGGAAGAGAATGAATGAAGAGAGAGGCCTAGCCAGGTGTTTTGGACCTCCAGGTGTTTTGGACTCCAACTCCCACCATTCCTAACAGCCTCAGGCCCCTTCCTTTTCCTCCTCAGCCGCTTAAGCGGCTGAGAGGGAAAAGGAAAGGGCCTGAGGCTGTTAGGAATGTGATGCTTTGCACACAATCAAAGCATCTCCAACAGATGGCCTTCCAGTCTCTGCTTAAAAACCTCCACAGAGAAGGAGACTCCACTTCAGTCTGTGGGACATTTCGATGGAGGTTTTACCATCTAATATACTACAGTAGAGTCTCACTTATCCAACATAAATAGGCTGGCATAATGTTGGATAAGCAAAAATGTTGGATAATAAGGAGAGATTAAGGAAAAGCCTATTATTTATTATTTATTTTATTTATTTACTTTGCTTGTATACCGCAATTTCTCAGCCTTGTAGGCGACTCAACGCGGTTTACAACAAGAGCAAAAGTCAATCCAACAGCATACAAAATTTAAAAACCATTAACAGCATAATATACAAAATGACATATCAATAACAACACATTAACGTCTCGTAACTAGAATCGTGATCCAATTCGTCTTCCATAATTCCGTTTCCTATATTCATTGTGTACATTGCATTGTTTAACCGAACGCCTGTTCGAACAGCCAGGTTTTTAGTTTTCTTCGAAACATCATTAACGAAGGGGCTGATCTAATGTCCATGGGAAGGGCGTTCCACAGCCGAGGGGCCACCACAGAAAAGGCCCTGTCCCTCGTCCCCGCCAGCCGTGTTATGTTATGATTTTACAAATTAAGTACCAAAACATCATGTTTTACAACAAATGGACAGAAATAGCTGTTCAAAACACAGCGACGTTATGTAATAATTACTGTATTTATGAATTTAGCACCAAAACAGACAATGGCGCTTTCTTTCTCCCACCCTGGACATTACTGTCCGAACGTATCTCCTGGTACAAACCATCACGAACCTTAAGATCATCTGGAGAGGCCCTGCTCTCGACCCTACCGACCGCAAATGCGATTGGTGGGAACGAGGGACGTATCTCCTGGTACAAACCTTAAGATCATCTGGAGAGGCCCTGCTCTCGACCCTACCGACACTGCAAACGCGATCGGTGGGGACAAGGGACAGGGCCTTCTCATCAGTGGCCCCCCGTCTATGGAACGCTCTCCCCAGTAACATCATAGAATCATAGAGTGGAAGAGACCTCATGGGCCATTCAGTCCAACCCCCTGCCAAGAAGCAGGAATATTGCATTCAAAGCACCCCTGACAGATGGCCATCCAGCCTCTGTTTAAAAGCTTCCAAAGAAGGAATCTCCACCACACTCTGGGGCAGAGAGTTCCACAGCTGAATAATAATAATAATAATAATAATAATAATAATAATAATAATATAATGAACCTTTATTTATACCCCACTAACATCTCCCGAAGGAGTCGGTGCGGCTTATAGGAGGCCGAGGCCCAACACATCAATAAGACAACAGCATAACAAATACAACAATAAATAAACTCATAAAACAAGCAATAAACATTAAAACAATAGCAATAAATATTAGACAATAACACCGTGACACATTTAAAACTAAGGCCAGGCCAAATGTAATGATTAAAATTTTAAACAGATCTCACAGTCAGGAAGTTCTTCCTCATGTTCAGATGGAATCTCCTTTCTTGTAGTTTGAAGCCATTGTTCCAAGTCCTAGTCTCCAGGGAAGCAGAAAACAAGTTTGCTCCCTTCTCCCTGTGACTTCCTCTCACATATTTATACATGGCTATCATATCTCCTCTCAGCCTTCTCTTCTTCAGGCTAAACATGCCCGGCTCTTTAAGCCGCTCCTCATAGGGCTCCTCATAGGACATCAGAATGGCCACCTCCCTCCTGTCTTTTAGAAGAAAAATCAAGACCTGACTTTGGGACTAAGCATTCGATTAGTGAGCAGCAAGTAAAAGAAGATTTTAACACTTATGGCAATGATTTGACCCGGACTGGATTTTAGACTGATTTTAATAGGTGTGTGTTAATCAATTGTTTTAATTATTGTTTTAATATTTTAATGTATTGTTGATTGTTTTATTACGATGACACCGTATGGTGTTTGTGAGGCTGCCCAGAGTCCCCCCTCAGAGGTGAGAAGGGCAAGGTATAAATATAGGAAATAAATAAATAAATATTGCACAGGTAAATATACACTCCATTTCCCTCACCTGTGGATCCGAGCAGGAGGCAGACAGTTGGATAATACAGAATGTTGGGTAAGCAAAGGTTGAATAAGCAAGACTCTACTGTATTTGAAGGGCAACTAATCATGGCTGGCAGAAAAAGAACAAGTTTGTCCCAGACTTCTGTGCCAGAAGCAAGCCTGTGTTGCTGGAAGCGAGCCTGTGTTGCTGGAAGCGAGCCTAGGGAGACCACCTAGCATTTCATCAGGGACTGCCCTTTGGCCAAAGAGGCCTGGCAAAAGGTGGCTGTCATCTTTGACTGGCCGGACTTGGCGCTCTGACCTTGGGAGGCAGTGGCCTCTGGAATGGAGCCGGAAACCGTTATTCGTTAGCCACGTCAACACCAAGGAAGAGAGTTGGATCCCAAATAAACACTTGAGAGGCCTTTTAGGATGTTCCTTGGTCAACAACAAGGTTGATGAACTTGTATGTTCTCCTGGCCCTGGTTTTCCAGAGACGTCGAGAAATAACAACTCCTAAACTCAGCAAATGTTACCTCTTGCTTAGGCAATCCCTTGTAGCTCGAGGATAGTGGTCTTCCAGATGTGGTTTCTTGGCAGTAGGTCCGTAGGTGGCTGTGGAGCCCTAGTCTTGATCCGCATCTTCTCCTGCAGTGAGGACATCAGTTTCCAGGTGGAAGGCAGTCCCGGTCAGGGTTGGCTTGACGCACCTTCCTCTTGGCACATTTCTCCCTTTCGCCCTCCATTCGTGCCTCTTCGAATTCCACAGCACTGCTGGTGACAGCTGACCTCCAGTTAGAGCACAGTTAGAGGCAGGATGCCCTCTAACCAATGGGAAAAGTTCTCTCCCTGGCTAGCAGAGACCACACCGGGGATCACCTGAAGGGTTGTAGGTTTTATATATAGAGAGAGATATAATACAAAAGAAAATTTTGAAAAGTTTGATACATATTAACTGAGATATATATAAATTTGCAATTGTATTTGTAACTACAACTGTATTTGTAATTGAAACCAAAGAAGAAAGAAAAACTGTGAAGGAATATTGCAGCTCGTTTTATAACTAATGATTTAGAAAATGTAAATGTTGCAAGCATTGTAAATACTGCAGAACTAAGTATGTCTCATTTGACTGTAATTGTTAGCAAATGTGTTTGTAGTATGTATTTATTATTATAAAAAATACTTATATCCCCCCAAAATTTACTGATATCCATCGGACTCTCCGCTGCCTTACAGCTCTTACTATTAGGAAGCTCTTCCTGATGTTTAGGTGGAATCTCTTTTCGTGCCATTTGAATCCATTGCTTCATTGTGTCCTTGTCTCCAGAACAGTAGAAAACAAGCTTCCCCCTCCTCAACGTGGTATCTTTTCAGATATTTAAATTGCTACAAGGGCAAATAATTTCCTTCTGTTCTCCTAGGCTCGAACCGATTTCCTGCGCAAGAAAGCACGCCTCTCAGCCCCAGGAAGTCATGACAAAGACTCAGAGCTGGTCCCTTTAAGCTTGGAAACACCCACAGGCCATCTCAACCTATTTCAAGAGTTGCAGGAGAGTGGTAACAAAGAATATGAGGAAGAGAAGAGAAAAGAAAAGGTAAGATGGGTTATTCATTTATTTGTATTGATTTCATTGATTTACCTCCTGCCTTTTTTTCAGCAGAGGACCCAAAGCAGCTTAACATCTTATAAGGGGTGCAGGACAAGGAAGCTTGTGAAGGCTTTGTTTCCTCTTTCCTGCAGACCCAGGGGGATAAAAGGCTCTGAGCTGGTGGAAGTTGTATTTATTCCCTTTCTCCAAACTTTCAAAGAAAGGCACCCAAGATAATAGTGGCAAGGTTTATAACTAGTTAGTGGCCATGAGTAAATGAACAGTATGGGGAAAAAGGTATTCTGCACAGAGGTTCATTAGTCTGGAGAGATTTGGTGCTAATAGCAGTTGCTCAGCCATGGGGGGTTGAAGGAATCTGGGAATTGTTATCTGAAATTACCTTTTCCAAGTTTTGGCCTAGATGGGATTCTCTCTTTTGTAAAAGAGGAGCAGCAAAGTGTAGTTCACAGAGATCATCCTTGCAGCTGTGATGCCGGCTGTATACAGTAGAGTGACACCTCTGGATTCTTTCACTCCCTCTCAGGAGCGACAGGAAAAAGCTCTGGGCATCCTCACGTACTTGGGCCAGAGCGCAGCAGAGGCCCAGACCAATCGTCCTTGGTATCAGGAGGCGCCTGAACGTGACAAAGCTGTTGTCAAGGATGAGAAGCTGAAAGGAAAGCTGGACCCTCTTTTGGAAATGGAGAAGCACTTGCGGAAGAAGAAAGGTTCCCACAAGAAAGAAGGAAAGAAAGAAAAAGAGGAACGTAGGGGGAAAGAGAAGGGAAACCTGGCTGTCAGGTGAGTACTTTGGTGCATGTGGTATCTTTTGATTGCCAGGATGGAGGATAATGGGAAGATGGTAAACACTGCCATTCCTTTCCAGCTAGTTGACCCTGTGTGGTCCAAAAAAATGTCATCCCTAGGCAGGAAAAGTTGTGAGTAAGGAATTAGGAGAATTTATAATAGACCATACTTCAGGAAATAAAGCCCAATTGCTCATTAGAGGGAAGGATAGAGGCCAAGATGAAGTACTTTGGCCACATCATGGGAAGAAAGGAAAGCTTAGAGAAGACAATTATGCTGGGGAAAATGGAAGGAAAAAGGAAGAGGGGCCGACCAAGGGCAAAATGGGTGGATGGCTGGCATCCTTGAAGTGACTGGATTGACCTTGAAGGAGCTGGGGGTGGTGACAACCGACAGGGAGCTCTGATGCGGGCTGGTCCATGAGGTCACGAAGTCGGAAATGACTGAACGAATGAACAACATAATAGACCTCTTCCTTTGGATGCAGCTTGCTTGAAAAGAAAAAAAATGATTGTGTGTACATCTATGCACCCACACAAACTCACATTTCACCTAGATCACCAGTAAGTGCAAGGGAATGTTTGTTTGTGGTTTTCCATTATTTCCTTGAGTTTAGCTATCACAGGGAGACTTAGCAGCACTTCATCAGAATGATGGGAAAGGACAACACTTCAGCCATTCTTGAAGTCAATGGTACCTAAATTATGACATAGTTCCTCAAGACAGTTTCCTTGATCTCCTGGGTGAGCATGAATTGAGAGTTGGATCCTAAATAAAATCTCCAGTCACTATGACATAGTTGTCTGACTGGTTAGTAAGGGAATTGCAGCAAGTAGTCCAGTGCTGCAGGAATGACACGGGGCTCACTCCTTTTTGGCTGTGGATCGTGTTTACTCCATGGATTATCGACTGGCTGTCACAAACTGCTCCTCTGACAAGTTCCATTTCAATTTAAATTAACTGAACTCTTGTTTTTGTCTTGTCATTGTCCTTTCTGCCTGGAGCAGCTGTTCTAGCCTCTCAGCCTAGAGGTATACAACAAATACTCTTGCTGAAGCTGTTAGATCCAGGAGCCCTCCCCATCCTCCTGGACGGTTAGGCATGCTGCCATCTCAGGTTTAGTGACAGAAGAAAAATAGGATATCAGTTGAATGAACTTTTCATGTCACTAAGCTTGTAGGGTGTGAAGTCTGTATTTTAGAAAATTGTCTTGTATCATTTGGATATCTAGCCCAGCATTTTGTCTTTCTAATCTAGGGCTCTTTCCCATCCTTTGCCTCCTCTACCTTTTGTAACTGGAAGTGCCAGGATCAAACTTGCTCTTTCAACATGCAACACCAGTGGTCTGCCCATGAACTATTATTCTCACCTCTTTTGATTTGAAAAGAGCAGCCTTCCTTGTCCCCTGTAGCATGACCACAGGAGCCCCAGTTAGAGTGCAAAGATGCATGAAAACACAAGATGGCATGAAAACATCTCAAGGAAAAACAAAGGCTTATTTAAACATAAACCTTCTTGCTCCAACTAGGCAGCTAAAAATTGCAAAAGTTCAATGGGTCCCTTGCACATTTCAGTTTTTTCCTCTCACTTATCTGTGGTCTTTCCTGGTACAGGCCTACATCTTCATCTGCATCATCCCCTTTGGAGCAGCTCCGTCAGGAACGGTTGCGCCGTGAGAAGGCAGAGCGAGCGCGTGCCGAGTCTCTTTTGGCCCAGAGAGCAGGAACGCTCCAGCCCCAGGAAGCAGAAGAGGAGCAGGATGACAGGAAACGTGGTTACAACTCCCAATTCCACCCTCAGCTGGCAAGGAAGAGGGTCTGGGAACCACAGTGAGGTCGTCTGTCCCAGCTGTTATCAGCGAGATAATCGCAAGGCAGTTTGTTGGGGAAAGGCTGCGTTTTTCCTTCTTGTAAGCTATAGTATGAAGAAAAATGGAAACATTAAATCATTTTTTTCTTCTGGATAGCCTTTTGTGCTGGCTCTTGCAACATACCACATGGACACATCATCTGCAGGAGAGAGACTGGTGGGTTTTCTCACCTTATCAACTCTATAGAAATGCAGTTTTAATGTGGATCTTTTATATAAATATTTGTATTTGTTGAATTTTTGCAATGTTTGTGTTTTTTAATTGTTGTTATTACATGCCAGGGATGATCTGCTCAGAGTATTGTATTGCTCCATAACTGGCATTTCAAATATGGATTCCAACTTGGGTGACAAATATAATAGGTGCATAATTAATGGTTTTGAATTTGATTGTGCAGGTGAAGGAAACTCCCCCCAAAGGATCCCACCATTTCCTCTCCATTTACCAGGTCCTCAGCATTTGTTAAGATCAGATCCATAATAGATGATTGCTCTGTTGCTTCTTCCACCTTCTGGACAGTAAAATTATTTGCAAGAAAAGTGAGGAATTTGTTGGACTTTGTCAGGAAATAAAGCCCGACTGCTCATTGGAGGGAAGGACATTAGAGGCAAAGATAAAGTACTTTGGTCACATAATGAGAAGACAGGAAAGCTTAGAGAAGTCAATGATGCTGGGGAAAATGGACTCTGAAGGAGCTGGGGGTGGTGACGGCCAACAGCTCTGGCGCAGGCTGGTCCATGAGGGCACTAAGAGTCGGAAGCGACTGAACGAATAAACAATTTATGGCAGAGTTTGTTTTCCAACGCATATCAGAATAGTTGAAATCTCCCATTAATACTATGTCTTTTCTTTCTGTATGTTTGCTCATCTGTTCAAGGAAGGCTTTATCCAGGTTCTCAGTTTGGCTTGGAGGTCTGTAGTAGACCCCCACAACATCTTTTACAGTTCTCGCTCCCTTAATTCTTATCCAGATACTCTTAACCTGTCAGGATTGAAGTCCTGTATCTCTTCACAGGTGTAAACATGCTTAACATTTAATGCTACCCCTCCATTACTACATTCCAATTATAGGACTCATCCCACCAAGTTTCAGTGATGCCTATTACATCATAACTGTTTTGTTGTGCTAAGAGTCCCAATTCATCTTGTTTATTCCCCTTAGCTGGTTATTTTGAGATTACTGTCCCCTCATTGCTTGGTACTTGTTCTGTTTATCAAACGCTCTCTTGAATCTTTGGGCTCAAAGACCAAATTGTTCAAATAAAAATCCTTTCTAAATTTCCCATTATCTGGAGTTCCAGCATAGGGCTTGTATATTTCAAAGAGATCAGACAAATTTCTAGAATTCACAAAAAAATAATGATTTTGTGCGGCCAATAGACCAAATGGCATTTCTTGTCAGAAATATTAAAAATTAACTGGGTATTTTTGATGGCAAAAGTGTGAGTCTAGCACTGAAAGTTAGTAGGCCAAAGCTAGCATCACCCTAAGGAGAGTGAGTAGGCTGAAGCCCGTTTGTGTTAGTTTGCCTCAGTGAGGGAACACCTCAGTCTGTGTGAGGAGGCTTCTCTGCATGGCTGGTCTCACAGTATGCGGAAGGCGTGATATGAGAAAGCCATGTGTGAGAAAAGCCTCATGAGAGAAAGCTCCAGTGTGAAGGCTGCTGTGTGTAAAGCTACTATGTATTTGTTTATTTCTGTTATGGAAACCTAGTTATTGTAAATAGTACAACCATATTATTTTACTATAAAGAAAACTCTCCTATGGATGAGATAACATTGGTCTGTATATGTTGTTGTTCTTTTCCTCACCTTGGGCTACTGGTGTTGGGTCACACTGCTGCTAATAAGTTACTCTGCTGTATGTCTATGAGCAGGGTCTTTTCCTAATAAGCCCACTTGCCCAACATTCATATCCTATTTCTTGGAGCCTGCTAAGTTACTCTGCTTAAAAAAGTAGGGCATCCATATACAATGCAGTTTTTAGTAAATTCCTTTACACCAGACATGGGCCTTCCAGGTGTTTTGGACTTCAAGTCCTAACAGTCTCAGGCCCCTTCCTTTCCCCTCTCAGCTGCTTAAGGAAAGGGCCTGAGGCTGTTAGGACTTGTGGGAGTTGAAGTCCAAAACACCTCAGGGGCCGAAGTTTGCCCATGCCTGCTTTACACCCTTTAACCAAAGTTGGAAATTTACTAGAGTTTAAAAAGGGAATACATCAAGCAGTGTGTTTGGATAGCAGGGTAAGGCTGACTGGGAACCCATTAAAAAGGCTCCTATCTCACCCTGTATTTAAAAATAAACATAGAATCAGAGTTGGAAGAAACCTCATGGGCCATCCAGTCCAACCTGTCCAAGAAGCAGGAAAGTTGCATTCAAAGCACCCTTAACAGATGGCCATCCAGCCTCTGTTTAAAAGCTTCCAAAGGAGGAGCCTCTACCACACTCAGGGGCAGAGTGTTCCACGGCTGAACAGTTCTCACAGTCAGGAAGTTCTTCATAATGTTCAGATGGAATTTCCTTTCTTGTAGATTTCTAGCTTTTGTGCATATTTGGAAGGGTGAAAACAATGCCTGCCAATGGCTCAGCTGGCAAAATTTATAGTCAAGCAGAAGTAGGATGCCAGCACTTTTATGTTGATGCATGCTTTATACGTCAAGACAAGATGAAACATTGGTGTTTTTAAGCACAGCCCTATACAATTGAGCAATGTAGCCTTGAGGTATATGGTACTTTTTGCTTTATCAAGTCATCCTGAGTCGCAGCCTTTAACTTCACAGACGTACAAATAAAAAGCAAAATACATTGTTTTGTCCCACCTCCCTCTGTGCATTTTATCTCCCCTTTCTCTACAAGAGAAGAAGAACACTCATATAAAACTATTTATTCATAAATATTTTCCAAAACGAAAATAGGCTTACGAAAAAATATCTTAACAGCGGCGTGGGCAGGGTGCTCCAGTTCAGGGGGATGGTTAAGGAGATGGGAGGAACGTAGCAATCTTCCCACCTCCCCCTGGGTTTCCCCAAATCTTTCCCCTCCAATTTGGAATAAATTGCAAGTCATCAAGGGGGAGGGCTCTCTGTGGGAGGAGCAGCAGAATACATACGAGCTCATACCAAATTCGGGGCGATGACAACGTTTTTTGGAAAGGGGGAAAAAGAAAGAGAAGCAGCAGCTTGTGGGAGAGTAGACTTGGCTAAATCCAAGTTCAGTCGGGAAAAGAAATTTCAGGACTCTTCTAAATCAGGAGATATGAGGGGATGGTGGACATTTCATACTCCCCAAGAATACCCCTTAACAAAAGGAAGTGAACGTTATCGCAGTTCTTCTACTGGCAACAGACTTTGCCTGTCCATCAAAAATATTTGTTGCAGGGCTCTCCTTTCAGGCTAGCTTCTACAATTTATAACCAATTTGTTATTTGCATTTTTGTCATTTTCAGCCATAACAAATGGGCTCAGTTTGGAGTAAACTCACCATGAGATGTTCCCAACACCAGAAGTTGTTATGGGGCTCTATGCCTTAATATCACTAGGGCACATTATGGTAGCCAAATAAGGTGTGAGGTCTATGCCTAAAAGTGGAAAAAAGCAAACTGGATGGGGTGGGGTTGAGTTCACTGCAATGGGAATGGGATTCAAATTCTCTGATTCAGGACACACACAAAAATGGAGATTTGGGGAAAGTCACTTCTTCGGTGAGATTCTCAAAAAAAAATTTTTTTTTTTAATCTCCACTTTCGCACCCAAATGTGATGCACATGAAGAGCATTTCCCCACTTTTTTCCTGACCTCTTCATACACCTTGCAGGCAGAAGAGAACATGGGAAATAAAGGCAGAGGAGAACCCCGCTGCCGCTGCCCCTCCTCCGTCCCGCGGTCACTTTTAAAACTTGCATGCATTTTTTAAACGTGCGGCTGGCCCCCGTCCCCCCAGGATCGTGATGTGCGGGAGGCGGGAAGATGGAGTCTCGCCGCACCGCAGCTGTCTCTGGAAGAAAGGCTTGGCACCTCCTGCTGGCCCCAGGGCATCACTGCAGGTCCCGGTCTTCCAGGTAGCGGTATTCAAAGGTGAAACCTTCCTTTTTGCGCTGGCCCCATTTCTCATAGTCGAAGTAGATGTAAGTGCCCTGGGGAGAAACAGGTCGCTTAGAAAGGATTTGTACTGAAAGGATAGCTTTATCCCAATCACTATGAACACTTCAGAACCTGAGCTAAGGGTCAAACTGGAAGTCAAGGAGTAGCTCATGCCTTCCATCATGTGCCCACTGCAGGAGTCTACCATATACCATGCAGCTGTGGACAAGTCTACATAGAGTCCTCCAAACGCAGCAGCGCCCAAACACGAATCAAGGAACATGAAAGATACTGCAGACTAATTCAAGTCAGCCATAGTAGAGCACTTAATGAACCAACCTGGACACAGCATATTATTTGAGAACACAGAAATGCTGGACTACTTTAATAACCACCATGTCAGACTACACAGAAAAGCCACTGAAATCCACAAGCATATGGACAATTTCAACAAAAAGGAAACCATGAAAATGAAGAAAATCTGGCTACCAGTATTTAAAAAACCTCTAAAATCAGGACAGTAAATAAAGAGGAACATTCAAACTACAGGGGAATTACAGACAAGAATCAATTAGGGTCAGCTAACACCTCCCAACAAAAGATTCCCCCAGGCAGTAAACAGCCATGCATTGAACCTGCAAGGCCATTAAATGCTAATCATGGTGGCCAGTTGCAAGATTCACACCTGCCTCAAGCAGACCAGAGTTCTTTCTCCCACCCTGGACATTCCACAGATATACAGGGTGAGGAAGCATAACTTCCTTTTTAAAATGTACACCATTCAGTCGGTTCAAGACGTAGCGGAGCGCTAGTGGTCTCGCTAGAGGCGCGGGAGTATAAAGTTTTGTCCTGACACAGTTCAGTCGTCATCATGCATTGGAACAGTGAGGAGCATGCTTTAGCCATTGAGGCCTACTTTTCGAGCAGATTTGGAGTGGCCAGCGCGCTCTCCAGATTTGGCCCCTTGTGATTTTTTTTCTATGGGGTTTTTTGAAATCCTGTGTTTATGTGAACCGTCCAAGGACCCTACAAGATTTGAAGACCAACATCCAGGTAGAAAGTGCCAACATAACGCCTGCTATGGTGGCAAGACTCATGACAAACGCCAGAAATCTGTTTACTCAGTGTATGGAGAATGGGGGACGTCACCTACCTAATTTGATCTTCAAAACTACATAAAACAAAACTTTAGGTATGCACCTACATTATAATTTTTTTTTAAAAAATTCTGATTTATACAATGGGTTTTATTAAGTTTTGAAAAAAAGGAAGTTATGCTGCCTCACCCTGTATAAACCCCACTTGCCTAGTTTCTAACAGACCCCCCAACCTCTGAAGATACCTGCCATAGATGTGGGTGAAACGTCAGGAGAGAATGCTTCTGGAACATGGTCATACAGCTCGGAAAACTCACAGCAACCCAAAAATATTTATGTTGTTTGTTGGGGAATTGAGGCAGGCTCCACTTCACAAAACCCATAATCCCCCTTCTCCAACTTTGATGACATGAAGGGATGTGCTAGGATCAAATGCCTCTGCTTTCTGGAAGATGGCATCAACCAAAGCTTCACTGAGTTTTGTATTTACTACAACTGGGGTTGGGAAATTGCAGGACACAGCCAGCTCCCAATACCCCACTCATGTCTTCCCTGGGCTTTTCAAAAGAATGTGGTGTATATAGGTGACAAGCATCAATAAATTGTGCTTTAGGCCTTTCAAAATCCAAGCAAACACAAAACAGTCTTTGATCCTTACCAGACTCTTCCAACCACTTACTTTTCCCTTCATTTCTCTTCCAATACAAAATTACTTCTTTGTCATTTTGGAAGAGAAATTGAAGGAAAAAAAAGAGATATTTTGGCATGCTCAGGGGAGGTTTGCAGGCCATAAAGGAGTCCCTTGCACAGCTGCTTATTCCCATTCTAGAGAGAATTCTCTGAGACCTTTCAACCAAAGAAGGGAAGAGGCATTTGAAAGAAAACAAAGCCAAGAGAGAAGCCAAATGTCTGTCATATAAGAAAGTTATCCCAATATTATTTCACATGGCTTTTTATCTTTATTTCATGGTAAAGGAATTGCAGAATTTTGCAAAATGAGGTAGCTATTCCAATTTAAAAAAATAATGGCTGTTTGGGAACTTTGTTTCTTTCTTGACTGGATATCATTACTCACTGCATACTTAACAGTCTCTACAAGTTGACACTAAAGAGTTAAAAAAAGAAAATGTTCATCCTGTCAATTTTCTTTCAAGTCAGAGAGTATGGCATATTGACCTTTGTCTGTCATCACTCCACCAAAAGAGAAGGCACAAAGCCCTCCTCTATCCCTGCTGTTCCCCTCACTATAAACATACTTCTGTATTTCTCCTATTATCAGGGCTTAATAGTTAATCCAACCCTATCCATTATCAAGCAAGAAGGCTAGGCATCCTCACCTGCTCAAATTCATCTGTGATCGTCTTGGGTTCTTCGTGCCGCTGGAACCACATCATGTACTTTGTATGGAAGCGCCATGACTGCTTCTTCAGTGCCTTTGCTGCCAGGTACTGTGCCTTCGTGCCCTTCAAATTGGAAGGGGACAAACAGATTGGGACTATGGGATATATATCTAGAGGGAAGTACAACATGGGCAGAAAGGAACCCTTAAATCCTCTAGAGGGGAAAAGATGGGGAGAGGAAGATTTTATTTCCCAGTGAGCACCAGAAAGGTTTCAACATACTACCTCCAAATAGTAGAAAATGAAGAAAAGGGTCTCTGTGGAGAGGCGCTGGTAGAACTCCACGGTGTCGGAGTGTGGGGGAGGCATCTGGTGGTGGTACGGAGGGGTTGGGCAAGGATTCCGAGGAAGGTATTGCCTGCAAAATTGAACAAGGATACCGCACAATGAATCTGCAGGACAATCTGACAAAGGTCTTGGCTTCCAGCTCCATCTTGATGGCAGTCTTCTCCCACTGGTATAAGCCTCCAAACACAGGGACCCTCAAGTTTTCTTACTCTAATGCCCTTGCTGAACTGTTGCTAACCAGCAACAATGAGGTAAGGCTCCATTACAACTGGGGTTAACTCATTGTTCCTCATCTCAGAACTGACCAAAGTCTGTCCTAGGAAAACAAAGGTGGGACTTTTGGAAAATTTAAATAGCTCAAGGATTTTAGGAGGGCTGGCAGAGGACCTCCTTGATGATAAAAAGAGTGATTACAACAAGGGGAAGAAAAAGAAGGCACACATTTGTTAGCAGCAGCTAAATAGGTGCTGAGCAATCATCACATTTCCCTTGCCATGAGCACTCCAATTTAATTTCCCAGCATCCTTTGCTCTAACACAGTGGTTCCCAACCCATGGGCCCATGGGTGGGCTGCAAGACCTGAAATCAGCTGGTGGATAAGACTCACCCCGCAGCACGCAAAAGGGGGTGAGAGAAAAAAGGAGAGGGAAAGAAAGGAAGGAAGGAAGGCCGTTGTGTTCGCCAATGCTTTCTCAGCCTTGGGGGGCTTCCCAGGCCAGGGTGGAGAAGACTCACTTGCGGCACAAGTGAGGAAGCAAGATAATAATAATAATAATAATCTCCCATTGCCAGATCAGTATTAATGAGAAAGCAGCCCTTTGTTAGACCCTGTTTAGTCCCCCAAATAACAACAACTATTATTATTATTATTATTATTATTATTATTATCTCCCATTGCCAAACACAAGAGTTGTAATGGGAAAGCAGCCCTTTGTAAGACCCTGTTTAGTCCTCCAAATTATTATCATCATCATCATCATCATCATCATCATCATCATCATCATCAAAGCCGTTAGGAAGAGTTTCTTGGGTCTCGCACTCTGCTATTTGTATTTGTTTCAGCCTCAGCCCCCTCTCCTTTTATTTTTACACATGCATTAACAAAATCCATGGATAATAACACAGCCCAACCAAAAATGTTTTTTCTTGACGTCTTCGTTTTTAGGCCTGTTCCTGAGGTTATTTAGAGTGCTGATTCAGAAAATTGCATTGGAATAGACCACATCAGCTCTAGATTATTAAATATAGTTTTCTGTGGGCGAGTAGATGGCGATTACTAGATGGCTTATGTTCTGTATCAGAAACTAGAGCTGATGTGATTTATCCAATGCAACTTTCTGAATCAGTACCCCAAATAACCAAACCGAATCTAAAGTTGACCAAAAACTGATTCATAATCCTTTTGACACTGATGTTGGAGAGTGGTCCTTGATCAAGTGGTCCCTGTTCAAAAAAAGGTTGGGAACCACTGCTTTAAAACCACTGAGTACACGTGCAAGGTTTTGGACCAGTTGCAGCCTTTAGCTGCAATATTGTGCTGCAGAGACTTTATTTCATAAGTCTCATTTCTCTTTTTGTGGCCTATTTACGGGTAGAAGATTTTAGATTAAAGTGGCAAAACAGGACCCAGAAAGAGGACTTTGAAGCCTGGGATCCAAACAAAAACATTTACAGTATTTTCATGTAAAAGATACATTTTCCTGCAATGTGCAAACAATCTCCTCCCCCACCCCCCCAAAAAAACAACAACCAAGCATCATAAGTGCCCACCATTTCCCAAAATCAGGGCAATCCCTGCCCCACCTCCTTACCGGATTCTTTCTGAGTCAGAGGGATGAGGCATGTGGTGCCAGGCGGCCTCCTCCATGGCCTGTTGGTAGAGCTGCTCCTTGGTGAGAGGCACAGGCCCCAGAGGGCACACCCCAAGCGAGAGGGGAATGTTCACCTCAGATAGCTGGATGGGGGGCTGGTTGGAGGCTGGCTGGGAGGTCGTGCTCGTGATTAAGATATCAGCTGAGGAGAAAAGAACATTTAGAGGCATCTTCATACACACACACATGTAGTACATCAGTAGAAATTTTCCTTTTGCATGGCACATCCTCACAAGGCTCCCCACCCTTAACAATAATGGCAAGAGACTTCTGGATCCCACCAGAAGAATTTGTCTCTTTCAAATTCCTAAAGTCAGTTAACTGATAATTGTTTTGTAGGCTTGCCATTTCTTTCCCAAAGACCTTCCTCTTCTTATAGAGCCACAGAACACTCTGATTTTAGTATTCTCATTAAACTCTACAGTTTTGCTTTAAGTGTTTTCATCAACATCAATTAGACTCTCAGAATCATTATTAAAAGATCACTGACTAAAAAGCTGGACCAGAAGGAATTATTTATATTTGTATCGTGTTCTTCCACCCGCTCTTCAATTGCCTCAACATCAAAAGTGAGCAGAGGAATCAATATCTGTAGCAAAAGCATCTTCCCAGTGGGCAGGTTCAAGAAGGGGTAAAGCGAGAAAGTTGGAGATGGGGGTAACTACCTGTCCTCCAAAGTGGTCCTGCAGGAAGCGTGATTTCTGACCAAAGATCTAGGTTGTCCACACATAGAAAATATTGAGGGGGCTTGGATGAGAATCTGAACAATACAGCTGTTTTTATACAGAAATTGGTTGAAAAAGAAATGTCCTTATTTCACTTACCCCTTTCGGCAAGGTGAAGCGATGGCACAGGGTCTTCTATACTAGAGCTGATAGCTGCCCTCTCAGCCATAGATTTCAACGTACTTAGAGGCTCAGGTGCCTGCAGATCAAAATGTAAACTACACCAATGGGGGCTCATGGGAGAACTTTCCCCTCCCAAAGTAGAACTCTGAGCCACAAGATAATCAATACAGTAGAGTCTCGCTTATCCAACATAAACGGGCTGGCAGAACACTGGATAAGTGAAAATGTTGGATAATATGGAAGGAATAAGGAAAAGCCTATTAAACATCAAATTACGTTATGATTTTACAAATTAAGTACCAAAACATCACATTTTACAACAAATCAACAGAAAAAGCAGTTCAATACACAGTAATGTTATGTAATAATTACTGTATTTACAAATTTTGCACCAAAACATCGCAATGTATTGAAATAGCTGTGGATCTGGGTAGGAGGCAGACTGCGCTGGATAATACAGTGTTGGAAGAGCAAAGGTTGGATAAGCGACTCTACTGTACGTCTTAAGAGTACCTCATTGTTGGGATAACATGGAACAAACATACACATGCCCAAATAAGATTCTACAGAAAGGAACTGCTTAAAGCACTCTCATGATTAATCCAGTCCTTGCTCCTGTGAATTTAGTATTTTTTCCACCTTTCCACTAAAAAACACAAACCCGGCTACCACCACCAAGAACAAAGTGATCAATGAATCCATTAAAACTAAAGATCTAACATTAAAACTAAGTAAATTCTTCCAAAAAGCAGTGGCAACAGGAATTGGTCACATCTCTGAGAAGGGCACATTCCCAATCTGGGAGTAACACACTCAGAAAGCATTATGACAATGCCTGAGAAGTTGAAGACTTTTGAGATGACAACATCCAGAATTCCTTGTCCAGTGACCCCCCCTTTTTCCCCAAGCCCCGGAGGCAGAGGGCCAGGGCAGCCCCTCACCTTAATTTCAGGCGTGGAGCTGAACTGGGGAGGCCCGTTGAGCAGGGTCTGGGCAGGCTTGCTGTCAGAAAAACTGGGTGTGGGTGAGGCAGGCGGGTTGGCAGTCAGAGGCACCAGGAGGCTGGATCCAGTGCTGTTGCCACTATTTGGTGGCTGAGGAGCTGCGCTGGGCTCCTTCCTGCCAGAAAGAGGACAGACAGACAGATGTTGAGAGAATAGCATGTCTCTGAAAACCAGGAGCCAACACTTAAAGCCCTCAGATGCTCAAGTCTTCCTAGACAAGGAGATGAGATGAATAAAGCAACAGCCATGCAGGAAACCTAGCCTTTTGATTTTAAGGGCAATTGAATACTACAATACAGTACAGAGCAACAGTGTGTGCTCAGAAATAAAACAGAATGTTTAGAGAAAAATAGAGAACTGCTTTCCTCATGCTAGTTTATATTGCATTATTTTCTCTGCCCAAGTTCTTTGTGGTCAGAGCTGTATCCATGTTAGGATTCCATGAGCATAACAGAATGTTCTATTAAGTTCAGAATGGAGCTTCTAGAGTCTAAGATTTTTTTTCTTTGGCTTCCAAATGGCTGGGAAGAACCTGATGCCCTCCAAGAATTGTTGGACTCCAGTTCCCATCAGCCCAAGCTAACATGGGCATGATCATGGATAACAGAGGTTGAAATTTATCAAGATCTGAAAGGGCATATAGTCCCCAGCCTGTTCCAGATCCATGATGAAAAAGGAGGAAATATACAATATTTAGTTAACCTTTGTGAAAGGTTACAGTTCACAGAATAGGAAAAAACTGACCTCATAAGCTACCTACCCCTCACCCCCAAATCACAGATCTATGTTTTGCCTCCAAAATAGAAATCCTAAGAAAAGTGGAAGTTAGTGAACACAAAAGACACCTTTGGATGTCTTTTGGAAGAAGGTGTCGTCTTTAAAATGTTGGAAATGTTATTTACTTGTGCTTACCAGGCCTTGTTATTTCATTTCACATGTGCACATTGTCAGTTTTCAATAAAAAAAAGTTCACTGAAACACGTTGTCCTGCTCTTTTTTGGGGTATACTTTTTGTACCTCTTGTCTTTACTCTTTAGATGTTATTTCTGTACCTTACTAAATTTATGTTAAAAAAAAGTAATGCACAGGAACACATTTAGCATGTGAACTGAGGTATCATATATACTCAAGTATAAGTTTTTCAGCCCTTTTTTTAGGTTGAAAAAGCCCCCCACGGTTTATACTTGAGTCAAGGTTATTATTTTACTCTGTTATTATTACATTTACATTATTTTACTCTATTCTTATTTTATTTTATTATTTTTATTATATTTCTTATTTTAATCTATTGTTATTACTACATTTATTTTACTCTATTGTTATTGCATTTTCTCTCTCATTATTACATATATTATTTTACTCTATTATTATTTTACTTTATTATTATTACATTTACATTATTTTACTCTATTACTATTTTATTATATTTAATATTTATTACATTTCTTATTTTACTCTATTGTTATTGCATTTTTCTCTCAATTGTTATTACATATATTTTTACTCTATTATTATTATTTTACTCTAAAGTAAGAAATATAATAATGTCAATAATAATAGAGTAAAATAAGAAATGTAATAATAGAGTAAAATAAATATAGCAATAATAGAGTAAAATAATAAATGTATTTCAGTTAAATAAAATTTTGAAAAAATACTTGCACAATCCTGAAAAATGTTTTAAAAACTATGAATAAAAAGAAACCTTCAAATGCAAAAGATCAGTAAAATATTAAAGCCCTGTTTGAAGTAGATTATGAACATCTAATGACACAGTGGAAAAGAATAAACTTAATGGGTCCCTTGCAAGTTATGGACAGTATTCCAATTACTTGGAACACAGTGAGGTGAAAGTGGTTGAGATATGAGTGAACTGAACACATTTTGAAGAGATGAAAGGAGACACTCACGTGGAAGCGCTGGGCGGGTTGTGCGACACTGTCTGGTTCGGCAACGACTGGCTGCTGCTGCTTAGTGTCGAATCTGAACTGCTGTCAGCTACTACGGAGCTGTAACCTGGACAAGGAGACAACTGTTGAACTCCTGGGCTTGAATCTTTACACCAAGCAATCAGTTGCTGCACAAATGAGGAAACCCTGGGCCTCATGACTTAGGTTCAGTTTTCTGTCCAGTTAAGAGCTCAGTGGAGCACAGAAAACCTTTTGCATCCCTCACAGCCTGACAGTAATGACTGACCAGAAAAAAGACACCCTGGCTTGCTCCTGTACCTTTAAATGCATCTTGCTATGATAAAGTCTGCAGGTGAAACGTATAAATGGCCCGAAAAAAACTGAACATTACCACTTGCTAGTTTTCTGTAGTTTAAAATGCTGTTAAAAAGCCACAGCTGGGGATGTAATGTCAAAGAAGACAAAGTAGCTACTTTTGAGTATGAACAAGAATTGTATAAGGAAATAAGCTTTGGAAACTTTTTTTGCAGTTTCTACAACATTGGAGAAAAGCTAGAGCAGTGATTCCCAATCTCTACTCCTCCAAATGCTTTTGGACGTTAAATTTCAGAAGCCTCGAGGATTTTGGGAGCTGAAGTCCAAAAAACATGGAAGACCAGAGCCTGAGAAACACTGAGCTAGAGCTCACAGGAAACTCATAAGGAGAAGAGAGTGGGGCAAATTACATAACAGGGTTAGGAACAGACAGGGAGAAATCTGATGAAGGGCTTCAATAAGAAGGAAGGGTTATTCTAGGCCTGTGTAAATAATCAGTAATATGGGAGATTGTAGTCATTTTTAAAAAATCATCCTAAATTTGTGGGGAAGGAAAGGAGATACCTAGCGTCATGTTCTTGACTTGGCTCAGATGTGCAGCCTTCCAGGCGTTGACTGCAACTCCCAGCATTCTTCACCCTTGCTTATGCAGACTATGGCTTGTGGGATTTGTGGTCCAGCAGCCCTTGGCCCATCCTTGTTTTGAGAGGGCTCTTCCCTGGTTGTGGCAATGACTACTCAATGGGAGTTGGCATTAGCCTTCTATTATAGAGCCCTCAGGAAAGAAGAGGGTTTCTACAGGTGCAACTTTTCACATCAGGAGGCTGTACTGACTAGGAAAAATGCACCTGTTGAATGTTCCGCTTCAGAGCTTCTTAAAGTGACAGGAGTCCTGTTCTGGGCTGAAAGATTTCCACCTTGGGTGATCATAATATCTGTAAATAGTGGTTCCACAAAGCTTAAGTGAAATGCTAGTTGTTCATATATGTCAGGCAGCACTCATGCTTCCACCAATCCCTGCATATTCTCCCCAATGTAAAATTGTATAGTGTGAGCAAAGGGTAGTTCTTTAGGGGTTGCTGGACTATAAATTCCCATAATCCTCATTATCTTATAATGGCTTGGAATGATGGGTGCTAGTAAAGGTGAAGATTTCCCCTGACATTAAGTCTAGTCGTGTCCGACTCTGGGGGGTGAAGCTCATCTCCATTACTAAGCCAAAGAGCTGGCCTTGTCCGTAGACACCTCCAATGTCATGTGGCCAGCATGAGCACCATTACCTTCCTGCCGGAGCGGTACCTATTGATCTACGCACATTTGCATGTTTTTGAACTGCCAGGTTGGCAGAAGCTGGGGCTAACGGTGGGAGCTCACCAAGCTCCCCAGATCCAAACCGCCAGCCTTTCGATCAAGAAGTTCAGCAGCTCTGTGGTTTAACCTGTTGTGCCACCAGGGAGCCACTATTCCTAGGATTGCATGTGGCCTGTCCCTGGTTTAGAAAACAACAGCTATAGCAAAAGGGCAGCCTTAGAACTTGATTCTCAGTTTTGGGAGGAAGATGTGATACAAATACACTAATTGCAGCAACAACAACAACATCTAACCAGCAATACTTTTGCTAGAGTTTCAGTTCCATGTCTATCACCACCTGCAATCCAAACCAATTTTATCCACATAAAAAACATGCATGCTACCACTACTTTGTAATGGTTCCTTCCCTAGCACATTTGCTTATGTTGTACTATAAAAACAAATTATGTAAAAATAATAATAAACCAAGGGTCATGTCTTGCCTATGCTTCCCAGTAGCTTAAGAAAGATTTTCTTCAGACTTAATCAAATCTTTACACCCTGGGAAATTACAGAAACCAGCACCCCTCTAACCCTTGGCTCCACATTGACGCAGACTCACTGGTTGCCCCGTTCTGCTTGCTGGCGTTTTGCTGGGTGCTGGAAGGCCGGGGCTGGGAGGCGTTGGTGCTGGTGGGCGGGGGTGCCACAGCCTGGGCGTAAGGGGTCGGGGTGGTGGGTGCGTGCCCTGCCGGAGGGTTAGCTTTGCTGGTTGCATTCCCGCTGCCAGCCACAGCCCCGTTGCTGTTGGAGCCAGGCCCATTCCCCAAGGAAGATGAGGTGCTGGAGCTGCTGCCCATCGGGTAGCTAGGAGGGATCGGGGGAGGTGGCTGATGGTGGTTGTTGTGGAGGCTTTTTGAACCGTTCTTCGCCGGGGACTGAGGAAAATAGAGAAAACATTTTAGGCCTGTAAACATTTCTGAAGAGTTAGAGTGGCATAGCAATGTGAGTGCTGGACTGGGACTCGGAGAGACCAAGGTTCAAATCTGCCATGGAAGCTCATTAGGTGACCCATTCTCAGTTTCAGAGGAAAGCAGTGGCAAACTCCTTCTTACTAAGAAGAAAGTATATAGGTTCGCCTTTGGATTGCTATAAGCTGGAAACAACCTGAAGCCAGGAGGCAGCAACAACAAATAATACTCTTCATTCTAAGAACTTGCCAATTTGGGTTCCCTCTCACTTTCCTCAAAATGGCAGTTCCAGGAATACTGTTCCTAATGTGGTAGAATTAAAAGACATAATTGTCTTACTCTTGATCAGTATGCAAAGGGATCTTGTAGGACCTTGTGGCTGACTGAAAGAAGTTGGTGGCATAAGGACTTGTACATTAAGTTACCGTATATACACAAATATACACTGACCCGAATGTAAGCAGAGGCATCTAATTTTCCCACAAAAAACTGGGAAAACGTATTGACTCGAGTATAAACTGAGGGTGGGAAATGCAGCAGCTACTGGTAAATTTCAAAATAAAGATAAATAACATTACATTAATTGGAGCATCAGTAGGTTAAATATTTACATAAAATTGTAATTCAAGATAAGACTGTCCAACTCTGACTAAACCATTATTCTAACCTTCTTCAATGTACATGTGCTTATGTATCTTTCCAACAATAATGAAGAGAATAAAATAATAATTGTAATAAAAATAATAATGAAGTAAAACAATGGAAATGTAAAAATAACAATAACAAATGGAATAAAATAATAAATGTAATAATAATAGAGTAAAATAATAAATATCTGCCTCAAGTATAAGCCAATGGGGGCTTTTTCAGACTAAAAAAAGGGATGAAAAATTCGGCTTATGCTCGAGTATATACGGTACCTCATCTGTTGTGTGGAGTAAGGCGCCCAAAGACAGACAATACCTCTAAGCACTTCACTCCAAGCATCTGATAAAGTAGATGTAGTCTATCAAAAGTTTATGCTACCAACTTCTTTCTCTCAGTTTCAAAGGTGCATAGAGTTCCGTATGTGGCACAGTCCTCCTACAGAACAGTATCATCTTAGAATCTTTTAAATTGCTCATGGGAAAACACTTGCACATTCTTGCATGTAAAAGCTGTCTATTTCGAAGGAAAGCCAAGACAAGGAGCATTTCATCCTTGGTATTCAATTTAGTTCAAAAGTCAAGATTTTGATATAGATAGTAAAGGTTTTCCCATGACATTTAGTCTAGTCATGTCTGACTCGGGGGGGGGGGGGTGGTGCTCATCTCCATTTCTAAGCCGAAGAGCTGGCATTGTCTGTAGACGTCTCCTAGGTCATGTGGCTGGCTTGACTGCATGGAGCTATTACCTTCCTGCCAAAGTGGTACCTATTGATCTACTCATATTTGCATGTTTTCGAACTGCTAGATGGGCAGAAGCTAGGGCTAACAGCAAGAGCTCACCCCGCTCCACAGATTTGAACCGCGGACCTTTCAGTCAGCAAGTTCAGCAGCTCAGTGGTTTAACCCGCTGCACCACAGAGGGCTCCATGTGATATAAGTCCAACTCTTAAAACAAACAATATGGCCATCTACATCCTGAAGGTTGTAGTCTCCACAGAAGAACCATATCCTAACTGGAATAATGCATATGAATTGACTGTAGCTGATGAGCACCAGTCTTCCTCTGCTCCTCCCAAACAGAATGCTTTGAAGCCCCAAATTCCTGGATGCCAAACTCACCTGACTTACTTCACTGTCCGTTGACCGTCCTCGTTTCTTATCATCTTCAGAGTTCTCCTAAAAAGGATAAAATGTGGTATAAACATCACAGTAAGAAGAATGCCTGCATCAGGGCCTAGCATGCAACCAACTACCTCCTTGAAGAGAAGTACATGGCCCAGAAACCCAGATCCACAACAGAGTACTTTCCTTACCGTCGTACAATTTGCAGGACTGGGTGGGATTGGGGAGCTGGACGTGGTGGATGTGGGTGTACTGCTGGACTGATTGAACATCTCATCCTCCATGTGGCTGTGGCTGGGTGGGGAAGTGGCTACCAGGGCCTGTGCTGCAGGGCCAAGAAAAAGGAGAGCTTACAAACTAAGGACCAAAGCTTCAGGTAATTAACCAATCAACCAGCACTATTAATCAGGTGGCACAGTTGTTAGAAGGCATAGGCCCACAGTCCTTGCTTGAGAACAGTTCGCTATTGTGACTTTTAAATCTATTGACACCTTCTAAAGTTTTAAAGACAAGACGAAGAGAAAAACTGACATCACCAATCTCACCATTTCATCTTGAAGAAATAATAATAATAATAATAACAATAAATTTTATTTATATCTTGCTCATTCTTCCCAAAGGGACTTGGGCGGCTAAGAACACAAAAACAATATACATAATATCAAACAAAAGGCTGCAAATCAAAAACAAAATACAATAAATTAAGGATAAAACAATAAACATAGTTAAAACAGCTTATGGCTGTTAGACTTCAAGTGAAGCACGCAAGCAGCAAAACAGAACAATTACCAAGTTACCTCAAAACAGTAAAATACCAACAACACAGGAAATTTTACCAACACAGAGTCCAATGGGAGGCCACATATGCCCAACAAACTATCAACTGACTTTAGCACACGAGCTGACTTTAGCACATGGATGCTTAGCAAAATAAATACCCCTCGCAAAATGTCATTATTTTCTCAAGTTTACACACAGATTTTCTTAAAAGGAAGAACGTAGCAGTCCCTTCAAAACTACCGTAACTAGCAGTGCAATAGCAGCTTCTCCACAGGAACAGGCCTACAGACTGAATCTACTTCTGTCTCATACGATCTCCAACTAAAAGCACTTCCCCGCAGATCAAGGAAACTTACGAATGTCTTCTAAGTCGAGGTCATCATAAAGGAACTCATTTTCTTCAAAGTCGGGGTCCTGTGAGGAGTCTACATAGTACTCCACATCATCCTTGATCTTTCGGATGGAGTCCACATTAATGGAGTCATTGTCCAGCATGCGCAAAATCGTCTCCAGCATCCGAATGTGGTACCGGTGCTTCTCAATGTGCCGCTTCAGCCCTTCTATCCGGTCTTGCTTCTGCTTGTGAGCAGGTGGAAGAGAGCATCAGCATATTTAAAATATCAAACCACAGTGGGACTTAGGTTCAATCCCTCATCTGCCCATAAAAGCTCATTTTGGGTCAGTCAATCTCGCTCTTGTGCCTCATGGTGTTTAATAAAGCCCTACTATTACTGAGAGCTAAGCCAGGACAGAAAAAAACACACAGAAGGGAGGTGTCAGTGACTGCCTCCACATCCTCAAGTGTCCACTCTTTGGAGGACACACTTTTGCAACAAGCTACACTATGCAATTTAAGAACTTTAGACAGTGTTCTTGAATCAGACCTTTCTTTTCCAACCTTAAGTCAGAGCCAAAGCCAAACCACCTCTTGACATTCACAATATTCACCACACAAGGTTCTGGCAACATATCTCTGTGACAGACAAGTTCACCATATGATTAATTTATCTCTTTCTCCTATTCTTTTCTTCGCCCAACCCCCACCTCACCAAGCTCCCAGAAATATCAATTTCCACACATATCCCCTCCAACTTTTTAATATATTAAAACTATGTAATGTCCTTATGCACTAGCCCCACTGTGCATCACTCACACTCTCAGGAAGACATTTTATCAACTCACATCCTTATCTCCTTTCTTCTTACGTGTCTGGACAGAAAGAGACTCCACTTCACTCTCAAACTGATCCACTTGCATGTTCAAGGTATCTATTGTATTCTGATATAGTGAAGTTGGAAAGAGGGAGGGAAGAAAAGAGACAGATCATGCACCAGCCAAACTTGAAGGTCTCGAACATACTGAAAGTATTGCCAAGGTAAGCAATACAGCAATAAAGCATTTTATGAATACACATATCTTCCTATATATAGCGGTCAAGCATTACAATGTACCGAGAGGGCTTTCATTTATGTCCTACTGGTAGAAACAGGTAAAGGTAAAGGTTTCCCCTGAGATTAAATCTAGTTGTGTCTGGTTCTGGGAGGTGGTGCTCATCTCAAAGAGCTGGTGTTGTCTATAGATACCTCCTAGGTCATGTGGCCAGCATGACTGCATGGAGTGCCATTACCTCCCGCCTAGGCAGTACCTATTGATCTACTTACATTTGTATGTTTTCAAATTGCTAGGTTGGCAGAAGCTGGGGCTAATAGTAGGAGTTCATCCCACTCCTCAGATTCAAACTGCCAACCTTTTGGTCATCAAGTTCAACAGCTTAGCAGTTTAACCCACTGCACCACCAGGTATTTGGAAATGCGAGGTAGGACCTTCCCACATATGGGATCCTTTTTATGAAATCCCACATAAAAGAGGTTTGGTTGGCATTTACAAGAGAAGCCTGGCTGTACTTCAGCTTATACACAAAGAAAAGATCTGGCAATTTACCAATTTATCTGGATCTTAGTGATCACAGCATGAGGTATTCTTGCTGATCTCATATTGAATTATAGGTTTTAGTACTGTATGTCAATTTGCTTTTGTCAGCTGCATCCCTGCTTGAGCCCCTTTAATACAGGATGGATTACGAATATTTCAATAAATAAAAATATGAAATTAACAATGAGAAAACAAAATGAAGACAGTAAAGCCTTTAAATAACAAAGCATTGAGGGAAATAACAAAAGAAGCTTGATTCCTCAACCATTAACAACTAATCACTACCAACTGAGATGTGGAGATTCTCTCCGATGGAAAACGGGTAATTTTCCTAACATGCTATAAAGCAATTTATGATATCCAGTCCATGGGAACACCTTCAATTTAACAGTTTTAAAAAATACACTCAGTTTTTTCCTTCTTCCTAAACCCCCAGACAAAAGCTGCTACAAAGAATAGTGTTTTCCCCCCCCAGTTATCAGTGAGCCAGCTAACTTCCCTCCATTCTCACCGTCAACCACTGCCCAACGTCCTCCTTTTCCTTCTGAGCTGGGTCTACTTTCTGCGCCAAGCCCAGCCCTTCCTTGGAGTAGGCTTTCGTCTTGGTCTCACGCTCGACTACCTTGAACCTCTCCATTTGCTGGAAAAAAATGAGAGTGATTCAGGAAGATCAGCAGGACAAGGAACAAATCCAAGTGTCACTGAGAAGTCCACAGCCCTAGCCAAATTTCACACTGATCTTTTAAACTATTTATGGCATCATTTCCAATGGCAAAGAGAAAGATTAAAAACTGCATAAAAATTCAGTTTAGCTACTCTCTCAAACTTTGACCTGTAATGAGATCATTGGATCTAATACAGGAATGGGCACATTTTGGCCCTCCGGGTGTTCTGGACTCCAACTCCCACAACTCCTAACAGCTTACTGGCTGCTTGGAATTGTGGGAGTTGAAGTCCAAAACACCTGGAGGAAGGCCAAAGTTTACATTAGAGCATCTCATATATAGGTGAGATATCTATAGCAGGCATTTAGAGACCACTATGAGCAATTCAGGAATATAATATTTTGGTCCGAATTCTGAAATGAAACAGCCCCAGGAAAGCTGGACTGAGTACGTTTGCTGAACATTTGGATCAATCTAGTAGTTAAAGCACAAGCTTGCACTGAAAAGTTGTGGAACTGCAATTGACTGTTGCACATATATGGTGACAAAAATAAAATTTCCAAGCTCTACATTGGTCAATGACAAAAACACAGCATTTGGCCTTGGCATCTCTAAGCTAGATAATGATAGCTAAGATATTTCTAGAAGTGCAACCCCCACCCCACAATATACATAATTTGAATGACAAATGATCACTGAAAACACAAGCTTCAGCTTGACTCTTGCAAATGCAGTAGTTGAAAACGTATTGCCAAAGGAGTCAGGAAAGTCTCAGCTCACAGTTCAACAGACTTTTCCATAGGTGTCCAAGAGGCAATCTCCTAAACAGTGGCATCCCAGTCCTCACCATCTATCCCATGCTGATTCACTCAGGACACCTTTACCAACAGGATCCTGGACTCCCCACAAAAGCACTTTCTTCTTCTCTAGATTATAATGGGCAGCTTGCTCACCTTTATGAGGTCATACTGTCTAATAGCCAATTGCAACACCATAAGGGAGGAGCTAAGCCAAGTTAAACTTATAGGTCTAAGTTTATCAACGAGCAAAAACTACCTGGGTAAATCTTTGAAAAGTTGAGGGGGATAAAATGAAGCAAGGCATATCCCATTTACACATTTAATGCAATACATCACTTTAACAAAGGAAAATGTAACTCAGGATATTGCTGAGTCCTGGTATGTAAAAGTTCACAGATTCTTCTCTCCTGCTCCTCACCGTCTCAATGAGTTTCCTGTTGTCTATTAGCTGCCTTTTGTCTTTGATCTCATTGGATGCAACCCATGTCTTGATCTGGTCCCTCAGTCTCTGTGGAACAAAAAGAAGAAAAGTTGAGAAGAGGAAAAGGAGATTTGCTGCGCCAAGAAAATCATCCTTACATTTCCACCCACAGTCATAAAGGCTACTGACCTGATTACTATTCTGGCAAAAAGAGCAAATTATCAATTGCTTACTACCGGCAATAAGTTGTAGAAGTGGTATTATGATTATGGAAGGCACAGTCCACCCTCCCCCCACAACAAAATACAAGTGTTCAATAACTCATTAGACAACCTACCCTTTATGATATCTCAGGATTTTCCCAAGTCTTTCTCTCAATCTGCCCCAACCTAGTGCTCCTCAAATAGCAAAGCTGCCTACCCGTAAGGGCAATCATAGTATAAACACATCTAGAGGTCACCAGGTGAAGAAAGCATGCATCCTTATTCTTCCTCCAGTAAAATGAGGAATGCCAGCAATGAGAACTGCTAAACCCATCTTCATAACACTTTAACTCCCTGTCACCCAAAGGATAATAATAATAATAATAATAATAATAATAATAATAATAATAATAATAATCTTTATTCTTGTACCCCGCCTCCATCTCCCCGAAGGGACTCAGGGTGGTTTACATATGGCACAAAGTGTCTTAAATAGAGCATAAAATAAACACACAACAGAATACAAGAAAGTAAAACATACAGCATATAAAAACAAAAGTTTAAAACTCAGAACAACACCCAATAATCTATTACGACAACTATCGTAAGACATGGCAAGACTGTAAACAAGTCATGGGAATGGGATAGTGCAAACTGTAGCTGAGGAACAAGGGCATGGGATGAAAGTGGAGTGCTATGTCATTGATTGCGGACCATTGGGGCTAGACATTCCCAAAGGTTTGTTTACACATCCAAGTCTTCAGATCCCTACGGAAGGAGGACAGTGTGGGGACCTTCCTAATCTTCCTGGGGAGGGCATTCCAAAGCCAGGGGGCCACTACCGAGAGGGCCCTCTCCCTCGTCCCCACCAACCGCACTTGTGACAATGGCAGGCACGAGAGAAGGGCCTCCCCGGCAGATCTTAATGCTTGAGCAGGTACATAGAAGGGGATGCGGTCACGAAGATAGGCAGGGTCCGAACTGTTTAGGTTTTATAGGTAATGACCTGTACTTTGAATTGAGACCAGAAACTTATCAGCAGCCAATTTAACTGCTTTAATAGGGGCACTGTGTGCTCCCTTATAGCAAGCTCCAATTAGTAGCCTAGTTTATTGACAGCCATCTCCTTTGCTCTTAATCAACACAAGACCTACAAGGACGAAAATTCCCGTTTTTCTTCTGTTCTTTCCAAAAGACTCCAGTAGTTTACCTTTCAGAACACCACTATCTCCTCCTGCACTCAGCCAGCCAAATGGTTTCTCAGAGAGATAACAAAAAAAAAAAAAAAAAACACCTTGAAAGGATCCTAGACAATTCTTACCTGGAGTTTTTTAATCTCCTTTTTCAGATCGGCTTCATATTTCTCCTTCTGGTTTGCATTAGCTGCATTGTGGAGCTGTAGTATATATAGAAAGAAGAGTGGGGGAGAAAGGGAGAGAAAATATTAAGGTTAGGGAACCCAGGTGTCAAATATGTGCAGCCATAAAGAAAACCTGGCAACAGAAACAGTAAATAAACTCATTTTTTTAAAAAGAGAAAGTGAAAAGAAAAGATCAGGAACTTGTGTAGATACACAAAGAATGACTACACAATGATATAATGATCAAAGAGGCCAAGGTGAGATAAAAATTCCGAAAACAACTCAGGAAGGGGGAAAAAGCAGCTCTCACCTTCTGCCAGATATCTTCAAACTGCTCCACACCTTCTGCCACCTTTTTCAAACACCGATCAATCTCACCTGGGAAGGGTGAGAATGAACTATCACTACTATGGAGAATAACAAACACTATGCTCCCCACCCCCTATGTAGGAAAGAAAGGGAACAGAGGTTTCAATTTTGTCATGGACTACCAAGGTTTCTTTTTCTATGAGACTGAAGGTCTACTGGTGCCCTATTTGGCAGGTTTCCTATATTTTCAACCAATTTGACATCCTAAAAAAGCTGTCACCCCTCCTAAGATGTTGTTACTAAGAAAAGCTCTAAAGGCCCTTCCACACAGCACTAGAATATAGGGCTGTGTGGAAGGGCCCTCAGTTAAAGCTTTAAGCTACAAGTTGGAAGCTAGAATCTCACACTGGCAGCCACCTTCACGTATCTTCTAATAATATTTTCAAAATCAAATTTAATCTCCCAGGACTGAAAGACCTTCCCCAGCATTATTCTAGAGCAGTGGTTCCTCAGGTTCTCCAAATGATTCTCACTTTTTGACTGTTGGCCAATGCTGGCTTGGGCTTCAGACAAATGAAGTCCAAACACATGAAGCACCAAAGGTTGGGAAACACTATTCTGGAGTCTTCCTCCCTTGATTATAGCATCCTTGGTCTTCCCCCTACTCATGTATTAGGCCTGTCTTTCTACTCACAGGCACCTAAGGTCTCAATATTACCTGTAGTCTCAACCAAAGTAGACTCACTGAAGGTTTATATAAATGAGTGAAGACTTAGGAGACAAATCTTAGGCAAATGCCATTGTTTTGATGGCTCTGCCCTAGTTGGGATTAACAAGATTAAAGACAATTACTATTAACCATCCTAAAATTTCCCTCTTCAAAAAACAAAACAAAACAAAAACAAAGATTATAGTCTTTGATATTCTAAAACATCCCCACTTTCAAAATGAAAGGTTCTGTCTCTGCTCAGCTTTTTCCCCATTCTATCTAACTAGGGCCTCTTCCATATAGCTGTACAAAACCCACATTGAACTGGATTATATGGCAGTGTGGACTCAGATAATCCAGTTCAAAGAAGATATTTGGATTATCTGCCTTGATAGTCTGAGATATATGACTGTGTGGAAGGGCCATAGATCTCACTCTCTTCTATAGAACCCAGGTGTTTTGGTCACCTGTTCTGATCAAAACAGTTTCTTTTCCAGAAAAGCCAGGTGCCTAGTTTGCACTAGGAAGAATAACCATTAAGACTGTAAACATTCCATCTTACCTTGTAGCTTCCTCTTATCTGCCATGTTTCCTTTACTATAGAGGGGCTCTCTTCATACTTTATAGAGCGTCAATGCTTCAAAAAGAAGAGAAAAGAAAGTTAGAAGGCAAAGCCAGGACAAATGTGAGGGGCCAAACAGGGGAAAATAAAGGCTGAGATTCAGGCTTCTGGGTTGTTGTTTTTTAAAGAGAAGAGGCATGGGAAGTAGAAATCCATACGTTTCTATCTTTTATCTCAGAAAAGGTTTCTCTCTGTTGATTTTTACTTTTCAATAGCAAATAGATTCTGTTCTTATATGAATCAAGGCTGAAAACCTAGATGAGTCATAGACCAAAATCCTACAAAAATCAGGAGAGTAGCATGAAGATAATGACTTAGGAGATATTGGAGCAACAGAAGAGCTACAACAATTAACAATTAAAGGACCCCCTTCTCTATCTGACAGGCAAATGTTTGGCAGGTTAAGCCTTCACTAGTAAACACAGAATGCAACATTAGGACCAGCTTCACTTTCTATTTCTTGTATCAGACAGCTACTATGAATACAGAAATCCTGCTGGGGACAGATTCTTATATCGATGTGTGAACTTGGTCATACTTTGAAGCCTTTCATTCAAGACTTGTGGGCTGTTTACAGCTGAGTCAATACAATTGTTTTTAGGTAGTCTTGTGGATACCAATGTTAAAATAGGCATAAAAATGAATACTTCAGAACTTAATGAGAGAGAAAGCTTACTCTCAACGGCTCTATGAAAGAATCTCAACACATATACTCAACACTTGGAAGGCAGACTTCGCCATGGTAGTTCACTCTCGTTACATCCCAAATAGACTACTGCAACACATTCTATGTGGGGCTGGCTTTGAAGACTGTTTGGAAGCTACATACAGGTGGCAGCCAGATTGCTCACTGGAGCGGCATACAGGGAGCATACAGCCCCGTTACATCAGCTCCACTGCCTGCCAATCTGCTACCAAGCACAATTCAAAGTGCTAGCTTTAGCCTATAAAGCCTTAAACGGTTCTAGCCCTGCTTACCTGTCTGAATGGATCTCTCCCTATGAACCAACTTGGAGCTTAAGATCATCTGAGGAGGCCCTGCTCTCACTCCCGCCTCTCTCGCAGGTGCGATTGACGGAGACAGGAGACAGGGCCTGCTTAGTGGTGGCCTCTTGGCTGTTGAACTCCCTCCCTAGGGATATTAGATCAACCCCCTATCCCCTGATCTTCCACAAGAGAATGAAAACATGGCTTTGTGACCAAGCCTTTAGATAAACTTGGAACAACGTGGAATGACCATTTGAACAGCCTGGATTATGCTCGTGGATTACGTGTTTAACTCTGAATGTATTGTTTTACAATGTTTTAATTGTTTTTAATGTACTTTTTAAATTCTATTTTAATATTTATTTAAGTATACATTGTGTTTTAGGAGATTGAGAAAGACAGGGTAGAAATGTAAATAAATACTCCTCCTCAGGAGGTTTTTTGCTGCATTTTGGAAACAGATTTCCTCAATAAATCTCACTTGTTTCTTTCTTTCATTTTTGCATTGGGTCCAATATGATATTTGAAACAAACTTCTCAAACATTGTCTCAATCATGCACAGATCCCTCCTTTCAACTATGTGTAACTGCTATCTTATATTGAAAAAAGTTTTAAAAGTTACTATAAAAGTCAAAAAAGCGAATCAAGAAAAGAAATATAGAGTTGAAATACAAAAAAGCTAAAAGAAATAAGAAACAAAAGAAAAGGTAGATTACCTCCAATCTAGTCTCACCTAGCCAAAATAAACATAAGTTTCATGCTCTAAGCCTCTCAATGTTGATTCCTTTTTCAAACAAAAAAAAAACCCCTCAAATTATTCTTCAAAACTCAAAATTGGCATCACTTGTTTATTTGAGTTGCTAGGATTTGGGGAAATTTTCACAAATCAAAGAGCACCCTCCACCACTTCCTTCTCTTGTTCAATATAGAAACAAAACTGGCTGGGAAAGCTACTGAACAGTGGATGAGGGGACATCCTAGAGTTTGGTAATCTGATATACTTGCAGATTAAATTATCTAGCAGTGTTGTTTTAATTTGTGGAGCCTGGTGCTTTGTGGAGAAGGTAATATAAGGACAGGACTTACCTAGTGGCCCCTGGGCGCTTGCTGTCTTTCCAGCCAGGTTCCTGTGTAGGTGAGAAAACACATGACTTTTTATTTCCCAACCAAATGCCCACGATGCCAGAATTCACAATAGGATATGTGAGAGACCACAATCAATGCACAAAACTGCTTAAGCACTTCAAAAGTTTAGGCAGCTAAGACCAAGGCTAGTAGACAGAAAGGAAGAAAGAGACTTCTACTCTACCATGAACACCCTGCCTCGAAAACTATCCATCATTACCTCACTGTCACTCTTTTTCCTATCAGAGTTCCAGTACTTTTAACAGGTTATAGCCAAGTAGAAGTATAACAGGTTAACCCCCCCTGCATATGTTAGGAAAAGGAGCCTCTGTTAGCAAAATGAGTTAAACCCTTGTGCCAGCAGGACTGAAGACCAACAAGTTGGAGGTTTGAATCCGGGAAGAGCGCAGATGAGCTCCCTATGTCAGCTCCAGCTCCCTATGCAGGGACATGAGAGAAGCTTCTCACAAGGATGGTAAAACATCAAAACATCCGGGTGCCTCCTGAGCAATGTCCTTGCAGATGGCCAATTTTCTCACACCAGAAGTGACTTGCAGTTTCTCAAGTCACTCCTGACACATACACACACACAAGTTAGGAAAAGCATTGTTTGCATTCCAGTATGAATAAAGCTGGCAATCTTACCAATAACCCTGTGACCAAATGTCAGTTTATTTGCATATCGCAAGAAAGTTATGTCCCCGAGATGCAGTTTTTCTAGTTCCCATGCTGCAAACATGCCAAAGCAACTCTCACTGATGCACCTGTGAAAGCACACCTCGTAAATTTAAGAGACTAAAGAGACTAGTCCGCATCCCTTCCCCAGAGTTCGCAGATAATAAACAAATTCACATTCCCTTCTGTGAAGTACCAACAGTCCTTAATACAAATATGCAACAGAATCCTGAAGTGGTAGAGTGGACTGAAAGAGGAAGGAGAGCAGGATACTGTGCTCTAGTGCACAACATTAAAAAAATGTTTTGCGATTAAAAGTTAGCACATCAGGTTATCAGTTTTCAGTGGTTTGCTCCCCATTGCACTGGCATAGCAGAAGCAGGCATAGCAGGAGCATTAAAAAGTGTGACCAGCACTTGTCGTGACACGGCTCATTCTATGCCTACTCCTTGTGCTGCCTCAAAGACGAAGCCTAAACTGTTACACTCCATTCCATTCTCAGTAATTACAGAATGTGTTGTAGGTCTATTCTTCTCCAGTGTCCTAGATGCTACTATTCTCCCAGACAACCCAGGAGCCCAGAAAAGCGACACACGATTTCCGTTAACAACTGAAAGACCTGGTGGGTGGGATGGGCAATTGCTAAAGCTGCCTTTGGAATACAGGCAGCCTCATGTGACACCATATTGCCTCATAAGTAAGCTCCACTGACTTAAAAGGGAATTATTCTCCAAGTAAGCACACATGTAATTGCTGTTTTAGAATTCCCAGTCTTCGCAGAATGATAGTGTTTGTACCTCTAAGTGCATTCTTTTCCTCCTCTACTTGCTCTGAGCAAAATTAGAATTTTATTAGTAACTGAAACATGGGGAAATTAGGAAAGCAAATGCTGGAGGAAGATGCTGGCAATCTAAGGAGTTTAATCAGATGCAACTCCAGCGCCATTAACAGCAGCTGCGGACACCTAATTCATAACACAAAAAGCCTCACCTGCCAATCCCTGTACTTCAAACTATTGTTCAAGGGTCAAGATTAAGCCAAGCCAGTTCCTTCTGGTCATCCGGCATCTTAAGCCATCCTGAGAATACTTAAAGCCAGATATTTCAGCCTTCAAACCCACCCAGCATGGAGTTGTAATCCAAAACATGTGGGGAGCAAAAGACTGCACACTACTAATGGAGAGCTGGGATGGGCAACTGTGACCCTCCAGATGTTGCTGGATTGCGGCTCCCACAATCCTTCACCACTGGCCCTGCTGGCAAGGATAAGGAGACCAACAATATTTAAAGCCACACTTGTCCGCAAGTGATCTAGAACACTCTTTCCTTACTAAAAAGAATCTGACTAGGAGAAAGGCAGGAACTATGCAGCCTTCTAGATAGATGTTACTGAGCTGCAGCTTCCAGCATTCTTAATCTCTGGCAATGCCAGTTTGGGCTGGTGGGAGTTATAGTTCAATGAGATCAGGAGAGCCACATGATTCCCCCCCCCCCCAGCCTTTAATGGGGGCAGAAGCTTTGTTGCTGTTACTATTGTTAAGACAATTAGGAATCAAATGCCATTGCTGATCTACTGCAAATTACCCAATCATCTACCAAGAGGTATCACTATACTTTCAGATTTTCTCTCTTCTGAACAGCAAAGATGGTTGAAGCAAAGGCCTATTGGATGTACTTATAATCCTAATTGAAGAAACAACATGCACTAGAAGGATCTTGATCATTCTTGTGGAGGAATCCATGGTTCTTTACAGCAGGAGACAAACACCTGATTGAGTTTTCCATGCTGCATTTTTATTTACTCTGAAGGGTGGAATGATTTTAAAATCAAAGCATTGTAGGACTAGGTACCATATTTTAAAGTTTTATGATATTTATAGGTTGTATCTGTTTTATTTTTTATATAATGTATTGTTTGCGTATCATTGAATTGGGTCATCGAATTGTGCCAAATTATGTATCATAGGCCGCTCTGAGTACCTTTTGGGGTGAGAAGAATGGGATAGAAATATTGTTAGTAAATAAATAAATAAATTGTAAATCACTGATTCAACTCACCAGGTTAAAGAGCTGTTTTCTACAGCATCTTTCTACAGCTGCAGTCGTGGGCAGACTACTGAATCTAGTGGAGCTAGCCTTCTCCTAATCTACCGGATTTTGCCTTTGATACAAAGAGAATCCAGCTCAAACAGGGTGGGAAAGGTGTAGCCCTCCAGCTTCTGAGGAAACAAGCCTAGGCATGGGCTCCACTTCAGGTTTCCTGAGGAACACAGGGTAACTGCTTGATATTAAAAAAAAATGTTTGCAACTATATGGAGTGTTCATACTATTTCTGTTCATGAGCAGACCAATTGCACTCAGAATTCACTCTGTCTTATAGGGCTGCTGCAACACTAGGAGTATTTTTTATTTTCTCTAGACATGTTGAAGAATTTTAAGCAAAAATACCTGCTTGAAAATGTAAGTGACAAGAGGCTGTAAGAAATCAGCGCTAACTGGAAGTCACTGAACAGAATAGTACTTTTCTTCAGGAAAAGTATATGTCAGTGTAATTCTTAATATTTCTATTCTCTACTCATAAGTATGTTTTATTGAATTCGAAGGAACTGATTTACCCTAATACTTTTGATGTACACAGTATTAATTAGGTTCATTACATATTATGACATAAGTTCAAAAAAGAGAGAAGAAGAGAGAAATCTAGTGACACCAATTAGCATAACCAATTGGCATGTGATATAACTTGTTTCTTCAGAAACAATGGGAAGACATGGATCAATATCTAGATCTTGTTAAGATAAATAATCAGGTTACTGCTGAATTTATCCCCCCACCCTCTTCATTTTCCTTTTTACGAAAAACTAACAGAAGCATCTCTTTAAAGACTCTGACTAATGTGTGACCTGAACAAAATAACACTTTTTGGCACTCTGTTTCATTGTTTTGCATAGAAAAGGCAGCTTTTTGGCACTCTGGTTCATTGTTTTGCATAGAAAACCACACACACACACATTTTATTTTAAAATATATTTAATCCCCCTACTTCTGAACCCAAACACTGACCTCCTTTGATGCAACACTTTAGCTAGTCTTTTGTTATTTTAGAAGGGAGGGTAGGGGCACACAAACACAACTTTGAAGGTGACTAACTAGAAAAAGCGGAAAGCGTGTTGAAAAGGCTGACATTGCTTTCCCCTAGTCTGTGTCAACTGTCTTCTCTCACTATAAGCAATCTGAATATCTATAACAACTGACCACTGATGAAAAAAGATGCAACAGTAGCTGGACCATAAGAGTGATCTCCACTCTGTTTAATTTTAAGTAGCAAGGAGGGAAAAGAAAGCAGAACTCAATATAGAAGCAAAAAGTTGCCAGAACGTAATACTTTTCAAAGGCCAGATGAAAGAGTACCCTTAAGCCAAAGATCAGCCAATACACTGTGGTATTTTTCAAAATCAATCAATAAAATTAACAATTGAAAGATATGCAAGCTATTGATAAAATTACCTCCCTGAACTCTTTTTTTAAAATCACAGTTCATTTATTGGACATGTGTAACTGATGTGTGTTGCACACAGGAACATCTCTTGACTTTATAGTCCCCTAATCAACGTTTTTAACCCAATCCAAGAGGGTTTGGGCTTACTGCCATATATATTCTACATTTGGGAAATGGTTTGTAACGAATGGTCTTCACTTCAGATGGAAGTCAATGAGAGAAAATGAGACCTATGTGGGACAGTCTTGGAACAGGACCCTAGACTTCGATTGGCATGAAAATGATGCATTCTTCCAAATATTGTTGAACTACAGCTTCCACCAGGTTAGCACCAAGTGAAGGAAATTGAAGTTCAACAGCTTGAGGATTGCAAAACCCGTTGCCCCTGCTTTATGACAAGGAAGTAAATTCTACCTTGTCTAATGGGCACCTATTCAGTAAGTGCTGCTTAGAGTTACAGCCCCTGTAACACTATCCCAGAGAGTAAAGGACCACTACAAGTGTTCTAAAAATGTGTCCAGTGCTGCAACAGCGTTAAGAATAGATCCCCTTGCAAACAATTCAGTCAACTTCAATTTGATGATTGAGCCACTACCATTCAATTTACTCATATGATACTGCAAAGTGCACCCTTCCCTTAGTCACATGGTTTCCTCCGCATCAGTGGTTCTCAGCCTGTGGGTCCTCAGGTGTTTTGGCCTACAACTCTGAGAAATCCCAGCCAGTTTATCAGCTGTTAGGATTTCTGGGGACACACAACAGAATCATAGAATCATAGAGTTGGAAGAGACCTCATGAGCCATCCAGTCCAACCCCCTGACAAGAAGCA